CCGTGACCCTCGCCAGACTAGATCGTGACAAGCACCCGCAGGTGACATGGACCTAAAAGGTTTCAGCCTCGCGCGCTACGAGGCACGGCAGTTTGGGGCCGAGAGTTCAGCCTTCCCCGAATCTGAAGCCCTACCCAAACGGGTCTGTTAAGGCCTCAGCGGTGTCTGAGGTGTATGTTGAAGTTGCCCCATCTTGTTGGGGCACATGTTGAGGGTTTGCATGCCAAGGTTGGATCTAAGCCTATGTTGTGTGTTAGGCGTGAAATCGGATGTTCCCGGAGGTTCCAGTGCAAGGCATGAGAAGGAAAGTAGAGCTCTCCTTTGTCGCTACAAGGCCGAAGATCGCGATATGACCGGGTTCGGTAGAGATGCAATGTTGCTGTCCTGTAGATGTCCGATTCAACCAACCCTCGTGGGGTTTTTTGATCGTAACAGGCGTCCCGGCATGGAGCTCCTAAAATAAATGCGGACTACTAACCAGCTTTCGAGGGTGGGTGTACATGACCTTGAACCCTATATTAACCCCTAAACCCGACACCTTCGACCTTAAACCCTCAACCCTAAAGCGGTTGAAGCTCCAAGTAGAAAGCAGGAAGCGATCAACCCGCTGATGCGAGATGCCGCGCGAGTGGCGGGGTCTCCCTTGGAGATTTTGGCGTCTGGGCCGACATCTTGTGCCTTCTTGGACCCCATAAAACCTTCCTCTTTAAAACCTTGAACCTGAGAACAACCCTGAACCCCAAAACCCTGAACCCACAATCCCTAAACCCTGAACCCAAAAACCTTGAACCTTTAAAAGAACCCTCAGGCCATCCCGTATACTGCCCGTTAAAGCAGCCTGACTATTGCACCCTACAGTACCCTATAGGGGTTCCCTTAAGTGAACCCTTAACCTAAACCCTAAACTCTACGTAAACCCATAAACCTAAACCGCCTAAACCCCTACCCTAAGGCCCCATAGCAGTTCCTTTTCGGGATTACGTTGTAGGATCCTAAATATGAAGCACAAAAAGGAACTACTATGGGGCCCTAGGGTAAGGGAATCCTTAGATCTTCTAAACCCATAGACCTTAACCCTAAACTCTAAACCCGTAAACCTGAACCCTAAACCCATAAATCCAAACCAACTCTAAACCCTTAAGGGAATCCTTGGGTCAGTTAGGTGAACCCTGAACCTACATCCTAAACTCTAAACCCTTAAGGGAATCCTTAGGCCAGCCCCTGGAGTCCTCCACCCTGGATGAAGACGCGGCGCACCTTCCACGGCGAAGGTCCCCGGGGACTTGGTTTTCGGTGCTTAGGTTTAGGGTTTAGTGTTCGGGGTTTCCACGAGTGCGATGTGCTTGGGGGTTCTAGCCGGGCGAGCACTAATCAAGCCTGTGGAAAAGTGTTTGGGGTTTAGGGTTTAGGCTTTCTTCCTGAGCTGAGTTAGGGTTTCGGTGGTTTTTTCCTGAGACGGTTTGGGGTTTCGGGTTTAGGTTCACGCTCAGTGTTAGTTTTAGGGTTTGGGGTTTGGCCTTTAGGGTTTAGGGGCTAAAGTTTAGGGGTTATAACTTTGGCGTTTGGGGTTTAGGATTTAGGGGTTCCTGGCATATGCATAGTGTAAAAAAAGGATTTAGGGGAAAAGGGTTCATTGTTTGGGGTTTAGGGCTCAGGGTTCCTGCCACGAGTGCAGCAGCTCTGAGATCCAGGCGGGCATGTGCAAGTCTGTGCATGAAGGTGCGTCTCTTTCAGGTTTCTTAGGCGTCCTCCCTAAACCCTGGGTTTAGTAGCTCCTTGAAATGCTTCGCGGTGTAATGGCTTGGGATACTACATTGGTTTGAAAATTACCCTGCGAGTGCCTACGAGCCGATGCCTGGCCAATGACTGCTGGGCCCTGCTCGGAATCCCACCTAGAGCCAGGGCTACCTGTCTCCTCCATACATTGCCATACATGCCTCCTGTCGTCATAAAGCTGGATGCGAGGCCTTAGCAGGGATGAGCGGCGGGTCGCATGCACTTTGGGACGTGACTGCACGGACTCCAAGCTCGTCTGGACGGAACGGTCAGTTCAACTTTCCGGTATGAGTCCTGCATGCTCCTCTCTCTTAAACCCTCAAACCACTAAACCCAAAGCCCTACATCCACTTCATGTCTGGGAGTTTTTGCCGTTAGTTAGACTGTCGCGATCCAGGACGGTTGCTGCCAGAATGCCATGCTCTGAGCAGGGATTTGCGGCTTACACAAGGCCTTGACGGTATTTTGGGTGTGGGGTGGTAGCATGCCGGACAATCGTTCCCTGCGTTTGCGGATCCAGTTAGATAGGATAGGGACCCGGCACAAGAGCCAAAACCCATTGGTCATGTTGGAAGCCGGCTGAACAACCCCCTGAGCTTTGTAGTTTAAACGATGCCGGGATTTTCTTCAGGAGTCTGATCCTCTCGCTTTGAGGGTGTAGTGGTGATGGTGGTTGTGGTGGTCATCAAGCTAAGGGCCATCACACGCATTTGCCGGATTTGCTTCGGACAATCATTGCCATTGCGATTCTGATCACGATCTCCCAAGTATCGCGATGGTAATGCAGGTGGCGACGGTGTTCTTGCCACTGGTAATTAATGTTGACGCCGGGGTAGGTGAAAAGGAGGCAGGTGGTAATGATGGGTCTCGGAATGCTTATGATGACAACGCTGACAACGCGATGCTAAAGCAACATTGTCATCATCATCATCATCATCATTATCACCATCACCATGCATCATAATTAGTCATCATGATCGCTACTAGTGTGCTTGGGAAGACGCTGATTCGGCACAAGCCCCGCTATATAATCCTAACTCCTTGACGGATGCATGCTAATTCCCAATCCCTACATAAACCCGAAGCCTAGCCTCTTGCATGCCTTGAACCTTTGAAGTCCCTTAACGACACGCTTTCCGTACAAACCCTGATAGATCCTTGTACGCCTCAAGCCCTGATAAGTCTTTTCGACCGCAGAAACAGTGTCAGTTGCGGGATGACCAAAGGTCGCGATGCTTGGGCACTCCACTTCGTACGTTTTGTGGAGGCACAGGGCCTGCAAGGTCTGTGATGCAGGATTGAAGGCTTCAAGGGAAGTCCAGAAAGTTGGAACATGGTTTAATGGTAGGATCCCCTATAATTTTACTTTAAAGGGGTTACGATAATGATATTCCAACTTTCTGGCTTCTACTGTAGGGTTTAGGTTTCCGTGTTTCGTCTGTGCATGTGCCGAAACAAGCACGCGCGTGCATGCATGAGTTGACACATCAAGAATGAGATGTAAAGCCAACTTAGATACGCGGGTGCCAATTTCAAGGCATCAGACATGAGCATATTATGCATACATACGGATACCTGCGTGTACGCCTGGTTGCGTACCAGCAGGATACCGTTTGCAAATGTATGTGTGCCTCTTCGCGTGTTCATAGTCACAGCTGCACTCAGAAGAATCCCGAACCTGGAGTCCTCCTGAACCCAATGCCCCTGAACCCCTAAACGCCCCAAACCCCCTAAACTCCCTAAAGTCCCGAAACACTTGAATGACCCAATGCAAATTCTCTCTAACCCTTATGGCCCTTAACGGTTTCGGGGTTTAGCTTTTGGTGTTCCGTAAATCCTCAGCCATAAACCTCAAACGCCCTAAATGTTAAGCCGTACCTGGGCCCCAAATAATATACCCTTTTGAGAGTTTATTTAAGGAAATCAAAAGAGCGATCCCAACAAGGAACGTTTTTCTAGAGCCCCAAGCCTTCCAACAAACACTGAACCGACATAAGCCTTGGGCAGGCGATGAAGTCTGCTGGCATTCCACTTTGGGGTGTGCTCCGGCGACAGATTCAGATGTCACACTCGAGCTTAGGGTTTAGGATTTAGGGTCCGTACCACAACACCCAAGAAAACCATGCTAACATCAAGATCTCGGCAGGTTCTAAGTAGGGTCATAAGTACAGTAACCCCAGTTACCGGACTACATGCTGAGCCCCGTGAGCCTTGGAGCCCGTCCACAGTTTTACAACGAAGCTGTATGTTTGTAGTTTCCAGCGTACTTCTTGATTTTGGTTAATTAACCAGTCTTAGTGTTAGAGTCTTGGAATACAAATGGGCTAGCCCAAAAAGCAATTACATTGAAATAGCAACTACAATGTAGACTATACAGAAAGTCTAAACTCTCAACCCTGAACCTGTGTGGAACCCGAAAGCCAGTGCTGTGAACTCGGATTCGCTACGAAGGTATCCGTGCAGAACGAGCCCGAAGCGGCGCAGTGCTGGGAGCCGGGGGCTCGTGACCGGACCTCTTAAGGTGCTAGGGTTTACCTGTAGCCGGAAAGACCTACCTTTTTAGGGGTCCTTCTCATGGTTTCTATATATATATATATATATATATAGTTCCTTAAAAAGGTAGGTCTTTTCGGCTACAGGTAGGGCTTAAGGGTAAAGGATTTAGGATTTATGGGATATACTGAAAAGGGGATGTCGGAGCTGGTGATGAATGACGACGCTGGCGCACGGTGAATGTTCACATTAAGCGCTTGGCTCCATAGAACTTTTCTAGCACCAAAAGCTCCCTGAACCTCAAGCCCGTCAGCTTTTATTCGCTGAACTCGGAACCTTAATGCCCTAAGGCTCTAAACCCTTGCAATCCTAAATACCCAAAGCCGACCGCCATAGAGCCTTCACCCCCAAAACCCCGCAGCCTTCCAGTCCCACAACCAGAAAATCCCTAAACCCCGCTAAATACTAATAAGACGCCTATAAGCACCCTAGAACCCCCAAAAAAGACCCTACTGAACCCAATCAATCACTGCAAAATCCAGAAAAAACCCACTGCTCCCACGCTAAACCCTAAAGCCCTAAACCTCGTTTGGCGCAGTCCGAGTTGCGAGAGCGTAAAGCCCTATAAACCCGAAGCCCAAAACCCTCTAAACCCCCAATTCCTGTAGAACCCTTGCAGGACCCCTTAAAGGAACCCGAAGCCGTAATGCCACCACCCGGGCCATCGGCGCATGGCGGACCGAGCCCTGGCAGAAGACCTGGTCGGAGAGGCGCGTTTGCAGGGATTTTTGTAGGGGCTTGGCGTGCTTCTGGTTGGCTCTATTAAGGGCCATAAGTTAAGGGCTCTATAAGAGGGTACTTTTAGGGTTCCTGGTATTTAGGGTACTATACTACTTGGCGTTCTTCTGGTGGGCTCTTAGGACTTTAACTTTTTGGGTCTCTATAGGAACTATGATAAGGAGGCTAAATTAGTTTAACTTTTCGGAGGGGTCCAGAAGGAAGCTGTAGGGGGGTTTTCGGGTTTCAGGGTCCCTTCAAGTTGTCAAGGGTTCCTTTAAGGGGCTCTCTAAAGGTTCTAGAGGTTTTGGGGGAGTCTAGGGGTGCAGGGTTCCAGGGTTTAGGGTTTTAGGGCTTTAGGGCTTTAGGGCTTTAGGGTTTTAGGGTTTTAGGATTTAGGGGTTCAGGGTTCCAGGGTTTAGGGTTTTAGGGGTTTATATGGTTTCAGGGTTCAGGTTTTAGAGTTTTAGGATGTTTTTGGGCTTAAGGGTTTAGGGTTTCAGCGTTGGGGTTTTTAGGGTTTGGCACTTCGGGATCTCTAAGCAGTTTACAGTCAGAAGGGTCGGAAACTGAGTGTTTCGGAGTTGAAGTTTTCTTTTCTGGAGATTTGGGTGACTAGGTACACTGATTTATTCAATCTGAGAGCTCCGGGTATACGCGCCCCCTGTAATTTTCATTTAAGTGCTCTTACGAATCATGTTCTTTGCTTATTATAGAAAGGCTCCACGGGAAGAGGAGGCATGTTGTTTTTGTTCTGGTTCCAAGGGTGCCTAAGGTACAACTGAAAGAATTGCTTGCTCTTGGCCTATGGGACTGGGCAACTCTAAACCACTGCAGTCGACCTCCTGAAGCCCAAGAACCCTAAGCCCTAAGCCCCTGCAGCCGAATTCTTAAAGCCGCCGAACCCCACTGTGTCCAAACTGACCGTCTAGAACCAGAATTTCTTGTATAGGCCCGGTAGAACCCTTGACTGTAGGAGCCTAAATAATTACCAATACCGTTTGAGGCTCCTCCTTTTACTGATACAGTATGAACATATACCCATATATATATATATGTATGTATATATATATATATATATATGTATGTACACCAAAACCTTCATTCAAGTCCTTAAGGCTTCTATACTAGAACTTTGATTCCTGACCCTTGAATGAAGCCGAGCTCCGACGTCCCACGCACTCCAAGTCCCTGACCCTAAATCATCCGAAGCCCTCAATCTCTAATTCTTGTACACCCCAAACGACACCATCGAAAAACTTAAGGTTCCTCTTTTAAAACCCTATGGAACTGTATCTCCCCACCACTTAACGCCGAAATCCGAAACCCCTGGCCCTAAACCTAAACGGCTTTGAACCCTAAGCCCTAAACCTAAACGGCTTTAAACCCGAAGCCCTAAACCTAAACGGCGCTAAACCCAAGCCCCAAGCCTAAACGGCTTTAGACCCAAGCCCTAAACTTAAACGGCTCTAAACTCTATGCCCTAAACACTCAAAGGTGCGGCGGCACGGTGGCACCTTGCAGGTTGGCTCTCGATCTTGTTCTACCAGTAGTTCAGGCAGTTTTCTTCTTTGTTGATGGGGTTTAGGATTCAGGGGCAGGGTTTAAGGGAGTCTTTTGGGGGTTCTTATCATAAGGCTGTGAGGGTTGTCTGCTCCACCTCTTTGCGAAAAGAACCGGTGGCATGCGACGAACATGCTCTTTTCGGGAAAGTGGGGTTGGTTTGCGCTATGCGGCCGTAACGGTTCTGGCTGTCTCATCCGAATCCCATCCTTTTGCTAGTGTTGAGCACTTCTTCACGTGAACCCTACTAGGCCCTAAACCCTGCGCCCTAATCCCAATACAGCATGTATTGATATGGGAGTTTCCGGAATTAGGGGACCCTAACATAGTACCCTATATAGTAGGATCCTTATTATAAAGGACCCCAAAATAAGGCACCCCTAATTTTCGGGAACGCCCATATGTGGGTTCAAGTGTTGTGGCCAACTCCCGCATAGTTGACGTTTCACCCTGAGGACCTCGGACCATATGGGAGTTTCCGAAAATAAGGGACCCTAATATAGTACCCCAAATAGTAGGATCCTTATTATATGGAACCCCAAATTGAGGTAACCCTAACTTTCGGAAACTCCCATATTAGTCTCGCCTGGCTGGTCCGCGTGTGAGTGCCGAACCCCACTAAGGCTCAGCCCCAGCCCTGTTCCAAGCAGAACGGACCTCGGTTCTTGTCATTATCACTGTTACTATTATCGTTCTTACTACAACTACTATTGCAATCACTATTATTATAACTAATGTCATTATGGTTCTTCTTTGCTACAATTCGTATTACTGTTGTTGTATCTTTTGTCATTATTTCTATCATCTGCAAGCTCAGAGAGCCCAACACCCCTTAATCAAGGCGCGCGCGCCTAAAAAAAACTACCCTGAAGACAAAACCTACAGAGGAGCGGCCGAGGGAAGTGTACAAAAGTGTGGCAGGCGCAGCAAAATCGCACGTTTTGACCTTCCCCAGCGGTATTGTGGCAGAAGCAAAAACGGGACACGATTTCGTGTCCAGTTTTCTGGGCGCCCTAGGCGACCATCAGTGCTATCATCATCGATGTCAACATCGCTATCATCCTCGCAGCCACCATCGATATCACCATCATCTTCATCATTCTCATCATCATCGTTATCATCATCGTCATCAATGTGTTGAGCAGTGGGCTTTTTGTGTGCTGGGAAAAGCCGGCCTGAATTTATTCTCCGGACCTGGGCTGCAAAGCTAGTCTTACGGCAGAAGGCGAAAACACTGGTGGGGCCGATGACTTTGAAGGTCGCGGCAAGTTTGTTGAGGTTTGTGGGTGGAAAAGGTATGGGGCAAAAGGTCTTTGCACAGTCACCTTTGCCAGATCGCCAGGTCATCATCATTGCTACCACGATTGTTATCATCATCGTCATCATCATCGTTATCATCATCGCCATCGCCATCGATATCATCGTGACCATCGTAATTTTCATCATCATCGTTGTCTTCCTCGTCGTCAACATTTCGAGCGGTAGTTTTTTTTAGGCGCGCAAGCCTTAATTAAGGAATATACCTTAAATTATAAAGGGGTTCATATTATGATTTAAGCTATATTCCTTAATTAAGGGGTATTGGGCTCTCTGGGAGGCGAACTACTAGTGCAATTACTATGATTATGACTAATGTCATTCTGGTTCTTCTTTACTACATATCGTATTATTGCTATTATATTTTTAAGTCATTACTATTATCATCTGCAAGGCGAACTACTTGCCGGCAGTGCGCCCCGACCTCCGCAAGCGCCTGGGAGATGGAAAGCTGCTGCAATTCGTCGCGCTCTTCCCCGACCTCTTGCAGGACGGCCTTGTCCTTTTTCATGGCTCCCCCAAAAGAATAAACAGACCGGCTAGTAGACCTTCCTAAATAATTCCTACCAAGGGATATAGGTATAGGGCTCTGTCTATTATGTCTAAAAGGACAAGGGTGTTGCAGGAAGCGTGGCTCTTGTTAGGGTTTAGGCGTTTAGGGGTTTAGGGGTTGGGTTAAGGGTTTAGGATTCTATATGGTGTAGGCCCTCAAGCTGCGTGATTTAGGCCTTGTAGGGTCTGGGGTTTAGGCTTTTAAGACTGCATACTAGGTATCGATTTGGGATAACTTTAAGTTTCCCTTGTTGTTTTGTGGAGAGCCCTAATTACAAGTAGTTTTGGGGATTGTTGAAATCGACGCCTAGTATATTCGAGGCACGATAGATGACTGACTAAGGAAGACGAAATTAGCAATACCATTCGTTGGGGTGCATTGCTGTGATTGTAGCATTCTATACCCAAGACCCCAATCTCACGAAGGCACCTGGTTACCCTAAACCCTAAACCCTAAACCCTGTGTCCTAGACCTTCAGCCTTCCCTGTGTTTCTCATTCTGGTCTGAAGCGCCAAAACCTCTTCATTACTGGGAGTTAGGATTAGGGGGACCCTCGGGGATATATACCCTCTCAATAAGGTCTCTTTTAAGAGAGCCAGAAGTAGGGTTCGGAAGGGGTACCCTTTAAGGGGTCTCCCTCATCATGCTACCCAATTAGGACTTGTTCTTTCAGTCTTGTAGGACCTCGGTCAAGGAATCTTGGAGCCCCCCCAAACCCCTGGGTAACGCTACCCCCTATTTTGAAACTTTGGGAGTCTCTCCGAGTACCCAGAGACTCCGACATCCTTTATTCAGGAATATACCGGTCATATACCTTACATAAGTTCTACTCGCATGCTTATCTAATGCAAAGTTCGTGGTTAAGTGGCTGATCAGTCAGTGAGCCTATGCTCATCCCTTGTCTTAGATCCCCAATACCCAACCTGTAAACTTTTTGGGTTCTTGTAGTTTAGTAGGAATCGGAAAGTATAACCTTATAACCTTTCAATTCTGTGGCTTATTGGGGTAGTAAGTTGTAATCGCCCTTACAGTAACCCTCATGGAATCCTCTGGTGGGGCCCTGCACTAATTACAAGGCGCCCCCCCAGACCACAGAACCCTTATAGTAACCCTTATAGAAACCCGTTTGAAGGGGAACCCTTCGAAGGGACCCTATTCCTATTCGACTTCTTCAGGCCCGTATGTGGGTCGCTGTTTCGGTCCCCAAAGCAGTACGGGACCCTGACAACAAAGTGCTCTAAAGGGGGCATTAGTTTGGAGAACTACCTGCTTTCTTTGAGACCCATACCCTTAAACCTTTAACCCTAAACCGCCTAAACGCTATAATGCCCTAAACCTGAAACCCGAAACCCCATAGTAACCTAAGCCCTAAGCCTTAAACCTGAAACCCCGTAATATTTGACACACAGGTGCGGCCATGGCACGGCGGCCACCTCCTTTGCTCCTGCGAGGGGGATCCCAGCACCGCCCAAACGAAGAAGCTGGGATTCCGTTGAGGAATAGACTTTTGGGTGTAGGGTTTAGGGTTTAGAGTGTTTTAGAGTTTAGGGTTTAGGGTTTAGAGTTTCGGGTTTAGAGTGTTTAGAGTTTCGGGTTTAGGGTTTAGAGTTTAGGGTTTAGGGTTTAGAGTTTCGGGTTTATAGTGTTTCGGGATCAACATGAAGGCTTTGGAGAGTTTCGAGGTATGATTGAAGGTACTGCTGAGTATAAGCGCGTACCTACATCTCCTTACTTGAGAGTGCGTGCTGCACATGAAGTCTATATCTTACCACCCTAAACTATAAACCCTAAAAAAGCGTTAATAGGGGGCACCTTATTTTAATTACAGTATAATTAATGGGTCCCAAAACGTTATTCCAATTCTTAAGGCCCCTATATTAACACCCTTCCCCGAGGCATCAACATAGCCCAAAGGCCTGATATAGCATGGTCTTTGGGCCCAAAAGCCTTACTACATTATGAGTCCTTAGAGCCCCACGGTTCTAAGACGGCATCCAGGAAGGCCGTGGGCCAAGCTCCCTCGGGCGCCACGCGGCCGGGGCCGGGCCAGGGTCAGCTGAGCGAGCGCGCGGTGCACGCACTGCGGCAGCTGGAGCGCGAGCTGAGCCTTAGCGGGGTTTAGGGTTGAGTTTTCGGGGCTGGATAGGTCGCACAGATCACCTTCAACTTTTTGGGGTTTATAGAATCCTAGCATTTTTTTCTCAAGGTTGACCTTTTCTGGGCTAGGGTACTGAGCTGCCAGGATCCAGCGCCTCAGCACGCGGCTAAAAAGCTCCGAGACGGCCGAGACTCGGCTTTCGAAGTGTCCATGCTAGGGACCTACAGGAAATAGTCTGCAGTCCTTGTTCTGGTACAGTAATTTTTTTGTCAAGCTCCGAGATAAGCTGATGTTAACTTTCGGATCAAGAGCCGAGGGGACGGCCACCGAGGGAGCTGCTGGGTTTTTGTTAAGGAATCTTAATTTCATGTTACCATCATAGGGATCTATAGTAAACATAGGGATTTATAGAAAATGATGTGGATTTCCTTATCATGGTAAGTGAATTTGAATTCCGTGGCAAGAGCCCAGGCTGTGGATGTGGCCTGGCTGCTGCACAACGGCAAGATTCGACGGCGAATCGGTGCCGTTGTCCGCTTCCATCCAATTCCTGAGCTCTTCGTGCAGACTGCCTTGGCCAAGGCCACAGACACCCCACAACATCTCTTAGTTTAGCATGCCTTGTCGTTCCACCGGCACTGCCCTTCTTGGACTTTCTTGTTGGGTGTTTTTTGAAAAAATATAATCGGGAAATTGGACCCTGATCATGTTCACGATTTTTGAGTTTTCGCGGGACGTCGGCTGTCATTTAGTAAGCATGGCGCGATTCCTTGATTCCAGGGCAAGGAGTGGGAGTCGATCTTAAGTCGAGGCATCTGAGACTGCAGAGGACGGGGAGGATGACGATGCAACGCCCCAGCGAGGGGTGTCGTCTTCTTGCCCGTTGCACTTGGTCATGCATTGGTGGGTGGTTATCAAAGTTATGGTCCTTTTTGGGTCCCTACTATAATGCGGCACCTATTATTTTGGGTAGCCAAAAGGGACCCTAATTTTGAGAACCACCCTGGTGCAGCCAAGCCGGGCGAATCTTATGAGTCCTTTTATGCTGTCGGGGACAGCTCGTGTTGATGGACACAGCCTTACAAAAGCTTGTCGCACCTCAAACTGCAAGGACTACCCCAAGCTACCATGGCCGACTTGTTGTAGGTGCTTGTTGTATACCCTAATATCGTTTATAGGGGTCGTACAACCAAGTAGGTTTGGGTAGGTTAAGGTACGGCTTATTTCCAGGATTGGAAAGTGCCGGCTGTTGTCCATCAGAAGCTGCCCCCACCCTGTAATAGTGGTATAAGAGGAATATAATAGGGCCCTAATATAATCCTACATAATCCTTATGGTCACTATTACAGGGTCGGGGCCCCTTCTAATCCATCAGCATTATCTCAGGTCCGACCATGCCAGGACCTATGCTGGATATTTGCCCCTGGGACACAAGTCATATTGGCTGCCAATATTCGAAACCCTGATAAAGCCGCTAAGGTAGCTCTTAAAGTAGCCCATATGCTAACCCTTATACTACGGTCAGCGTTATAGTAGAACTCTTGTAGCCGCAGCGTTAGTATCGTACTCCACCACACACCTAAGCTCTGGACTCCAAGCCCAGCCGACACGCAATCCTGGAACCCCGAAGCCGTAAAAGCCCTAAACCTCAAAAAAACGCCCGCAACTTCAAAACCCAATCCCCGAAGCCCTACTTGTAGGGTCGGGGGACTTGGTAAGTAGGAAGTAAGTAGACTTATAAGCACCCTAAAAGGGTCTCTAACTGGGGTTCTGGTACTTATAAGTCCCTCAAGTAGACCACTAAGCCGCAAAGCGCTAAATACCCTCTCCTGGACTGTCTGAGTGGGAGTGATCCCTCAAACCCCGAACAACCCGAACCCCCTAAACCCCAGTCGAAAGGGCTTGGGATTCGGGTTTTGTTCTTTGCCTGTGGGGTTGTAGCTGATAAACTCCTAGGGTTTAGAACTGCAGGGATAAAGGTTCAGAGGTTTAGGGGTTTAGGTGTGGGATTGCGGTTTAGTTTAGAGGTATAGGATTTAGGGGGATAAGCTCTACGGGACTGTTGAGTCCTGGGGCCATGGGGCTTGGTTTAGGGTTTAGGGTTTAGGATATGATCCTACCATAGTTGAAAAGGTTAACCATTTTGGGCCAGGGTACTCAGCCCCTCAGTAGATGACCCTCATCTGCACTCCCCAAATATGACTCCTAAACCCAAAACCCTCAGAGCAGATACAGTCACTTTGGTTGTTCCGATATGCTCTGTTTTTTTAATACTCTGACTGATTCATTACTCCGTTTCACATTGTTAGACCTCGAACCACATGCCTCGCCCGGATTGTCCGAGTGAGAGCGCCGAAACCTAAACCCTAAACCCTAAACCCTAAAACCCTAAACCCTAAACCCTAAACCCTAAAACCAAAACCCTAAACCCTAAGCCCTAAACCCTAAACCCTAAAGCCTAAGGGCCATAAATACGCATTGTTACAGGATGGAGGCAGATTTCAAAGTAACACATCACTTGTGTCATCCCCGAGAGCCGCAGTCATGCCCTGTTTAGGGTTTAAGGTTTACGATTTAGGGTTTAAGGTTCAGAGTTGAAGGTTTAGGGCTTAAGGTTAAGACTTAGGGTTTGTAGGGTTTCTACTGCAGGTTTGCTTCTGCCACCCGTACTACCACCACTATACCATAAGATTGCCATCACCAGCACCACCAATTCCAAGCAATCGTGGTACTCATTGATAGTCCATCTTGGTAGAACGAATAGACATCAGCACGATGACCACGAAATACGGCTAGCGGCAGAGGAAGAGTTTGGGACCGTAAATTTCAACTTGCATTGCAGGTTGCAGTTTCTGCGCGATCGGCACGAGCTGTTCCAACTGTGCCCTGCTCACGGCGACGTGGCGACGTTTCATTCTCAAAGGTTTGAGCGTGCAATACAGGGGCCGCAAGAGTTTCCAGCATTATTCCGTAGGGTTCCTTAGTGGCCCGAATGATTGCAAATAATTGTATTATGATATACCCCAATACCCCAAAACTTTACCTTGTTTATTAAGGCTCCTACAGTAAGGTGTTTTTTTCGGTCTTCGCTCAAGTCTTCAACCTGACACAGACCCTAAACCCCAAACCGGGAGACTTGAATGGGGATCGTGGAACCCTTGTTATAAGCCCAACCATAAACCCGAAACCCTGAACCCTCATAAACTGTAGATATGAGTTGGGTTGCAGGCCTTCGTTATTGTTATGGACATCGTCAATCTCATGATCATCACCATCATCATCAGCCTCGTCATCATCGCCATCATCTTCATCGTCGCCACGATCATCATCATCATCATCATCATCATCACCGCAGGTTTGCAACGACGTGTCTTTGTGCGTCCAGTGTTCTGCCCTACACACAGGCTAGAAATCAGGCAGTGGGTACCCCTTGCTTACATTGCTTCGGATGGCAAGTGGTTGTCTGGGTCGGATGAAGAATGAGCAGCGGAAAACGATCCACGATCCTGAGGCTCCTGCAACAGAGCCGATTCAAAAACGAAGCAACGAGGTAACCTTGAGAGTAGATGTCAATCTGCGTGCTGTGGCCGGCTTGCCTCAACGGCGTGTGGATGTCCAGCTGAGGCTATTTGGGAGTTTCCGAAAATAGGGGACCTTAATATAGTACCCTAAAGAGTAGGATCCTTATTATAAGGACCCCAAATACGGTACCCTAATTTTCAGAAACTCCCACTTATGGCCCGCAACCCTAAACCCTAAACCCCCTAGATCCCCAATACCCAACCTTTAGACTTTTTGGGTTCTTGTAGTTTAGTAGGAGTCGGAAAGTTCAGAAGTATATTTCTGTGGCTATTGGGGTAGTAAGACCCTGAACGGATGTCAAGCTGAGCCCAGGCGGCGATCGTCCAGTTTGTATCTACGGTGACGCTTGCTGCTCCTGCCGGATGAGGGTCTCCATCTTGCCAGAAGGCGGGTATTGGTTTCAGGGTTTAGGGCTTGGCTTAGGGGTTTAGGGTTTAGGTCTCCGTCTTGCCAGAAGGTGGGTTTGGTTTTTAGGGTTTAGGGCTCAAGCTTAGTTCATAATTTCGTGGCTCCGTTACTTGAAGGATCATGGGACTTAGTAACTAGGGTTATACGTAAGGTAACTGTACTTATAACCCTACGTCCCATGATCCTCCAGGTAGTTCATCATTTCATGGCTCCGTTAAGTGTGCCTACAAGGCTTCCTACAAGGATCCTTCACCGGCTTCTATCGGGGCCGCAGAGGTGTTGCATGGTCTCATGAGTTAATGATGGCTTATATGATACCCCCTCATATTCCCTACTAGTATCTAGTTGCACAAGAATATCCTGCAAAGCTTTAGTCTGATTAAAGAAGCCCCTACGTTTGGGTGCTTGGTCTCAGGGTTGCGGGCTTAGCCTGGATGCCTCCACTGAGCAAAATGCTGAGCCGTACAAAAACCCGAAACGGACCTCAGAACCTTAAAGCCCTTACCTCCACTAGCTCCGAACTCTAAAGGCCCTAAGCCCTTAAGGGCCCTTAGGGTTTAGGGGTTTAGGGGTTTAGGGTTTAGGGGTTTAGGGGTTTAGGGGTTTAGGGGTTTAGGGTTTAGGGGTTTAGGGGTTTAGGGGTTTAGGGGTTTAGGGTTTAGGGGTTTAGGGTCTAGGGGTTTAGGGTTTATGGGGTTTAGGGTTTAGGGGTGTAGGGGTTTAGGGTTTAGGGGTTTAGGGTTTAGGGGTTTAGGGGTTTAGGGGTTTAGGGTTTAGGGGTTTAGGGTCTAGGGGTTTACTGAGAAGGCCCTCAACCTGTGGAAAGCTTCCAGGGTTGGAGCTCCTCATCGCGGCCCTGAGCTCGAAGACCTCAAATGGGAGTTTCCGAAAATTAGGGGGGGTACCTCTAAAGGGATCTATAAGGGTTCCTACAAGGGATCTATAGAGCTTGGGGTTTGGGAGTTTCCGAAAATTAGGGGGGTACCATATTTTGGGGTTCTTATTATAAGGATCCTACTATTTGGGGTACTATCTTAGGGTCCCCTATTTTCGGAAACCTTAAATCGACCTATTCCTAGAGGCTTCTCACCCAGACCCCCGGGAGGATCCAAAAAGTAGATCCCTTAATGGGGGGTTCCTATACAGTACCCTTAGTAGTATAGGGCCCCAAGTTAAGGGATCTACTTTCTAGATCCTCCCGGGGGTCTGGGCATATACTACCATGATGGAATTAGGGCCCTTAAAGCCGTAGTAAGGATGGTCTTTCGGGACCTAATTCCAGAATGGTAGTATATGAGGAGCCTCTGGGATGGTCTCCATTGTAGTTCCTCCTTGGGGTTTCCTTGTAGGATCCTTGATATAGTACGGTTCGAATGCCTGGGAGAGAGAGAGAGAGAGAGAGAGAGAGAGAGTATCGGTTAAACCAAAAGGGAGCTACAACGGAGACTATACCTATAGTCTCCATTGTAGTTCCTTTTTTGGTTAACCAGTTTTATGGTTAGGACCCTGTACCCAGACCCCCGGGAGGATCCAAAAAGTAGATCCCTAATGGGGGTTCCGATAAAGTACCCTTAGTAGTATAGTATTATAGGGCCCCAAATTAAGGGATCTACTTTCTAGATCCTCCCGGGGGTCTGGGTAATAGAGACTCTGGTTAACCAAAAAAAGGAGCTACAATGGCGACTATAGGTAGAGCACCTGAGTTCAGGGTGGAAGATGCTCAATTCTCTTGCTGACGACGAGGATCTGGAAGCGGCCCGGAATGAGCTGAAGGATTCGGGTTTGGGGGCGTTGCCACAGTAGTTATACTAGCTGCAGAAAGAAGTGTGTCGAATTTCATAGCGCCAAGTCCTGGAGACCAATGCTCTTTGTCTTCATAGCCTACTATGTAAACTGGGAATTCCATTTACAAGAAGCTGAAGGCTTAAGCTTCGTGTCTTTGGGCTATTGAGCAGGGCACGAGCGAAGCTGTGTAGCTCCCCACATCTAAGTCTATGTTCTAAGCCCTAAACCCCCAAAGGCGCCCTCAAGGAATCAAAGCCATGAAACCAAGAGCTCCGATCCCCCGAACCTCAAATTCAAACCCTAACCTCTAAACCCCTAAACTGCTAAACCCCTAAACCCTAAACCCCTTGGTGCCTTCAGGCTCGACCCCGCATCCTAAACAAGCCCCTACGACTGCCACCTCGAGAAGCCCTATCTCTATTTATAATTATGGACCCAACAAGCATATAAGCATAAGCATTTTATGAGGATATCCCTACCCTATTGGGCTTCATTATAAGGGGGTTATATGGGATATCCCTATCCTAATTTTTGCTTATGTGCTTTTGGGGGGCCCAATATAAGTCTATCAGGTCTTTCGTTGTTCTACATATCTCCACACCTGTAATTCCATTTCTACCCCTGTATCTATATACTCTGTCTATATCTGGATCTATATAGGCCACCTAGCTATGTCTACAGCATAAACCCAAAAGTTGGAAACCCCATAGCCTCAATCCTTAACAGTAATGTATAGGGAATCCCAGCACTAGTTGGCCTTAATTCGGTTTCCAACTTTATGGGGTTTACTCTATATCTATCTGTACATCTACATCTAGATCTACACCCCGTGCTGTTGTCTATATATATATATATATATCTTTTGGATATCTTTTCTATACAGGTAGATATAGATGTAGAGACACATATGGATGGTTGCCAAAATTAGGGTCCCTGTTTTGCTTCCTTAAGATAATACGGCACCTAATATTTATGGTACCCGAAAAGGGGGCCACAATTTTGACAACTACCCATATATGCACAGATGCACGTGCACACAGGAAATAGAGTTGTAAGGGGCGGGCTGAAAGGGTTTTGCGGTAAGGGCTAGCATGAAGGAGCCCTAAGGAATAGTCAGCCCTAAACCCCTAAACCCCCAAACCCTAAACCCTAAACCCCTAACCCCCAAACCCTAAACCCTAAACCCCGAAACCCCCAAACCCTAAACCCTAAGCCCCGAAACCCCCAAACCCTAAACCCTAAGCCCCGAAACCCCCAAACCCTAAATCCTAAACCCTAGGCTCAGCTAGAGCCCAGAACATGAACCCGAGGCCTGACCTGGCCAAGCTACCCTACAAACCACACCTGGTAAAGGGAACTCCAGAAAGTTGGAATATGGTTTCAGGGCAGGATACCTTATAACCATAAAGGGCTTAGGATAATCATATTCCGACTTTGTGGCTTGTACTTTAAGGTGTAGGGTGTAGAAACTTAGGGCTTAGCGGGGTCCTGAACCTAATAAGCTTCAAGCCTTGGGTACTGCCCCCTCTCAGTAACAGTTGGATAATATTCATAATATAGATAATTAAGGCCCTGAATAGTAGCCCTATCATAGACTGTTACAGTATGGGGGGCAGTACCCAACTCAAGCCCCCCAAAAGACCCTAAACCATGGCTCAGATCTAGCTCGGATCGGGGCCCCCGAAAGCCTAAACCAAGTAACCAAGGGATCATGGGACTTAGTAACTAGGGTTATAAGTAAAGTAACTATGCTTATGACTACTTGCCAATAAAGGTACTTATAACCTTACTTCTAAGTCCCATGATCCTCCAAGTAACCAAGGCTCTGATCCAGCTTGTGGCACAGAAGGTGAGTCAACTGACCACGGCGTGTGGCAGTCAGAAGGCTTGGCCCATGGCTCTGTGTAAGGTTGGGGCCTTAAGAATTAGACTGTGGTTTTGGGGTATATTATACTAGAATTACAACAAGGAACCCCCAAACCCTGTTCTAACGATGAAGGCCCCAACATTAGGGCTTAAAAATAGGCGTATGTTTACGACTGCTCAATAGGTTCTTTCGGGATTCCGGGCTTTGCAGCTTCGGGTGTTAGGGTTTACGGCTTCAGGGTTTTTACGGTTGTAGCCAACGCCAGGGTCGGGGTTTAGGGTTTAGGGTTGAGGGTTTACATGAACTGTTGCGGGAAGTACTGCTCCCAGGGTTTGTTTGTCGAAGTTGCTTGTCCTTCACCGCTAAAGCCACACACCCCCAAACCTGCACCTAAAAGCTGGAAACCCAAAACTCTGAGCCCTCAAGTTGCAGGATCAACCGGGGTTCCGGGACGATGAGAGCAAGTTCGCATTCCTAAACCCCTAAACCCCAAACTAGGCCCTATTTAGCGTGGGAAAACGGGGCCACCACATATGGTAAACGAAAAAATGCGCCCTAAACGGGCTGTAGCGCTCGTGGGACTGAGACAGCTTCGCAGCATCGAGCCCGTGGGGCTTAGGTGAAGTTCAAAGCTTAGAGATTACAGTAGCAGCCCAAAAGTTGGAAACCCCATGGCCTCAATCCTTAGTAGTAATGTATGGGGAATCCCAGCACTATTTGGCCTTACTTCGGTTTCCAACTTTATGGGGTTTGCTGTAGGGTGTCGGGCTTGTAGCGTTTAGGGGTTTGGTGTTGAGGGGCTTCGGCTCGACTGTTTTGGGGTTTGGGTGCAGGGTGTAGCGTTTAGGGGTTTAGGGTTTACGGTTTAGTAGTTTGGTAACTTAGGGACTTAGGGTAGGCGACCGTGCAAGGCCTGATGCACAAAGGCTTTATGAGTTCGGGCTTAGGGTAGTAGCCACCATCCTTTGCACGCGCTTCTCCTCCTCACCCATGATCCTAGGGTAAAAGGAGGGACCCTTAATGAGGACCCCTACGTATATACCCTTAATATAGCTACTATACACCCATCATATAGCCCATTATAGGGTCCCCTTTGACATGAAAATCAGGGGCAACATTTGCGTCATCAGTCATGGGTCATTCAGCCAAGCAGTCGCGAGCGCAGAGCAAAACTACAACAACGACTACAAACAAGAACGAATAGTATACAGGTCAGAAACATTCGATTAGGCTGCCTAATTCTTATCAGTATTGTCTAGTATACCCCAAGCAGTATTCTGATTTTTAAGGCCAATCCATCAGCCCTAAACCCGAAACCGCAAACCCCACCAGCCCTAAACCCGGAGCCCTCAACCTTCATCAGCGGGAGTCTTGCAGCAACCAGCAGGTTCCGCTGGTTCGCCTCGGCCGCGATGCTGACGTGAAGAAGGCCACGAGATCTCACAAACGAAAACCGAACGGTAAGAGGGTAGAGGTTTTGGGTTCATAGGGTTTAGGTTTCGGGGTTTAGGATTTTGAGGTTTAGGGTTTGTACTGTAGGGCATAGAAGCCTTAACACTTGCCAACATTGTCAACCTTGTGCCTGAGGAAGCCTTATTCTAGATTATAGTATATGGGAGTTTCCGAAAATAGGGGACCCAAATACAGTACCCTAAATAGTAGGATCCTTATTATAAGGACCCCAAACTAAGGTACCCCTAATTTTCGGAAACTCCCATGTCTGCACAGTATTAGGCCCCAGTCCTGTTGCAACTATTCAACCCCCTATGCTGTGTGCGACCTTGGGTTTCAAGTAATGACTTCTGGTTCACTTAGATCCCCAATACCCAACCTTTAAACTTTTTGGGTCCTTGTAGTATAGTAGGAATCGGAAAGTTTAACCTTTTATTTCTGTGGCTTATTGAGGTAGTAAGTTCAAGATTTGGAAGAGTTCTTCATATTTGGTACGGAGTTCAGTATACGGTGAATGTCGGGCAAGCTGAATTGAATTGCGGTCAGATAAAGCCGGAGCATGCGAAAGACGAGGAGGCATCGAGGCGTGAGACATAACCACCCCGCTGACCCCTGCAACTGTGGACTGTGGGTGCATGTGGAGTAGGGTTTCGTGGTGAGTGTATTTAGAGTTCTTAAGAAATTTGGTGAGGGTGTTTCTTCAATGTCTCTTCCAGGTGTCATTTTGGAGATTTTCTTTTGGAAACTGCCCGAATACAACCTGGACAGCATGTCGCCCCCGGAGCTATTCTGCTGGAGGCATCCCGTCAGCGGCAACAACAGTTCCCCTACTCGCGAAGCTCCATAGACCCCTAAACCTCTTAACCCCCGCAAGAAGCTAGGAGCAGGGGGTTCTAATCCCAAATCAGGTGGCTCCCTAAACACCTACATCCCTGAACCCTAAACCCTTGAAACCAAGTTTTTGGTTTCCGAATTTGCTGGACTCTGGCATGGTCATGGTCCTCGGTCCCCGGACAGTGCCACTGCAGAAGACAGCATCACTGCAGAAGCTGATGGCCCCACCTCTACTTGGAGGGTCATGGGACTTAGTAAGTGAGGTTACTTAAATGGGGTTATAATTAATTGTAAGTAAAATTACCCTATTTATAACCCTAGTTACTAAGTCTCATGATCCTGTAAGTACCATGCCCAACGGTTTCAAGCAACTGCAGATCTTGTTCCAGATCCCAGACCTCGTGACAGGGCCCAGCGAACCCGAAACCCTCCAGCCACATGTCGAAACTACATGAGCTCGAAAAATTAAAGGTGTTTTCTAAGAAGCGTAGTCGGTATGGATCGATTGATCGATGGTAGAGGTAGAAGATTCCTTCATGCTTTTTCTTCTCGTGAAGCAACTTAGGGGCCCTGTCAGGAACCGCAAGCAAATCGGATGAGATCCGATCAGCCGAAACACCACTCGCTTGCCCAGCACACCCTAAACCCCCGTCGTTGAGGCCTTGCGCGGTCGTGCCTTGCTGTCATTCCTCGATGCAGATGCGCGGCGTCAAGCTGCTGCAGGGCATGGGCAGCTCAGACTGCTTTGGACTTTGGGGGATTAGTTCCAAAAATGTTTGCAGGTTTCCTGATGCCAACATTGGCCTACATGCTGTAACGGCCCTAGGTATAATCGAGCTGACCCCAAGTAGAGCGAGCGCGAGTCTCTGCAAGCACAGTGACAGCAGTTCATGTCAGCAAGCTGTACTAGTACTAGTCAAGTCGTCTTGAAGATCTGAAGGTGCGTGTATGAACTAGCAGTGCGGCCGTTTGTACTGCACCACCGACCCCCTGCAGATTGGGCAGTAGTCGCCACAAGGAGGATGAATAGTATGAGTGTTACTTAGCTTCTAAGCTACTACTATCGTTCGGCACCGTGAGAGGATATGTGTGATGGTAGAAGATGCACAGTGGGTTTAAAAATTGTAGTGTTGCTGTGCGTCATGGCGATGCCCCTGTCAACTTGAGATTTTGAAAGCATTATCTGTTGATGTTGCTTGATGTCGCTTTTCTCCCTGTCGCTGTAGCTGCTTCTCTCGTTGTTGCCGTCGTCCTCGCCGTCATGGTCTTGGTCGTGGTCGCGGCTGTGTGGCTGTGGCTGTTGCTTTGGCATGGCTGTGGCTGCGGTGGTGGTTGTCGTTGTGGTTGTGGTTGTGTGTGTGTGTGTGTTGTTTTGTTTTTGCGGTGGCGCTTGTTGTTTTTTTTCGGAAGCGGGGCGGGTGGGTTGCCGCTATGCTTTTGCTTAGTGGCTGTGGTCGTGGTTGTTGTTGTGGGTGCTGCTGCTGTTGCTGTTGCTGTTGCCTGTTCCTGTTGCTGCTGCTTCCGTAGATTGCCGATCGCAATAACGCTGCATCCCAAATCTCAATTTATTCTTCCCACTGCCAATTTGAGCCAAAAGCCTCAGCCAATTCATAACACGCGATAACCTAAACTTTGCCGATCCCCTTTTGTTTTTTTCAACGGCTTTACTTGCGTTCCAGACTTCCGAGGTTCAGGCAGATGGGGGAGGGTCGACACCTCGAATTCCCAAACTGGATGTACTGTGTTTTTTCCCTGAACCTACACCCTACTTCAGGGGGGTTTCGGGGTCTATTATACTAAGCTTGTAATAAGGAACCCGCAAAATCGTTTTGGTAGTTATTCAGGCTCCTATATACCCTTAAACCCTCCTAAGCCCTAAACTCTAAACCCTAGAACCCCAAGCCCAAAACCCTAAACTCTACCCTAAACCCCCTAATAGAATCCTTACAGATCCCTGTAAAGGAGGCCTTTAATTTAACGGACCTCTACCTAATCCGAACCTCTCAGGCTACTATTAAACCCTAAACCCTAACACTAAACCCCTAACCCCTAAACCCTCTAGCTCCCTTAAAGGAGCCCTTATAGTATATACACTATATGCCATAAAGCATCCCTATACATCCCTTAGAGGAGCCGTTATAGTACCCTTTAAAGTTTAAAGGGTGCTATAAGGGTTCCTTTAAGGGATGTATAGGGCTGCCAAGAAGGACCTCTAAACCCCTAAACCCCAAAGCCCCCAAAGAAACCTTGAGATCTTAACTAGGTAGGCCCTTGGGACATTTTATATTTTTCCCTTTTGGGGGTTAAGAGGATCTTGTTTACGAGAGGCTTCGATGGGCCAACCTAGTTAAGCGCGCCACATCGGATCAAGGCCTCGCCTTCGTTTGGAGTCACTCGGCTGCAGGGCTTCTTTTCGGTTTAGGACTTGTTTAGGGTTTGTTGAGGGTTTGTTGAGGAGATTTAGGGCTTGCTTTAGGATTAGGAGGTTTAGGGGTTTAGGAGGTTTCGGGTTTTGGATTTAGAGGTGGATTTAGAGGTTTAGGGTGTAGGAGGCTTAGGAGGTTTAGGGTGTAGGGTCCCTCCATCCGTCCGCCGAACGCTTGTCTGTCGGTGCTTGCCGTTCGGCATGTAGATACATGCAGTGTTTCGTGCGTGCGTTATTAAACCCTAAACCCTAAACTGTCAGTTCGTCCGTCCGTCGGTTCGTCTGTCGGGGCGGATCGGGTCTGATCTGGATCGGGTCTGGTCGTTGAGGCGACACAGGCACCAAAAGAAACTTAAAGTCGAGAATCGAAAGGGCCAGCCTTAAACGCTAAAGCAAACCCTCCCTTTTTCCCCTCTGAACTTCATCTTTTGGAACAAAAGACCCTAAACCCTAAACCCCTAAACCCTAAACCCTAAACCCTAAACCCTAATCCCTAAACCCTAAACCCTAAACCCTAAACCCTAATCGCTTTCAGCCCGATAGGCTTGGTGAGTCGACCCCTACAGCCAGCCCAACCCCGTAGAATCCGGGTTTAGGGTTTAGGGTTTAGGGTTTAGGGTTATAAGGACCAATAACCAAGGCACCCACCCCGAAACAGGCCGTAAAGCAACTAGTAATTAATAGCTAGAAGATAACAGCTAAAGCCCTAAAATCCTAAAGCCTGTATAGAAGCCTTACGTAGACCTTTCAAAACGCCCGAGAGCTCCCAAGCCCTAAACCCTAAACCCTAAACCCTTGTTGCGGGTGCGGAAACCCCAAGCCCCATACCCTGATGCCCTCGCGAGCCCGGCTAGGACGAGCAGCGCGACGTTCCTGATCGCTCTCCAACCTGGTGCTTTCAAGTTGGAGGAGGTGAGGGTGAGGGTTTAGGGTATAGTGGATCTTGAGGGTTTAGAGTCTATAGGGTTTAGGGTTGAAATGGTTTCGGATCGAGGGTCTAGGATTTATACTGTGTGTTTAGTATAAAAGGCTTTGAGGCGTGAGGCTTGATGCGGTTTAGGGGCAAGTTTAGGTGGCTGAGGATTCTTAGCTCTTAGGGCGCTGGAGGCTCTAAATCCTAAGGGTGTATTGAATCGTGGTCCGAAGCCTAAACCCTAAACCCTACCATGAACCCTAAGCCCAAAGCTCTAGGCCAGAAGTCGCGCGGATGTTAAGGGGAAGGCGGTACCCAACAGTCATATTCATGATTCATTCATATGCTCCGCGACGTAGAATGTAATAAGTCATGTCCCAAACACCGTAAAAAAGCGGGTCACAACCCGCCTTAAATCTTAACAAGCGTTTATAAGCACAGCTAAACGAGAACCCACCACAAATCCTTCACGTAGCAGTAGAGTAGGTAACCCTTGCCCTTTCTGGGGCCCTATCATCGCCATAAGCTCCCAAAAGTGGGGCATTACGTCCCGTAAAATGCTGCGACGAGCAAGCCCAACGAAAGCCCCAAAGCCAGCGAGGCAGCGCCAGCACTTCCGACGGCCAACAGGACGCCCCCCTTTCAGCTTCCTAAGGAGCTTAGATCCCCAATACCCAACCATGGATCCTTGAAGGGCTCCTTAAAGGATCCCTGTGTTTAGGTGTTTTGGGTTCAGGGTTTGGGGTCCCTTTAACTTAGATTCCCAATGTCCAACCTTCAAGCTTTCTGGGTTCTTGTAGTTTAGAAGAAATCGGAAAGTTTAGCCTTTCAATTCTGTGGCTTATTGGGGTAGTAAGTTTCAGCTTCCTGCAAAAATGTTGGAGTCGAAGGTGCTTTATGCTGCACGGCTCTTGGCTTATACGGACTGAAGTGAATTGTGAACCAGGACATGTATGTCTCGGTTGGAATTATCGACCGTTCTTCTTCCGGGGCCAGCCTGGGCACCTCCGAAGAATAAGAGGTACTCGGTACAGCAGTAAGAGCAGGAGTTGTAAACACCCTGGCAACAGAGAGCCCTTACTGAACGTGACACCAAGACCCACCGCAGACAGCCTGCCCTTTACCTCCACAAGGCCCGCCTCACAGTCCCTGCCTGCGCCCCTCCCGGGTTGTTGTTTAGGGATTAAGTTTAAGTTGCCATAATTATTGGGATTTACTATAGTAAATAATATGGTTTCCTTATTATGGTAGCTTAAACTAAATCCCTGTACATGGGATCTATGGTAAGTACTATGGCTTCCATATGGTAACTTAAACTGACTCCCTTAACACAGGGATCTATAGTAAATCATATGGTTCCCATACTATGGTAACTTAAGCTAGTAACTAATTCCTTTAACATAGGGATTTACTAAAGAAAAACTCTGGTTTCCATAGCATTGTAGCTGAAATTAACTCCTTTAGCAACCCTAGGGATCAGCATAGCCCAAAAGCCTTATATAGTATGGTCTTTGGGCCCAAAAGCCTTAATACGAGTCCTTAGATCCTTACTTGGAGGGTCGGGGACTCGGTAACTGGTTATTTTAGGGACTTATAAGTACCATAACCCCAATTAGGGTCCCTTTTAGGGTACTTATAAGTCTACTTACTACCTACTTACTACGTCCCCGAACCCTAAACCCTAAACCCTATACTACCCTTATAGAGCCCTTTAAAGGAGCCCTTAGAATCCCCCTTTAAAGGAGCCCCTAGACTAAGTCCCCCAGCCCTCCAAGTACGTCTGTGCGCCCCCGCCGGAGAGGCCTAGAGTCGGGCCACAGGAACTCCAAAGACCTAAAAAAAAGGCTTAAATGAATACCCTGTTATGCTAGTTTTGGGGGTTTAGGGTTTAGGGTTTCCTTCTGCTAATTGTAGTATGATGGGCCCCAAAACCCTATTCTAATTATTAAGGCCCTTTTAATTTTAGCACCTCAAGAGGAAACGTGCTGAAGCTGAAGGCAGTCCCAAGGCCACATCCACGCAGAGGGACACGCAGGGCTTCATCAACCCGGAGGCCGGACGACCAGGCATTGAACCCGCAGAATTCACGCAAGGCTTCGCGACGGCACCGCACGGAGAGGGACTTCTCTCCTGAAGCACCGAGTGCCAGCAGCGCGGAGCTGCGAGCTGGCTTGCAGAGCCTCCTGGAATCAGGGAGGAAGGTCACGGAAGATCCATATTTAGAGGGGACGCAGCAAAGTCCATCCCGGCGGAAAGCCACGACGAGCAGGTGGGATTTTCAATGTTTGACGTGAGCGAACAAGTCAGCTCGACATTCTGGTTGCTGTACTCCGTGTCCTTGCTTCACATGGGTCACGAGGAGCATCTTCAGAAACAACGAACCATGACGAACCCTAAACCCCAAACCCCAAGCCCTAAACCTTAAACCCTAAGCTCTAAGCCATGTTCGAGATGTGAGAGCGTAAACCCTGGGGCGTATGTAGGATTTACCACAGAGCTTGGAGGCTCAGGTTCAGAGCTTGGAGGCTCCGGCTTCTTGCTGTGGGTTACCTAGACTTTAATTGAGGTTAAGGGTTTGGAGTTCAGGGTTTAGAGTTTGGGGCTTTGAAGAAACAGGGGAAAGGGGGCTAATGCTGTAACCGGGCTGCTGGACAACGAGGCCTGCCGCAAAAAGGGTTTAGGGCAGTTGTTTTCTGTCTCAACCATTCCCTTGCAGCGGTCTCGGAGTCCCTGCGACTTCAGCGAAACCGTTAGACCATGTCATGTGAGGGATCCGGCTAGTGTTTATCTGATAAACCATATCAAGGATCCTTCTATAGTTTAAGGTATCAATATATTCCTTAAACTGTAGTAGGATCGTAGTATGTTTTTTGGGTACAGTCCGTAACCAAGGTGTATTGGAAGCTCTGGGTTACTGAAACCCTACTTAGAGGATCATTTGACTTAGTAAGTCAGGCTGTAAGTAGGTAGGATAGCCCCACTTAGGGTACTTATAACCAAATTATAACCTTAATTGGGGCTATAAGTAGTTATAAGTATAGTTACCTTGTTTAGAACCGTAGCTACTAAGTCCCATGATCCTCTAAGTACCCCCAAACCCTTATAGAATCCTCAATAGTAAGCCTTATAGATCCCTTACAAGGACCCTTAAAGGAAGCTAGTTAGAACCCTTAACAGTAAGCCTTATGGATCGCTTGAAGGAACCCTTACAGATCCCTTAAAGGAAGCCTTAAACGAACCCTAGTTGCCCTAGTTAGTAAGTCCCATGACCCTCTAAGTACCCCCCCCAAACCCTTGTAGAACCCTGATAATAGTAACCCTTACAGATCCCTTAAAGAAACCCTTACCCTGGGTTTGGAGAACCATACTTGAATACTATTTGTTGTAAACCTGTTCCTTAGGAACCATTTTGAAAAAAAAAGTCTATACTTTTTCTCCTTGGTTACTTCAAAGTCCAGTTACAGATCCCTTGAAGGAAGCCTTGTAGATCCCTTAGAGGAACCCTTAACGGAAACCTAGTTACCAAGTCCCATGATCCTGTAAGTAACCCCCGAAAACCCTGATAGAACCCTTAATAGTAACCCTTACAGATCCCTTACAGAAACCCTTGCAGATCCCTTAAAGGAGGCTTTGCAGGAACCCTAGTTACTAAGTCCCATGATCCTGTAAGTAAACCCTTACCCTAAACCCTAAACCCTGAACCCTAAACCCTAAACCCTTACCCTAGACCCGCCAGTTAAAGATCCACTATGTCCCATGATCCTGTAAGTAAGAGCTGGGAGAGGAACCGCAGGATGGCGGCACCACCATCGATCTGCCTCCTGGGAGCCTCTGTCGAACTATCTAGGTTGGATTTTGGGACATTTCGTTTTTTTCTATTTTCATTATTTGGGATCTTTTGGTTTCCTTCTTTGGGATTTTTTATTTTCCTTATTTGGTTGAAAAGGGTGCCTTATATATGTTTAAAGGCCAACCCAGTTATGCTTGATGAGACAAATCTTGCAGTACCTTTAAGGGCTCTTTTCATTTTAAGGATCTTTTCGGGGATCTATAGGGTTTAGTAGGGTTTAGGGTTTTGGGTTGTGGTATAGATAAATCCTGCATTACCATTATGACCTAGACTATGAGAATTTAGGTCTATTCCTTATTATGGGTAATGTTATATCATCAACCGTATGTTTTGGGTTTAGGGCTTTTGGGTGTTCGGGTTCGGATTCCTGTACGTAAGGGGTCCTTTAAGGGCTCTATATGTTTTGGGTTTAGGGTTTTCGGGTTTAGCGTTTTAGGGTTTTCGGGCTTAGGAGTTTGGGGTTTTGGGTGCATAAATCCCTAAATCCCAAATTTCCGAAACCCCTAAACTCCTGCCCTAAACTCCAACACCCCTAAGCCCATAAACCCTTAAATCCTTAAGCTTCTAAACCTTAAACTCCTACACCCCAAACCAATACAACCCTCAACCCCCGCAGCCCTCCTAATAGGATCATGGGAGTTAGTAACTCGGGTTATAAGTAAGGTAACTATACTTATAACTACTTATAACTACTTATAACCCCAATTAAGGTACTGATAACCTTACTTACTAAGTCCCAGGATCCTTTAAGTACTTCCAAAACTCTTATAGAGTCCTTATAGAAACCCTTATAGGTCCCTTTAAGGAACCCTGTAAGGAACCCTAGAAGTCGCAGGGTTACTAAGTCCCATGATCCTCCAAGTAAACCCTAAACCCTAAAAGCCCCTCGGAGCGCCTAGGCCCAAAATGGGAGTTAGGATTAGGGGAACCCTCCTGGGATATAGACCCTCTCCACAAGGTCCCTTTTAAGAGAGCCAGAAGCAGGGTTCGGAAGGGGTACCCTTTAAGAAGTCTCCCGCATCATGCTAGACCCAAAAGGAGCCCAGAGAGCACGTGAGAGGTGAGGCTCCCGGCTTGGCGGTGCTTCGGAAGCCCCCGAAGGTGACCACTGAGGCAGAGCTCCGGATGAGGAGTTGAGGTTTTAGGGTTTAGGGGTTAGGGTTTTAGGAGTTTGGGGTTAAGGTTTTAGGGTTTTAGGGTTTAGGGGTTTGGGTTTCGGAGTTGCAGAAAAGGTGACCCGAAAAGGCTACCGAAAGGGTCGAGGCTTTTGGTTTCTGGGCGCAGTTTTTTCTACCGCAAACGGTTTTTTCCTTGCATCCAGCTTATCGACGTACAGCAACCCCAAAGCCTGATTCTACGAAACATTGAGCTCTGCCCTTGGCATGACACCCTCACAGCGATCCGCGGAAAGAGTCTGATAAGGATTTCCTATTCTATACTATACGGTTCTTTTCAGGACTCCTCTTCTAGAAGGGTCTTATGAAGGCGTCTGTCGCGAGAAATGTTGCATTTTTCGGACCTTTTGTATGATGGCTACAACGAAAGGTCTCTTATGGGTGGCATAGGGTTGCTATAGATGCATAAACGATGGGCAGTCGCATGCCTTAGGTTCCCTTTATGGCGGTAGGGTAGCACCCACCAACCCGACTCTAATTATTCAGGCCCTTATATCCGTTATCCAGGAGTGTAGGGATTTAGGAGGTACAGGGTTCAGGGTTTGGTAAGGAAGTGCTCTACTAACAGCTCGTAGTTTGAGACCGAAAACTCTGAAGACCTAAGTTCGTAAGCCCAAAACCCATCCTCTAAACCCCCCTCCCTAAAAAAGTTGAAACACTCAACCCTAACTCCTAAGCCCTAAACCCGAACTCCTAAACCCCTAAACCCTCCAAACCCTGAACACCTGAGCCCCCAGCGCCCAAGATGCTCTGAAGGCCTTGTTGGAGGCTCTTCAGTCCCACTTCGACCAGCAGAACCTGGCCAGGCGTGTTGACACCAGGATCATCTGAAGCCCTAACTCAAGCCTTGAAGCCATAAACACTGTATGGTTAGACAATCAACATGTGCGCATATACATGTATATATATATATACACATGCACACATAGAGTTGCATGTAATTTGTATTTGAATTGTTGAGTTTGAATTATATGTAAACCAGAAATCCTAAATCCCGGACTGGTTGTCGGCTTGTAATTTGACCAGCGAAAGCACTTCTGAACCGTCTGGCGCAGTCCGAGAGTGTGAGGGCGTAAATCCCAGACTTTTACTCTGCGAAACCCTAAACCCTAAACCCTAGGCCCTAAACCCTAAACCCTGTGCCTGCGTCAGCGAGTGTGCGTGTCCAAACAATCGGAAGCCTTGAACTTGGGGTCTGCCCAAGGAAGCTTGGATATGGGAGTTTCTGAAAATTAGGGGTACCTTATTCTGGGGTCCTTATAATTTAATAGGGATCCTGCTATTTAGGGTGCTATACTTGCGTCCCCTATTTTCGGAAACTCTTATATAAGGCGCTCATACTTGGAGGATCATGGGGCTTGATTAGTAGGTATAAGGCTCATTAAAGGATCTATAATAGGGTTTTATAAGGGATGTATGGAGCTTAGTAAGCAAGTTTATAAGTGCTTTAACGGGGCTATATGTAGTTATATAAGTATATCAACCTTGCTTGTAACCCTAGTTGCTAAGTCCCATGATCCTCTAAGTAAAGCCCCATACACACCCATGTGGGTAAGTCTCTAAAGTAGGGTCCGTGTTGAATGTTGAGGTCTGCAAAACAATACGGCGCCCGTATAGAAACGCCCCTAAAGGGGACCTCAAGAGTAGTCTTTGACAGTACATGTGCTACAGAGGGGGGTGTGTGATACTGTATATGGGTAGTTGTCCAAATTATGGTCCCTTTTTGGGTACCCTAAATATTAGGTGCCGTATTATAATAGGGACCCCGAAAAGGGACCCTAATTTTGACAACCACCCATATGTTAGCTACAGCTTCAGTGGCCCCACAGGCAAGTCATCTCGGTTAGCCGCCTGGACAGAGATACTTCAGGCGACATGGATGCAACACCTACCACCCTCAGCCGTCTACGTAGATCCCCAATACCCAACCTTAGAACTTTTGGGTTCTTGTAGTTTAGTAGAAATTGGAAAGTTCAATCTTTGATCTCTGTGGCTTATTAGGGTAGTAAGTCTATCTTGGTCGGTCTTGGTTTTCCTTTAAGTTTGGGTTCCCCTTACCAGGGCATGTGCGCTTGGGGCTTAGGGTCTCAGGGGTCTTGGGCTTCGGGGTTTCGGGTTGGGATGGTTTCGGGCCGGCCACTTAGAGGATCATGGGACTTAGTAACTAGGGTTATAAGTAAGGTAACTGTACTTATAACCCCAATTAAGGTACGTATAACTTTAATTATTAAGTCCCATGATCCTCCAGCCAGTGCAAGTCAGAGGCTGGGAGGTGCCACGCACAGGAGTCTGAGGTGACGACACAGGTTTTTGAAAGCAACTTCAACTTCTAGACGCTGAAGAAAATGCAGCCTTTTGCTTAGATCCCCAATGCCCAACCTTTACACTTTTTGGGTTCTTGTAGTTCAGTAGAAATCGGAAAGTTTAGCCTTTCAATTCTGTGGCTTATTGGGGTAGTAAGTTTGTCCATCAAACCCTAACGTCTGAAACCCCTATGTGGAGCCTTGCCTGCCTTGTCCGAGTGTGAGCATCAAAAAGCATGAAGCCCTGACAGAACTCTTCTTCAAGCCGTTTTCTAAATCCAGTGCAGTTCCTCATGTAGGGGCCTTAATAATTGGAATAGAGTTTGGGGGTACGTCATATAAGTCATATACTACAACACTAAGAAGGAATCACCAAAACCCTATTCTCATCATCATGGCCCCTTTATCTCTAAATCCCTTGTAGTATCCTTATGGTATCCCTTAAAGGAAGAATTGACAGGGAACCTTGAACGGAACCCTATTCTCTACATTAAATCTCGCCTATTTATCATAGAGCCCCTGTAGTGTCCCTTGTTGTAGCCCTTATATAGAGCCCTTTAAAGGAACCCGCTTCGAATTAATCATTAAGGCCTTTATATCATAGAGCCCTCATAGTATCCCTTAAAGTAGCCCTTAGATATATCAAGGAAACCTATTCTAATTCTTAAGGCCCCTTATATCATAGAGCCCCTTATCGTATCCCTTGGTTGCCCTTATATACACAGAATAGGACGTCATAGAGCCCTTTAAAGGAGTTATTCTAGTTATTAAGGCCCCTTCCTTAAATCTCCAGGGGTCCCTACTAGCACCCTTATAGTACCTCCCCCCCTTTCAGAGAACCATTTAAAGGGACAAATCTCCAGGGGTCCTCGTGGCGGCGACGTCCACCGAAGGGGCCGACTGCCTCACGGAGCAGTTCAAGGCCAGGCGCGACTAATCGGGGGCTTTAGGGATCCCTTTAAGCGTTCCTTTACGTGGTCCTTTAAGGGTTCCTTAGCGGTTCTGGGTTTGAGGGTTTAGGGAGTGGGGATTTAAGGGTTGGGCTTTGGGATTGGGGGGTTTCAGGTGGAGGTCCCTGAAAGGGTTCCTTTGAAGGGATCAATGAGGGTTCTATAAGGGGGCTTAGGGGTTTCGGATGTAGGGATATAGGATCGACTCATCTGGGCTTTTGAGGGGCAGGGTTTAGGGTTTAGGGGTCCTTTAAAGGGCTCCCTATACATCCCTTAAAGGAACCCTTATAGCACCCTTTAAACTTTAAAGGGTGCTATAAGGGTTCCTTTAAGGGATGTATGGGGATGCTTTATGGCTTATAGTGAACCCTAGAAAGTTGGAACATGGATTTAGGATGATTAGTGCTAGGATTCCCTAAACTGTACCTTAAGGGCATGAGGACCCTTTCTTGCTTCTGCTGTAGGGATTTCGAGTTTCAGGGATTTAGGGTTTAGGGATTTAGGGTTTAGGGGTGTAGGAGTTTAGGGATTTAGGGTACAGGATTTAGGCTTCAGAGTTTAGGGATTGGGGGTTCTCGGGTTTAGGGGTTCAGAATTGTACAAGTTGATTTAGGGATTCAGGATTTAGGGTTTAGGGTTTAGAGTTTAGGGATTTAGGATTTAGGGTTTAGCGGATCATGCGCACAAACATTTACAGGGATATCCCGGTCTTATGGGCTTCGTGAAAAGGGGGTCTATATGAGATATGCTTATCCTAAGTGTTGCTTATGTGGTCTTTCGGGGCCCTAACTCAACGGACACTTAAAGGGACCCCTGCAGGAACCTCTGAGTAAGGCCTGCTAAGGGTTTCAGGACATAGAATGAATGTAGAAGTCAGACGAATAGTTAGGTTGTCGGGCATTAAGTTTTCAGGATTTTGGCTTTAAATGACGTTCAGTTTCTTTTTTTACCAGAGTTTAGCAGTTAAGCTTCAGGATGTAGCATTCAAGGCTACAGAGGGTGGGTTTCATGGTTTCAGGATTTCGTGTTTAGTACTGTGACCTGCCTATATCACGGTATATGGGTTATCCAACTATTATATGTATCATATGTACATACCGATAGGGAATAATTACCGATGCAGTTCCTAAGAGCTTTTAATCGAATTGTAGTACACTCTATCCTTACGTTTGCAGCTTGTTGGTAGTTGCAGGGCGAGGGGTTTAGGTCTTAGTCTCGGTGAACCTATTCTAAGTAGTTTTTCAGGCCCCAATATTACATGATCCGTTGCCGGAAAGAGGGCTCAAAGAACCAACGTCTACATGGCTACCGGGTTTTAGGGCCCTGGTGGCCCCGGCCGACGCAAGACGCGATGGCCGAACCTACCGGCTGGGCTGCAGATCTCCAGAGCTTCTTGGTACGTGTTGAGGAGTTTAATTGAAGGTATCAGAATGTAGGGTTCCCTTTAGCCCTATTTTGTCCTTTTAAGGGTTAAGAAAGGGCATAGGGTTTGGGAACTTAATTTACGGTACCATCGTAGGGATCTATGTAAATAGCGACTGTAGTACTTAAGATTTTTCCCTGTATGGACAGCCCAGGCTACGAGCGAGAGAGGCGGGTGGAATTGAACCCGGATCTCTTCAAGGGACCCACAGTGGGCTACGTCCGTGGAGGCATCAGCAAGCGGGAGCGCAGCTACAACCCTCTCCTGGGCCGCTTTCTAGACGAAGGCAGAGAGCAAGAACAGGCGCAATTCGAAGAGAAGGTCAAGAAGAACTTTCTCAACTTCGCCCGGGACGTGCAATTGCGGCGCGAAGCGCCCTTTGACCTTGTCACCCACGAGAGGAAGTTTGAGGCTTTTGGTCCAGACGCCTCTGCAGGTCTTGAACCCCCGGTCAAGAAGAAGCCGCCGTTCCCGGATACTGCGGCAGACTACAACATCATCTCCAACCTACCCTTCAACGAGCACCACTGGGCCCATCCGGATCATCGGCCGCGCCCAGGTCAGCGCATTCCGAAGCAGCGGATGGCACCCGCCATGCTCCACAAGGACTTCAACATCCTCACCAACAGATATTTGGAGCATCACAAGGAGAAGATGGATCGTGACAGGGAGCTGAACCTGCTTGAAGCAGCTGAGAAACTCCGGCAGACGAGTGCTTTCAACCCCGTCCAGCAGCGGTTTTGCGACCCCCGGCACGAAGAACGGATGCGAGCCTGTGAGGATGCCCTGACTACCGAGATCAAGTTGAGGGGCGAGGAGGTGCAGCCGTTGATCTATCGCGGGAGCGTAACCAATGCATACGACATGCTGAACCACCAGGTGAAGGATCGTGACCTTCTCCACCTCATCGAAGGTGCAGACGAAGAAAGGAAGGTCCGTTTCCGAACACGGCACCAGTCAGAGGAGAATACCAAGAAGATGGATGTGGCGTATGATGCCAGGGCAATGCAGATGAAAGCCAACAGGGTCGCCCACGAGCGCTTTGCTCCGAGTATCCACCGTGGATTCGACATCGTCACGAACCAAGACTTCGGGCAGAAGGGCAAGCAGATCCACATGTCCAACACGCGGCCACACCAGACGCCATGGCAGAAGGTATGCGAGAATCGCCCCACTCCACCACCCTCCGCCTTAAGCCTTTCCGAAAAAGAGGCTGCAAAGGAAGCTACCGAGGGAGCCGAGCAAGGTCGAAGCGAGATCCTCGACTTCGCCACCCTGCGCTTGCCACAGGATTTCTGTCTTCAAACTCCCATGCCCTGAACACTGTGCCCCTATCCTCCGAACCCTGGAGCCCCAAACGCAAAACCCTGAAACCTAGATGGAAGTTTCCGAGAATTAGGGGGTGGGTACCTTATTTTGGGGTGCTTAAAATGAAGGATCCTACTATTTACGGTACGATCTTAGGGTTCCCTATTTTCGGAAACATGGTTCATACTTGCAGGGGTTGTGGAAGGTCTGACCAGCTGGTTGCTCCCTATGCGGAATTCTTGAAGCTATACCTCGAGCCTCACCCCGTGGCACTTTGGGAAGCTTCACCTATGGTTCCAAAAGAAGTACCTAGTCATACATACTTTTTAAGGGCCCCAAGATTACGACTCAGCAAAAAGCGAAGCCACCTTGAAACCCCATGAACCCTAAACCCTGAACCCTCAGCCCAATGGTAATGTAAGTACTGGTGCAACACAAAGGCCCCAGCAACCTGGCTCATCCTGGCAAGGAATTCTAGCTGTCCTCAAAAAAACGAACCCTCAGCCCGCAGGACCTACGAGCAAGTGGTCCGGGAAGCGCGCTATCGGCAAGGAGCTCCCGGCAAAGCCGCGCTACGCCTCGGCGCCCCCTCACCCCAAGAGTCTCAGTCATACTTGGAAAGAGGTTTTTTGTTTGTGGTTGTTGCGAACCCTAAGAAACCCAAACCCTAAACCCGAAACTCCTAAACCCTATACCTAAGAAACAGCTAAAATCCTACCAAAGTTCAGTACAGGAGTGGATGCAGCTCCTCCCGCGCCTCCTATTCCCGGAAGCCCAGCGGGCTCAGTCTTCTCCCGCCCGAAGCAGCTGACGCCACCCCTTTAACATAGGGGCCTTAAGAATTACCTATACTAGTTTGGGGGTTCCGTAAAGGTTCCTTATTAGAGTTACAATATGCTGTGCCTCAAGACCCCATTCTAATTATCGAGGCCCCTTGAACCGTTTCACACTTGCAAGAGTGATGTCAGGTCGTACGATCGAAAAATGCGCCTAGCGGGATGGAGGGTTGCTTGCGGCAGCATGATGGAATGTCCGTTCGGGGGACAAAATTGGCACCATCCCCTACCCTACTGAAGGACCATGATGAGGCTTCGCAAGTTCGATGCTACCTTACAACCGTTTTGTCCGTTGCTTGCTGTTGTTGGGCCAGTCACCTCTCAATTTGCATCGTCGTATAGTCTCGTGTTCTCCCTTAGATGCTCAGACCTTAAGCCCAACCAGGACCGCCCAAGTGCCGTGTTATACAGCCGTAATGTCCCTCATACAATGCTGGGTATTTAGGAAATTTAGAGGGTAGTTGGGGGGTCTAAGTTGGGTACCGCCCCCCACTCAGTAATAGTTGAATAATATTGATACTATAGATATATTAGGACCTTAATGGTAGCCCTATTGTAGACTCTTACTGTATGGGGGCAGTACCTAAGGTCTAAGTATACTCAACCAGAAGTCGAGTCGAAATCCGCGCCGTTCCCCGCCTGGAATGTCAGAGTAGCGAGAGCCCAAACCCTATCCGACTCTCAACCCTCAAGAACCTAGGACCTGGGGTGTCTCGGGCTCCTGACAACTGCTTCCCTTACCATGGATCCAAAAAAGGTAGTCTGCTTGCGGCGAACGTATCTTGACACTTAAACAAGCACAATCTTCTTTTTGTAGGTTCAACTTATAAATCCCAATATAGAAGGTCCAGGGACCCTCTAAAAAGTGTAGGTTTTGTACAGTTTGAGGCTTAAACCCTAAAGCCTAAACCCTAAACCAAGAAAAAACCCTGAACCCTAAACTCCCTACTCAAGAAAACTCCTTAAACCCCTGAACCGCTAAACTCCCCTAGACCCCCTAAACTCCCTAAACCCCCTAAACCCGAGACCCGCTAAACCCTGAACCGCTATACTCCCTGACCCTAAGGCTCCATGTACACTTATAGTACATACGTAGGCCTTAAAGTACCTGTATAGGGACCTCTTTAAGGCTTAAGTATCTACTATAAGGGCACATGGAGCCCTTGGGCCTAAACCCTAAACCCCTAAACCCCTAAACCCTAAAACCCTAAACCCTAAACCCCTAAACCCTAAACCCCTAAACCCTAAACCCCTAAACCCCTAAACTCCTAAACCCCTAAACCCTATAAGGGTGCATGGAGCCTTTGGGTGAGTACCGAAGGCCCACAGCGTTTTCAAGCGCTACCTGGCTCTCTGCAGCGGTTGGGTGGCCGACGCCCGAGGCCCTACGAAGGATTTTGTGGTCTGTAGTGAAAGCTTAAGACGAAATAGATGTTTTTTTATCGGTTATGTATATAAATAAACAAAGATATATATATATATACACACATTATATATGTAATTATGTGTGTATTCATTCTTTGGCTTTGAGGCGTGGGGGCCGAAGGTCTGTTGATAGGTTTTGGAGGGTTTGAAGGTTCTGGGTTGCGGTTTTGCACGGTTTCTAAGAGTTGTGAGGCGCGCTTCTGATAAGTTTACGGCGTTGTGGTTTAAGTGTTTTGGTCTTAAGGGTTTGAGGATGCAGCGTGTTCGATTTTTGAATTTTGTTGGGGGGCAGAGGTTTGGCTCTGTGGTTTGCCTGAGGTTCGGGGTTCAGGCTTTAGGGTTTAGGGTTTAAGGTTCGGGGGTCAGGGCTTGTCAGATTCTGGTTCTAGGGGGGGGGTATAGGAACTTTTAATAGCCCTTACTTAATACTAAGAGAAGCCCTGGTTCTGAATAAATGGGGGAATGGGTTGCAGGGGCTGCAAAAAGAGACGGTAGGGGACTAAGGGGTCTTAGCATTACGGGTTCTGCCCCAACCCTTAAACCCGGTAAACCGAAACCCAAACCCTAAACCATAAACCCTTAACCCTATAAGCCTACAATCTAAACCCTATAAACCTCAACCCTCAACCCTAAGTCCTATAATCCTAAACCCTAAACCATACTAAGAAGCCCCCGCGAAGAACGCAGGGCAGATCAATGCGAAGCTGTATATCTCGGGCTTTGCAGAGAAGTATCGAGCCACTGGGCTGCTTCGGACTTTAGGGGTCAGGGTTTCACTCGTCGGATTTGCGGCTTGAGGGGTTCAGGTTGCAGACTTCAGACGAGTTTCTGTATTGGGGTGCTGTGAATTGGGCTTAGGGCGCAAGATTCACGCTTCACTGAGGAGTTCAGGGTTTTGGGTCTGCCTTAGATGGGACCCCATGAAGGACCGGGGAAGCTAACTAAGCAACCCCCTCCAAGCCATTTCTCAGAAGGGTTCCTTTGCGGAGTTGACATAACATCGCTTGGAGACCCCCACGTCACTGTGGCGCATGACGGCTTCAGGGCTCAGAATCTCGGGCCCCGGGGGCAAGTGGCAGGAGGGTTTAGGGGTTTAGGGTTTAGGGTTTAAGGGTTTAGGGTTTAGGGTTTAGGGTTTAGCAAAGTGTGCGGACAAGGCGTAGGCTGCATGCAGCATCAAAGTCACGACGACCGGCAAGACCAGAGCTCAGAAGCATAGTGCAAGTTGCCGCGGCCTGGTATACGAGTATGTGCCTTTGCTAATTACGAGCAGCACGGCGAGAGCCGAACTAGTGGAAAACGACCTCGCGCTGAAGCACCTCAAACCCTGAAGTCCAAATTCACCAAGAACCCTGACCATCCCAACCCCTAAACTCTAAACCCTTAAAGCCTTAAGCCCTAAACCCTACATCCCAACTCGGAGACTTTTCAGATGAGGCCTACGTCTCTCCCAAAGGGAAAGAGTCGGTAACAGACTTTGAGGCCGCAGGGACGGTGATTTTGTGGTTTCAGGGTTTGGAAGTTTAGGTTCTAGGGTTTAGGGTTTCAGGGTTTCGAAGTTTAGGATTTAGGGTTTTAGGGTTTAGGGTTTCAGGGTTTGGAAGTTTAGGTTTTAGGGTTTAGGGTTTCAGGGTTTGGAAGTTTAGGTTTTAGGGTTTAGGGTTTCGGGTTTGGAAGTTTAGGGTTTATAGGGTTTATAGGGAACGGGGGATTAGGGCTTACTTACTTTTCTCTGTTTTTTTTTGTGGGGGCGGGGGGGGGGTGGGGATGGTGTTTCGGGTTATTAGGGTTGCTTTGGTGGTTTATGCTCTAGGGTTCAGCGCGTTTTTTGTTCTTGTATGCTCCTACCTGGAAAGTGAGTGCATCAGTCGATATAGCCATTGAATCATTGTGGCATTTTCTGGCAGACAACTCAGGTTTTTGAGCCTAGCGAGGGTTCTTCGACAATGCCTGCGTATAATCTTGTCCTTGGGTTTGTTTATTTATCCTAGATCCTTAAACAACCCTGGGGTTAATACGATGGAGACGGTTGGTGCAATGGAGCCGATCCTGCCGGAAGCCATCCTCATGTATGCATAGCGGCTGATGTTAGACAACGCAAACTCCCAGATCTCGCAGCCAGCCGAGCCTTAAACCCTGAACAAATTAAACTGAGCCGTTTAAAATGGCACTTGGAATGAAGAGCCGTAAAGACCATTAGTTGCAAGCATCGATATGCCGTAAATCTTCCTCGCCTGTGGACATTGTTGCCAGCCATGCGGGAGGGAAAAAGAACCGCCCTAACACCTAGGCAACACAAACCCTAAACCCTGAAGTTTTAATGCACAAAAGCCCGACAACCCTCATCCAGGTCCTGGCTTACCTCAGCCGCCCTTGCGATGCAGTGGGTTCTAAGGCAGGTGCGGGGTTAATTGGGGTTGCGACTTACTTGTAGTAAGTAAGGTTATAGGGGTGCTATAAGGGTTCCATACTGGGATTGAGGGGACTCTGCAGGTAAGTTTATAGGTACCTTAATTGGGGTTAATCATAATAAGCAGTCATACGTATAGGTACCTTCTTAAGAACCCTATTTACCAAGTCCTTTAATCCTTTAAGTAACTAAGTAAGGCTGAGGGTTGAGATTTCAGGGGCTTTCAGGGCTTAACTGAGCCCTAAGCCACTAATCTTAATAAAACAGCTTGAGCCGTGGCCATTAGTGGTTCGGGATCTACGCTCTCACATAATTAGGGCTTTAGGTTTATTGTTTCAGGGTTTAGGGTTTAAGGCCAACCGTAAACCCTAAACCCTGAATCATAAACTTGCAGCCCTATTGGCACCAATCTCCTGGTCGACCTCGGCCTTGATGCTTGTAAGTCAGACGGCGAGCAGTCATCAAAAAGGAGCTTTAAAAAACAAAAAAACTTGCAGCCCTCATCGAGAATGTGCCATCGCGGGATGCAGCAGGAAACGGCAGACCCTGTGGCGATACAGGAAGAATGCTTCTGGCTCTCTGTTGTCGTCTGTCGCGGCATCTGCGAAAATCCTGCTTGAAGCCTTTCCCATTCCTGCTTTTCCTACAATAATTATCCAGACTCCCGGGAGGATCTAGAAAGTAGATCCCCTAATTTGGGGCCCTATACTGCTAAGGGTATTTTATAGGAACCCCCATTAACGGATCTACCCTAAACCCTAAACCCTATAGATCACTTAAAGGGGTCCTTAAAGGAACCCCTAAAGGAACCCCGATTAAGGGATCTGCTTTTTGGATCCTCCAAAGGGGGTCTGGGATGTCGGCAACACGGACAGTGGGAGCCACTTTCCAAGGCGACACTGTCTCGCACGTGTTTCCCCGAATGCGAACCGTGAGTTTCATGTATCATGGATCTCGTAACCCTGGGACTTATAGGGTTCCTTAAAGGGTTCTTTTAAAGGGACCTATAAGGCTTTCTGTAAGGACTCGATAAGGGTTTTGGGGTTACTTAGAGGATCATGGGACTTAGTAAGTAAGGTTATAAGTACCTTAATTGGGGTTATAAGTAGGTATAAGTATAGTTACCGTACTTATATCCCTAGTTACTAAGTCCCATGATTCTTTAAGTCTAGCGAGTCCGAGCGTGAGAGCGTGTGCGCCAAGCCCTAAAGGCAAGGATGCAAGGAGCCGCCAGTTTCCCAAAACCTGAGTTCCCGGTGGGCTCTGAATTTAGGGCTGTGGATGAGTGTATTTAAGGGTTTTTTGGGTGGTTGAAGTGTTTAGATTGACAGTCTTAGGTTTGAGGGTGTGGGGTTCCGGGTTCAGGGTCGAGTGGATCTGGCTAGTCCTCAAGCCCAGTAGCAACAAAAGGGTTCAGGGAAGAGCGGCTAACTTCCAGGCGTCCTTGCATGCAAGCCTGCAGCAAAAAGGGCTCAGGGCGGGGTCTGCAAACAGTACAGCAAACATAAATTCTCAGAAACTCCAAAATCCCTTAATTATGGAATATTCCTTAACTTCTAGAGGATCCGTATTGTGGTTTAAGGTATATTTCTTGCTTAAGGGATATTCGGGGTCTCTGGGTTCCCCAACCAGAAGTTCTTAGAGGATCATGGGACTTAGTAACTACTTATAACCTTACTTACTAAGTCCCATGATCCTCGAAGTTAGGTCAGCGCCCTCCCGCGCGGAATTGTCGGGCTAATGGTCGCGCCTACTTGGAGGATCATGGGACATAGTAAGTAAGGTTATAAGTACCTTAATTGGGGTTATAAGTACAGTTACCTTACCTATAACCCTAGTTACTAAGTCCCATGATCCTTTAAGTACAGCCAGCCATTCGTTCGTCCAGAATTTTCGGCAAATCTAATCCCAGAGAGCCCAATACCCCCTTAGTTAAGGAATATAGCCTAAATCATAATATGAACCCCGGAAAATTTTAAGGTATATTCCTTGATTATGGGGTATTGGGCTCTCTGGGATCTTCAGTCTTATCCGCATGCCCTGTTTCGCGCCATCGCAATATTGAATGTGGAGGGATTGAAATCTGAAGCCTGACACCGTGAGTTTTCCGCAGGGGCCTTAATACTTGCCTATACGGTTTTACGGTTCCTGATTACACTTGTAACTTGTACACTATTCAGAAATAATTTGAAAATACACTCAAAAGCCAACCCTATTCTGATTATTAAAGCCCCTCATCTCGAACCCTGTTAAAGATCCCTCATAGACCCCTTCAAAGGAACCATTCAAAGGAATAGGAAGCCTGTTCTAATTAAATCCTTGGTAGTCTTAGGTCTGGCACGATGTGCGCATTCTTAACCGCTGGAGGCTACCCCCGCTTGTGACGACTTGGGCAGGGCAGTGTCTGCCTACGCAACTGGACAGGATGTGGGATTTCCTGTTTTAGGGTTAGTGTTTTGGGAGTTTGGGATTTACGGTTTGGAGTGTGATTGAGTGTCTCTGTAGTACCTCTGAAGCTGTCGCATGCGTGGCGGTTCAAGTCTCCCGGGGAGCAGAACATACAGAGCGGATTCTGGAAGCCTGAATAACTATGTGTACTATTCCACAGGGTTCCTTATATGATCACGACTTGCCAAGGCTCCTGTATTATAGTGCTGGTTGAACGACATTACGTAGCTGCATGATGGGAAGATTTGCTTACTGCGTTGATTCTGTACTGCCGGCCTTATGATGCTTGAAGCATGACCAGAACTGTGTGATGGCTTCAATTTATTCTGCCGACCACATTTCTGTTGCTTCACGACAACCTGCAGCAGCCTGTAGAAAGACGGCTCAAGGCATGAACTGAAGTCTCATGGAACTTAGTAACTAGGGTTCTAAGTAAGGCAACTGGACTTATAACCCCAACTAAGGGACTTATAGCCTTACTAAGTCCCATAATCCTCCAAGTAGTCTACAGGTGGTGCAAGACAGCATGCTACTCCACGCCTGAAGCGCTGCCAGCAGCACTGCTGGACGGAAGCAGAACACCCTAAACCCTAAACTCTAAACCCTAAACCCTAAATAGAACTAATAGCCACAGCGAGGATATCCGTCGCAGTAGCTATGCCCTAAAAACCTAACCTAAACTCCTAAACCATTAACCCCGAAACCCCTTCCATTACCCCCTAAACGCCTAAACCCTAAACCCCCAAACCCCTAAGTGGCATAGACCTTTAGGGTCAATGTGAGTATACGCTCGGGGTAGTACTAGCATCGGTATTAGCAGTGTTAGTACCAGAAGGTTAGTACCAGAAGGGAATAGTAAGACTTGTATAGTTATCAATAGTAACTAAAACTAGTAGTGCTAGTATTTGCAGCAAAAAGTTCATCCATTTCATCCATTGCAACCATTTCGAAATGGTTGAAATGGTTGAAATGGTTAAAATATCCTGGCCCTCGGACAAAGGCAAAAGCATTTGAAATGGTTGAAATGGTTGAAACGGTTGAAATAGATGAAATGGTTAAAAAGTTCATCCATTTCATCCATTTCATCCATTTCAACCATTTCAAAACGGTTGAAATGGTTGAAATGGATAAAAACTTTAACCATTTCAACCGTTTCAACCATTTCAACCATTTCAACCATTTTTAATGCTTTGGGCTTCTCCGGGAGTTCAGGGGCAAGAATTTCATCCATTTCAACCATTTCAACCATTTCGAAATGGTTGAAATGGTTGAAATGGTTAAAAAAATCCTGGCCCTCGGACAAAGGCAAAAGGATTTGAAATGGTTGAAATGGTTGAAACGGTTGAAATAGATGAAATGGTTAAAAAGTTCATCCATTTCATCCATTTCAACCATTTCGAAACGGTTGAAATGGTTGAAATGGATAAAAACTTTAACCATTTCAACCGTTTCAACCATTTCAACCATTTCAACCATTTTTAATGTTTGGGCTTCTCCGGGAGTTCAGGGGCAAGAATTTCATCCATTTCATCCATTTCAACCATTTCGAAATGGTTGAAATGGTTGAAATGGTTAAAAAAATCCTGGCCCTCGGACAAAGGCAAAAGGATTTGAAATGGTTGAAATGGTTGAAACGGTTGAAATAGATGAAATGGTTAAAAAGTTCATCCATTTCATCCATTTCAACCATTTCAAAACGGTTGAAATGGTTGAAATGGATAAAAACTTTAACCATTTCAACCGTTTCAACCATTTCAACCATTTCAACCATTTTTAATGTTTTGGGCTTCTCCGGGAGTTCAGGGGCAAGAATTTCATCCATTTCAACCATTTCGAAATGGTTGAAATGGTTGAAATGGTAAAAAAAATCCTGGCCCTCGGACAAAGGCAAAAGGATTTGAAATGGTTGAAATGGTTGAAACGGTTGAAATAGATGAAATGGTTAAAAAGTTCATCCATTTCATCCATTTCAACCATTTCAAAACGGTTGAAATGGTTGAAATGGATAAAAACTTTAACCATTTCAACCGTTTCAACCATTTCAACCATTTCAACCATTTTTAATGTTTTGGGCTTCTGCGGGAGTTCAGGGCCAAGAATTTCATCCATTTCATCCATTTCAACCATTTCGAAATGGTTGAAATGGTTGAAATGGTTAAAAAATCCTGGCCCTCGGACAAAGGCAAAAGGATTTGAAATGGTTGAAATGGTTGAAACGGTTGAAATAGATGAAATGGTTAAAAAGTTCATCCATTTCATCCATTTCAACCATTTCAAAACGGTTGAAATGGTTGAAATGGATAAAAACTTTAACCATTTCAACCGTTTCAACCATTTCAACCATTTTTAATGTTTTGGGCTTCTCCGGGAGTTCAGGGGCAAGAATTTCATCCATTTCATCCATTTCAACCATTTCGAAATGGTTGAAATGGTTGAAATGGTTAAAAAATCCTGGCCCTCGGACAAAGGCAAAAGGATTTGAAATGGTTGAAATGGTTGAAACGGTTGAAATAGATGAAATGGTTAAAAAGTTCATCCATTTCAACCATTTCAACCATTTCAAAACGGTTGAAATGGTTGAAATGGATAAAAACTTTAACCATTTCAACCGTTTCAACCATTTCAACCATTTTTAATGTATTGGGCTTCTCCTGGAGTTCAGGGGCAAGACTTTCATCCATTTCAACCATTTCAACCATTTCGAAATGGTTGAAATGGTTGAAATGGTTAAAATATCCTGGCCCTCGGACAAAGGCAAAAGGATTTGAAATGGTTGAACTGGTTGAAACGGTTGAAATAGATGAAATGGTTAAAAAGTTCATCCATTTCATCCATTTCAACCATTTCAAAACGGTTGAAATGGTTGAAATGGATAAAAACTTTAACCATTTCAACCGTTTCAACCTTTGTCTCCGGGCAAAGGCAGAAGGGTTTGAAATGGATGAAATGGTTGAAATCGTTAAAAGTTTTATCCATTTCAACCATTTCAACCATTTCAACCATTTTGAAACGGTTGAAATGGTTGAAATGGATAAAAACTTTAACCATTTCAACCGTTTCAACCCTTGTCTCCGGGCAAAGGCAGAAGGGTTTGAAATGGATGAAATTGTTGAAATCGTTACAAGTTTTATCCATTTCAACCATTTCAACCATTTCAACCATTTTGAAACGGTTGAAATGGTTGAAATGGTTAAAATCTTTATCCATTTCAACCATTTCAACCGTTTCAACCATTTTTAATACTGTGGGCTTCCCCCAAAAACCCAGGAGCAAGGATTTTATCCATTTCAACCCTTTTGAAATGGTTAAACAAATTTTCTTTTTCCAAAAGAGAGATAGTAGGTTAATAAGAGAGGCAGAGCAGGAAAGCAAGTGTAATAATCGGAGACTAGGGGTAGGTGGATAGGAGTACAAGATTAGGAGATTAGTAGACTAACATAACAGGCTAGTAAGATGGCATTATTTTACTCCCACTCTCCTATCCGCCTTCTCCTGGCACGTCTCTTTTACTCCTCTTCTGCTAATCTTTACTCTTGCCTTCCTCCTCTCCTACTCCCAATGTGTGGCTCCTTTTCAACTAGTCGAACTCCCCGTTTTTTGTTCGCATATTCCTGTCCTCCGACTCCTAATGTCAAACTGACCCTGCACATACTCCTGCTCTCTCCGCCCCCTGTCCTCCTGTTTGAAACGTGCTACTTTCATTCTCTTAGTCTCATTCCAGCTCCCTCATCATGTCCACTTCTAGACTAGTTGTCCTCTTGTTTTATTCCTACTCTCTCAATTGAGTTTCCTATTCCTTACCCTCCATGCACCTCCTCTGAGGGCGACTTCTACCGCTACTCCTGTTCTCACCCTTACTCTCTCCTACGCGTATGTGAATGATTCCTAGTCTTTCCCGACTCCCACCACTATGTATCATGCTTGATTCTTATTCCAGCTCTCTTATTTCCACGTCTAGACTACCTGTCCTAGTCTTCTACTTGTAATCTCTGAATTCGCTTCCCACTCCTTACCACCCCCCTCCCCCTCTACACCTCCGCTGAGCGCTACTTCAAAGGTTCTACCGCTACTCCGGTTCTCATCGTGCCCCTCCACTTTTGTTATTCCTGGTCTTGTCCCCATCTCTACCACTGCTGTTATTCCTACTGCCCTACCTCGCTCGATGCGCACTCCTTAAGGGGGAGGAAGAGAAGAGTAGGAGTAGGAATGGAATAGTAGCAGTAGGAGAGTAGGAGTAGACGTAAGGTTAGTATTCCAACAGAAAGAGGAGACTAGGGGCAAAGAGAATACGAATCAGAGCGAAGGAATAGAAGAGTAGGAGTGGCAGAGTGCGAGTAAGAGAGTAGGAGTAGGAGAGTGTCTTGTTGGAAGAGCAGGAGGGGAGTAGCCAGAAAGTAAGAGAACAGGACAGCAGGAGAGTAGGACAGCACGAAAGTAGGAGAATGAGGAGTTCAGAGCAGGAAAGAAGGTACTTGAACAAAACGTGGAGAATGAATCTGTAATAGGGCCACAGGAGCATGAGCATGGAAGTAGGAGAGTAGGACTATGAACATGGGACTAGCAAGGTACGAATGGGAGGGTAAGAGTGGCAGAGGGCAGGAGTGGAAAAGCGGTAGGAAAGCCACGGTAGGTTACCAATACAGGAAGGTAGAAGTAGAGGAACCAGAGGGTAGGAGTAGGAGAGTAAGCGAACAAAATGCAGAAAGGTGGAGTGACATGATGGGATTGAACAAAGCAAAGCGTAGACTCCGATCCCCATCATATTCCCACCCCATTACCTGTATGTTCCGAGTCCTATTCGTCTATTGCTGCCTAGGAGTAGGATGAATTCGACACTAGGGATAGGAGAAAAGTAGTGTAAGAGAAATGATGTTGTCAAGGCATCGAAAGTAGATTTTCCAACAGAGAAATAGTAGGTTAATAAGAGAGGCAGAGCAGGAAAGCAAGTGTAATAATCGGAGACTAGGGGTAGGTGGATAGGAGTACAAGATTAGGAGATTAGTAGACTAACATAACAGGCTGGTAAGATGTCATCATTTTACTTCCACTCTCCTATTCGCCGTCTCCTGGTACGTCTCTTTTACTCCTTTTCTGCTAATTTCTACTCTTGCCTTCCTCCTCTCCTACTCCCAACGTGTGGCTCCTTTTCAATTAGTCGAACTCCCCTTTTTTTGTTCGCATATTCCTGTCCTCCGACTCCTAATGTCAAACTGACCCTGCACACACTCCTGCTCTCTCCGCCCCCTGTCCTCTTGTTTGAAACGTGCTACTTTCATTCTCTTAGTCTCATTCCAGCTCCCTCATCATGTCCACTTCTAGACTAGTTGTCCTCTTGTTTTATTCCTACTCTCTCAATTGAGTTTCCTATTCCTTACCCTCCATGCACCTCCTCTGAGGGCGACTTCTACCGCAACTCCTGTTCTTACTCCTACTCCCTCCTACACGTCTTATAATGCTAGTTCTCCCAATTCCCTCCACTATAGATTTACTGTCTGATGCTTATTCCAGCTTTCTTACGTCTACATCTAGACTACCTGTCCAAGTCTTCTACTTCTACTCTCTGAATCCTACTGTCGAACTGACCCGGCACATACCCCTATTCTCTCCGCCCCCCGTCCTCCTGTTTGAAACGAGCTACTCTCATTCTCTTAGTCTTATTCCAGCTCCCTCATGTCCACTTCTAGACTAGTTGTCCTCTTCTTTTATTCCTACTCTCTCAATTGAGTTTCCTATTCCTTACCCTCCATGCACCTCCTCCGATGGCGACTTCTACCGCTACTCCTCTTCCTACTCCTACTCTCTCCTACATGTCTGCTAGTTACTCCTAATTCTCCCAATTCCCGCCAGTATAGATATACTGTCTGATGCTTATTCCAGCTTTCTTACGTCTACATCTACACTACCTGTCCAAGTCTTCTACTTCTACTCTCTGAATTCGTTTCCCACTCCTCCGAGTCCTACTGTCAAACTGACCCGGCATATACTCCTATGCTCTCCGCCCCCCGTCCTCCTGTTTGAAACGAGCTACTCTCATTCTCTCAGTCTTATTCCAGCTGCCTCATGTCCACTTCTAGACTAGTTAGTTGTCCTCTTCTTTTATTCCTCCTCTCTCAATTCAGTTTCCTATTCCTTACCCTCCATGCACCTCCTCTTAGGGCTACTTCTACCGCCACTCCTGTTCCTACTCCTGCTCTCTCCTACATGTCTGCTAGTTAATCCTAATTCTCCTAATTCCCGCTACCATAGATATACTGTCTGATGCTTATTCCAGCTTTCTTATTTCGACATCTAGACGACCTGTCCAAGTCTTCTACTTCTACTCTGTGAATTCGTTTCCCACTCCTTACCACCCGCCCCCCCTCTACACCTCCGCTGAGAGCTACTTCAAAGGTTCTACCGCTACTCCGGTTCTCATCGTGCCCCTCCACTTTTGTTATTCCTGGTCTTGTCCCCATCTCTACCACTGCTGTTATTCCTACTGCCCTACCTCGCTCGATGCGCACTCCTTAAGGGGGAGGAAGAGAAGAGTAGGAGTAGGAATGGAATAGTAGCAGTAGGAGAGTAGGAGTAGACGTAAGGTTAGTATTCCAACAGAAAGAGGAGACTAGGGGCAAAGAGAATACGAATCAGAGCGAAGGAATAGAAGAGTAGGAGTGGGAGAGTGCGAGTAAGAGAGTAGGAGTAGGAGAGTGTCTTGTTGGAAGAGCAGGAGTAGGAGAGTAGCCAGAAAGTAATAAAACAGGACCGCAGGAGAGGAGGACACCCCGAAAGTAGGAGAATGAGGAGTTGAGAGCGGGAAAGAAGGTACTTGAACAAAACGTGGAGAATGAATCTGTAATAGGGCCACAGGAGCATGAGCATGGAAGTAGGAGAGTAGGACTATGAACATGGGACTAGCAAGGTACGAATGGGAGAGTAAGAGTGGCAGAGGGCAGGAGTGGAAAAGCGGTAGGAAAGCCACGGTAGGTTACCAATACAGGAAGGTAGAAGTAGAGGAACGAGAGGGTAGGAGTAGGAGAGTAAGCGAACAAAATGCAGAAAGGTGGAGTGACATGATGGGATTGAACAAAGCAAAGCGTAGACTCCGAGCCCCATCATATTCCCACCCCATTACCTGTATGTTCCGAGTCCTATTCCTCTATTGCTGCCTAGGAGTAGGGTGAATTCGACACTAGGGATAGGAGAAAAGTAGTGTAAGAGAAATGATGTTGTCAAGGCATCGAAAGTAGATTTTCCAACAGAGAAATAGTAGGTTAATAAGAGAGGCAGAGCAGGAAAGCAAGTGTAATAATCGGAGACTAGGGGTAGGTGGATAGGAGTACAACATTAGGAGATTAGTAGACTAACATAACAGGCTGGTAAGATGTCATCATTTTACTCCCACTCTCCTATTCGCCGTCTCCTGGTACGTCTCTTTTACTCCTTTTCTGCTAATTTCTACTCTTGCCTTCCTCCTCTCCTACTCCCAATGTGTGGCTCCTTTTCAATTAGTCGAACTCCCCTTTTTTTGTTCGCATATTCCTGTCCTCCGACTCCTAATGTCAAACTGACCCTGCACACACTCCTGCTCTCTCCGCCCCCTGTCCTCCTGTTTGAAACGTGCTACTCTCATTCTCTTAGTCTCATTCCAGCTCCCTCATCATGTCCACTTCTAGACTAGTTGTCCTCTTCCTTTATTCCTCCTCTCTCAATTGAGTTTCCTATTCCTTGCACCCATGAACCTCCTCTTAGGGCTACTTGTACCGCTACTGCTGTTCTTACTCCTACTCTCTCCTACATGTCTGCTAGTTACTCCTAGTTTTTCCCAATTCTTGCCACGATATTTCTACTGCTCTACCTCGATGCCTACTCACTGGAGGGAAGGACTACAATGTAGCAGGAAGAGAGTTGGAGTAAAAGTTTGCATGGAGTTTACGACTTAGGGTTGAGAGTTACGGGTTCAGTGTTTAGAGTTTGGGCCGAACCTTGGGGGTTTGAGGTTTGGAGTTCAGATGCTGCAGTATGGCTTTTAATAAGGACAGAAGAAGAGATCCTCACATGGACCCTAAAGGTCCAACGTACCAAACCCCTAAACACCTACACCCTAACTCCTAAACCCCTAAGACCCAGTTCTGCTCTCTCTTGAGCTTCTGCCTCCCTCGTCGCGAGCTGAGGCCGCAAGCAAGGCTGCAGACAAGGCGCACTAAGGATTTGGGTTTACGGTTGCTTGGAGGATTATGGGACTTAGTAGGTAGGTTATACTTGGGATTATAAGTCCCCTAAGTGGGGTTATATCCTATAGCTATAACTCACAGATAAACTTACTTACTAAGCCCAAGGAGCCACTCAGTAGACCCAATCAAGCCAAAACAGGGGTTAGGGTTTCGGGGTCCTGGGAGTGAGGGGCATAGGGTTGCAGTCCAGGTTTTTGCTGTAAATAGGATTTTCTAGGTTTGGGTGATCCCTGGTTGCCTGGCCTGCATACCTTACCTTCTTCACGCATGTATCTGTGATTATCTATGTATTTATTTTTTTGGTATTTAAACACGACTGTTCATATCGTATGTTGCGTTTCTTTCTTTTGCCTTGATCCGTCCAGTAGTGGAACCCTTTGAAGATGAGGCCTGCGCAGGGCTTCGGAAGTGTAGGGTGACGTATTCTCGGTAGACGGTGACGAACCTCAACAATTTCTACAGTATATACTCACTAAACCCTACATAGATCCCTTATAGATCCCTTAGAGGAACCCTATAGAGATCCCTTAAAGAATCCCTTAAAGGAGCCCTTAAAGGATCCCTTAAAGGAGCCCTTAAAGGATCCCTTGAAGGAGCCCTTAAAGGAGCCCTTAAAGGAGTCCCAGGCCCCTCAACACCCTCGAAAGTGTGCCAGGAGTGCTACACCCTCCTCGCATGCTACCCTCGAACGGGGCGCACGCATCAGATCCGAGCCCACCTCGAGTTCCGAGGCCTCTTTGAGGATTCCTCTAGGGCCCTACAGGGTTCTCTATAGGATTTAGGGGTTTAGGGCTTAGGGGTTTAGGATATCGAGGTTTAGGGTTAAGGGCTGAAGGAGTTTAGGATACAGGGTTCAGGACTTTGGGGTTTAGTATTTCGGTTTTATGTTGTTCGGGGGTGAGAGCTGGAGGTTTAAAACTTAGGGTTTGGGGATCATAACAGGTTCCCATCAAGGGCTCTATCAGGGTTCGGGGTCCTGTCCATCTCGGCGGTTGTTGCCAGGGCTCCCCTAATATGGGGGCCTTGATAATTGATTAGCACAATGTCTTTGGGTTCCGTTTTGATAACCCCCCGAACCTTTTTCCAATTCTTCAGGCCCGTTTTTTAGGATTCCAATGACGCTCCTTCTACTTTCTGTTCTTAAGGCTTTTCCGCGGTCCCGGAAGTCCCAATGCTATTTCCCAATGCTACAGAGCACTGAACAATTGATCCTGCTGTCTGGGAACTTTGCATGGCCAATTCCTAAAACCGTGGCAAGTCCGAGTTGCGAGAGCGTAAAACCGAGGCACTTTAAACGCTGACTGTTTAAACTGACGAGGGCGCTGCTGACCATTTACATGGGCGCTCGAAGCTCCGACATGCGAGGACTGTAGTCGATCTAGCGCTATGGCTATGCCCCGCTCATGACCTCTCTGTCGTCAAGCAGTGTTCAATCGAGGGTTTATGGCTTGCAGGGTTGAGGGGGCTGGTTACTGTTTTGGGGATTTGTGACGGCCCTGTGTATGGGACTGTATGGCTTCCCAAATTTCCGGGTTTAGGGGCTTCGACGCACGCCTGGCGTAAACAGGGCTAATGTACAGGCGTTTGGGAGTTTAGGGCTCGGGGTTAAGGTTTCAAGAATGGCTACGGTCCAGGCATTTTTCTGGTGTCTTCAAAGTAGGTGTTCTCACTATATAAGAAAGGGTGTGGGGGTATGCATATTTGCTAGGTCGTCTTCGTAAGTGTGGTGTTTGGTCACAGTTTCCTCTGGGTCGTGTTCGTAAGCATGGTGTTGGGTGCCAACCCCCTCCCAACCCTTCCCAACCCTCTCCCCCTCTCCCAACACTCCCACTCCAACCCTCTCCCAACCCTCTCCTCCCCTCCCAACCCCCCCACTCCCCACCCATTCCCAACCCACTCCCAACCTCCTCCCAACCCACTCCCCAACCCACTCCCAACCTCCTCCCAACCTCCTCCCAACCCACTCCCAACCTCCTCCCAACCCACTCCCAACCTCCACCCACTCCCAACCTCCTCCCAACCCACCCCCAACCTCTCCCAACCTCCTCCCAACCCACTCCCAACCTCCTCCCAACCAAAACCCCCACCCAAACCTCCTCCCAACCTCCCCCAACCCACTCCCAAAACCCACTCCCCAACCTCCTCCCAACCTCCTCCCAACCCACTCCCAACCTCCTCCCAACCCACTCCCAACCTCCTCCCAACCCACTCCCAACCTCCTCCCAACCCACTCCCAACCTCCTCAACCCAACCCACTCCCAACCTCCTCCCAACCCACTCCCAACCTCCTCCCAACCTCAACCCACTCCCAACCTCCTCCCAACCCACTCCCAACCTCCTCCCAACCCACTCCCAACCTCCTCCCAACCCACTCCCAACCTCCTCCCAACCCACTCCCAACCTCCTCCCAACCCACTCCCAACCTCTCCCAACCCACTCCCAACCTCCTCCCAACCCACTCCCAACCTCCTCCCAACCTACCACTCACCCCTCCCAACCTGCCTTCTTCCGGATGCAGGTCCGAATTCTTTTTGGGCAAGTAGCGGGGTCGTCTTCGGAAGGGCGGGTCGGGTTTCCTTAAGAATCCGGGTCGGCTTCGGGAGGGGCCCAAGTGCCGATTTCAGCAGTTATCTTCTTTAGTGCTCCCAACCCACTCCCCAGCTGCTCCCAACTACATAACTCCCAACCCACTCCCCAAGCTCTCCCCAGCTGCTCCCGAAGCAATCATATCGCGGAGGCATCCTCTTATTTACTGAGAACACCTCCGCCGTAGACACCAGAAATATCCCCTGATACGGCTCAAGGCCATTTTGGCTCAAGCTGGCTACGAGACCCAAATGGGTGTGACTTTTCCAATTAGGGAGTTTCCTTGAAGCTGTTGCTATGGATGCGCGCTCTCGTAAACTGTGTGCCTGCCTTGGATATTCTATTCGGTTGGCTGGAAAATCAGATCTTGATGAAGTCAACCAGATGTTATGGCAGGCTCTCCATCTGGTGACTGCAAAAGTTGATGGACGAAGACCCATCTCCTTATTCTGAGCTCTGGATGAGAAGGGCTTGCAGGTGCAAATTCCAAGGGACCATGAGGCTCCAAAGAACACAATCGATCTGGAAAAGAAGTCGGAGGCAAGTCCGGGTTGCACACCCAGGAGGATGATGTACGTATTGCGACTCATGCTACCCAGACTGAGGTCGAGGTGATTTCGCGGCCTCAGTTTGAAACCATCATGGGGACTACCATGGAAAGGGTCTCGGAACTTCAAGGCATCGTGAACTCCTTACAGCTGCGCCTTGTCACTGTGGAAAAGGAGCCGGATCGACATGGTTCTACCTGGTCTCCTTCTGTGATGCCAGAAGCTCTTGAGGTTGATCAACACAGTGCTCCCTCTTCGTCGTGCATGGTCCCACATGCTGTGGGGAATGTTCTTGCTGTCGAGGAAACTAGCTCTGAAAGGACGTTGTTTGCAAGTTTTGAAGACTTAAATCAGGCACACCGGCAGGAAAGGTTGGCTTTGAGACAACAAAGACGACATGACCGAAATCTGCGCATGGCTCCCTGTACAGACTCTGAGCCTGACACCTAAATTACAATGCTATGTACGAGTTGAGTTCTTGCGTTGCTCATGTGTGCATCCCCGAGGTCTCCTACTAAGGTGACTGAGGAAGGCTCTGCCTTAGAGCTTCGCTGCCGGCATACACTCCAAGTCCGTGCTCAAAAAAGGGGATCCCCTACCTGCTACCCCACGGCCAACCTTAAACATCCAAACCTCACGTAAGGAGTTTTTTTCTTCTGCTCCGCCTTCTTGACGGAATTCGAAGCTCTGCATCCCTCTTTGACTCGTACTTCGCGGTTCAGAGTTTAGGGCTTTGGGGATTTAGGGTACGTAGGATGTGCGGATCAGAGGTTGGGGATGTAAGGCTTTAGGGTATAATTCTGAACCCTGCTGCAGGGCATCCGCTGGTAAGCGATGCCAACTACAACCCAAGAGGACAAGTTCGGCGGCAGTTCGCAACTGGTTGGCGATTACAGGCTTTGGGGTTTACCCTGTGCATCCCTGGCCCTAAGGGTCCACTGATCACTGTTCTTAGGAGTTGTGTACTTGGGGTTGCAATGCATCTTTGTTTTTGGGATGCCCAAAGGGTCTTTGTAGTAGCAAGTCATACTAATTACTAATAAGTATACTCGGTTTACCCTGTGCATCCCTGGCCCTAAGGGTCCACTGACCACTGTTCTTAGGAGTTGTGTACTTGGGCTCGCAATGCATCTTTGTTTTTGGGATGCCCAAAGGGTCTTTGTAGTAGCAAGTCATACTAACTACTAATAAGTATACTCGGTTTACCCTGTGCATCCCTGGCCCTAAGGGTCCACTGACCACTGTACTTAGGAGTTGTGTACTTGGGCTCGCAATGCATCTTTGTTTTTGGGATGCCCAAAGGGTCTTTGTAGTAGCAAGTCATACTAATTACTAATGAGTATATTCTTTATACTGCAGCCTTGAGGCTTGTGTTATCTATTTCGTGCTTTAGTTGCTGCATTTTCCGGTGTTGTGGCAGTGCACCTCAACAGCGAGTTGTAGTTCAGTCAATGTGCTAGTGAGCCGCGAGAACTCGTCTGGCAGAATCCGAGTTGCGAGAGCGTAAACCCAACATAAACGCGACCGTCGCCGAGGGTTCTGACCGTTGAACAGCTGGCCCTTTTCTGTCCCAGTTCGTTTTCCCCTTACAACCCCCACAACACTCGCCGCAACCCTGCAGAAGGTATACACCTGAAGACATTTTGTGAAGTGAGGCTTCGGGAAGGTTACTGGCTATTGAGTTTCAAGGTTGCTTAAAGGATCATGGGAGTTGGTAACTAGGGTTATAAGTAAGGTAGCTATACTTAGAACCCCATTAAGGTGCTTATAACCTTACTTACTTAGTCCCATGATCCTCCAAGTAGGGTTTAAAGTTTAGGGTTGTGTGACGGTGCTCGGGCTTGGTCCGAGCCCTGAAGACCTTGGGAGCCCCGAGGGGCCCCAGCATTTAGTCTACTGGTTGGCTCTTAGGATTTTCAATTTTTGGGTCTCTATATGAACTATATAATAAGGAGGCTAAAGGTTTAACTTTTAGGAGGGGTCCAGAAGTCAGTCAAGTCTATTTTCGTTCAGGTAGGCTTTGGGGTGTAGGGTTTATAGGTTTAGGGTAGTGCTGCTGATCGGCAGAGTCTGGGCTCAAAACAGGGTTTAGGGATTCATCATCTCCACGTCATCATCATCATTTCAAGACTATGAATGCATAGGCTTACATGCCATAGTGTGAGTCGTCTGTGAAACCTCGATGCCTTGAGGTGCTCCATCTGAAGACTATGACTAGGATGCCCAGCAGTACCCTTATTCCCTTTTTGTAGTCCTAGGTTCCTTATAAAGTTACCGAATAATACCAAAAAGGGCACCCTTTTTATTCCTAGGTTACTGGGCATCCTAGAAGACTACTGGGCATGCTAGAAGACCTAAGCCATCTTAAATCCCGGGTGGGATCCCAAACAGAACCCAAGCGCCACTCATCCCGACAAGCCACAAGCCTTCGACCCGCACCGCCTCCATGCCCTATACTTTCAAAACCCTGGATAACTTAACTTTATACTGACCTGTAGAAAGGTAATCATAATAAGGAGCCCTAAACAAGTAGGTTCTTTAGTGTCCAGCCAAGCCCTTAAGCCCCGTAGCGCAGAGCATTATGAGCCTCTGGGATGAGGGTCACTCGGATTGCGGGTCCGCACTTAAAAGCTTCAGGGCGCAAGGTTAACGACATGAAGGTTTGGGGTTGAGAACCTCTAGATCTGCAAAAGCAAACTTCGAGGTGTACGGTCTAGGGTCGGTAGTTCAGGATCAGGAAGCATAGTTCATATCTTTTTCATACGAGGACACGCGCGCAAACAGAGACGCACCATGAAGCAACACGAAGGTGGTAGGATGGGTGCTTGGTCCTTGGGTTAAGGGCGTCGAGTTGTCGAGATATTATGCCCTATTCCCTTCCTCGCTATTTTCGGGTTTGGGGCTTAGGGGATACCTGTAGTGATAGCAGAGATACGGGAGTTTCCGAAAATGGGGGACGCTAACATAGTACCCTACATAACAGGATCCTTATGATAATGAACCCAAAATAAGGTACCCCTAATTGTCGGAAACTCCCAAAAGGCTTTTTGGGATACCTATAGTCCCTAAACCCTAAACCCAAAACCCTAAACCCTAAACCGCTATAGTGATTGCAAAGATACAAGTTCCGATTTCTTGGTTCGCTAGCGTTTGGAACCACAGTCAGCAGATCTCAGCTTCAGAGCCCTGCAAAAGATTGGGTCCCTTTAAGGGTTCGCTTAAGGGAACTATAAGGGTCCCCATAAGGGATCCTTTGAGGGCTCCTCTAAGGATCCCTCAGTTTCGGTTTTTAGGGTTTAGGGTCCCTTTAGCTTATATCCCCAATATCCAACCTTTAAACCTTGTGGGTTACTGTAGTTTAATCGGAATCGGAAAGTTGAACCTTTGATTCCTGTGGCTAGTTGGGGTAGTAAGAGGTATAACCCTAAACTTTTTAACCCTAATCTGCAGCGCGCCTTCCAGCAAGGCTTGGTGCCCACGCCTCTGGCTACACTGCGAGCAGATGGTATTCAAGGACCGGTTTTTGGAAAATTCTGAGCCTTTTCGGCGCTGTTTCGGTGTCTTGGTGTGGGTGGTTTTCGGTGGGATCCAAAGGAGGTGCCGATTCTTCCGGTACTGCCCCCACCCTCTAACAGCTAGGTTATATTCAGCATAACTAAACCCTGAGTACATATATCTACATATACATGTATTTATGCATATGCATACCTCTACATATATATATATATATATACATGTATATATATATATACACATACATACCCCTTGTTATTATCCCTCCGAGGTCTCCTCTGCCAGGAGCCCCCAAGGGCCCCTAAGAGTGGGTATATACTTGATTGGGCTATGCTCGAGGGCAGTTGGTGGGTCTAGGTGGTCTTCTGGTCCTACACTTCCCTGATGAGTGCTCCATACGCGTCAAGCTTATAAGTTGTACAAGCGTCATAGGTTTAGGGTTCAGGGTTTTGGGAGTTGAAAGCACCTTAAACTACAGTAACCTGCTTTGTTGGAGAGCTTCTTTACGTTCTACATGCCGGCTTGTTGCAAGAGCATAAAACAAGAGGTTGCTTGTAGTCGATGGCAAGGTTGCAAGTCTCCTAACTTGGCGTTACTGCACCCATAAACTTATTGATGAACTAACCCTAAACCCCGCTAAACTGCCCTAAACCCTGAACCCTAAACCCCTAAACCCTAAACCCCTAAAACCCCTGAACCCTGAACCCACCTATATACCTTCAAACAGGACTGCCAAGGCGCTATGCAAACCTTCAGGCCTCGAAAGCTTTGAGGGGACGAGGGATTCCGCCAATCCCTAAAACCCTAAAGCCCCAAAACCTGCAGCTTTATCAAGCCTGATTAGCTAACGCCCGTTTAAATCTTTTGAAGCTGTGTTAAATCCTATCCAGCCTATCTTAAGGGCCGCCAGAAGCCCGCGATTTTTTGTTGACAATATGCCTTCAAGCTCAACCCTAAACCCTAAACCTTGACCCCTAAACCCTAAACCAACGGCCCTGCTACCAACGGCAGAGCCTCTCTACAGTCAGCTCGATCCTTCAGATCTGACCAATACCAGGACCGCCCAATGGCCCTTGAATAGAGCCCTTATGGTCCTTGATAGTGGGTAGTTGGTGTATAATTAGCGGGTAGTTGGGGGGGCTAGGTACTCAGGGGTACTTAGAAAGAAGTTTTGGCTTTTGGTTCCTACACTCCCCTGAGACATAGGCCAAAGTATAATTTTTGCCAGGGGTCAAAGAAATCCTAAGTAGTATTAGAGACTCCTTGGAGGGCTCCCTTCTTAACCCTACTTCTGGCTCTCTTAAACGTGACCTTATTCAGAGGGTCCATATCCCCAAGGGTCCCCATCCTAATTTAGGGGTTTAATGTACTGTTCCTTCGGGTCCCTGAAACATGAATGAACTTCTGTAACCTTCAGCCCTTGTTTCCAGAGTTTAGGTCTTGGATTCGCCCCAACTCCCAGATACCACCCAAAAGCGTATACCCTAAACCCTATGCCGTCCAAAAGCCTTATTCGAATTGCTAAGGCCTCTATACCGCTGGACTCGCCTTAGGTTTCTTTGATTGTAGTGAAAATGTCAAGCCCATGAAACATGGTAGTTGGTTCTGACAGTTTGCAAATTTATTAATCTATCGTATCATATCATACTTATATTTACTGTATTGTGTTATGTTATGTTATATCTTAACGTTGTGCATTATCTTGTATTTTATAATATGATATGTGATACGTAATATTTGACGAGATTAGGCTAGATGAGATTGGGCGAGACTAGACTAGACTAGATCCGATAGGTAGGTAGGTCGGTAGATAGATACCAGAGCGAGAGAGAGAGAGAGAGAGAAAGAGAGAGAGAGAGAGAGAGAGAGAGCGCGTCGAACTCAATGCAGACCAGGCCTACAACTGCCTGATGACGTTCAAGCTGCATGGAGGACATCACACGCAGTTCCATGTTATGGAATCCCCTCAACCAACACCCTCTAAAGGTAGGGGGGCTTTGGACAGTACTCCAGATCCGCTACCACGAGGAGCTCAAGCTAGATGTAGCGACATGGCGCACCTTGGTGAAAGTCTTCGAGAAGCCGGGGGACGTCACCACAGCAGGAGAGCTACACTCACAAGTAGCTGCGAACCCAGGGGAAGCAGCACCGGTTACGCCACCGCTACCAGAAGAAGGCCTGTACCAGCAGGGGTGAAAGAAAGAGAGAGCGAGGGAGCGAGGCAGGGAGGGAGGGAATAGGGTATTTCGGGCAGTTGCGCGCCCCCCCCCCCCCCACCCCCCGACCCGGCTCTAAACATTCAGGCCTCCAATCAACCGTAAACGCTCGACCTAACTTGGAGGATCATGGGACTTCGTAACTTGGGTTATAAGTAAGGTAACTATACTTATATCTACTTATAAGCCCAATTACAGTAAGGTACTTATAACCTTACTTACTAAGTCCCATGATCCTCCAAGTAATCCCTTTAACTTCCCAAACCGAGCCCTAAGTTCTTTCCCGCAGCGTCGCTCGGACTTGGTCCCAGGGCACCGGTACCTGACGATCTCCTCGAGGCGGGATGTTGTGCGTCGCGTCTTGGAAGCTAGGTTTTCGGATGATTTCGAAGGGCTTTATGGTTTCATGTAGATATAGGAATCTCAGAAGGGTTGTGTAATTGTTTCGTCTAGGACTTTCGGGTTTGTACAGCTGCTGCCTTTTGTCTTCATGGTTTTGCAGCATTTCTGGGCCATGTGGGGTTTACTGGAACAGTGATAGAGCCAAAAGTCGGAACATCGAAATGGGATGATCCACGCTGGCCTCCCTTCCTTTATTGGGTCTTGGGGTTGGGGATAGTGATGTCAGCTTTCTTACCTCGAGCCCCTACGTGCTTCGGGTCTTCTAAGATGGAAGCAGGATGACGAACCCATGTAGACCATTCCTTGATTAGCTTAAACACCTACCCTTCCTCAATGGCCTGATCTCAGGAGCCCTGTTAGTATCTGATTTTTGGAGGGGCGAAGCTGAATGAGTGGATTATGTGCAGCGTCTGAGACGAAGGAGGGTTTGGAGCTCCCGAGAACACAGGAGTTCCAAAACAACTCAAGTATGAGGATTTAGAGTTGACCTGTATCCCCAAACCCTACAAAATAGTAGGTTATGGCCCCTTAATTAGAGGGTCTAGCCCTTAAAACGGGTAGGTTTTTGGATCCACAGGTAGGGTTTAGGGTTCAGTTTAGGGTTCATGTAGACGATCCCCAGAAGGGACCTTCAGAACTCTCGGAACCCTTCGTCTGCGTCGACGGAGGGGCCCCCTCGTCTGGGACATCTTATACTCGTACTCTCTGAACTTAAACCCTAAAACCTAGATCGTATTCAATCTTTCTACTTAAGGTCTAGTCAGGTCTAAGGCTAGGGCAGATTCTGGGCTCTTAGTTCTTCCATTTTATGGGGTGAGCTTTTGGGGTTGGGGAGCATTACCACCGTAAGCCCTAAGCCCTACACATCCCTAAATCCTAAACCCCACACAACCCCTAAACCCTCAACCCTACAGAACCCTGAGCGATCAAAGAAACGTCACATCAAAACCTTGAACCCCTCATAGAAGCCTTACAGAACTCTTTTCAAACCCTCAAAGGAGCCAAGACTAAAGCAAGAAAATTCCAGCGCAGAGGCCCTCTCGGCACTGGAGGCGAACAGCGGTTTCGGGCTTTGGGGCTTTAGGGGTTCAGGGGTTCAGGGGTTTGGGGGTTTGAGGGTTTAGGGTTTGAGGTTTTGGGTTTAGGGGTTCGGGTGTTTGGGGTTTAGGGTTTAGGGGTGTGGGGGTTGGGGGTTTAGGGTTTAGGGGTTTAGGGTTTTTGGGCTTGTGGGGTTTCGGGAGCTTGATGAGCAAAGGCTCCGACGGGTGCGGGAGTTTTGGCATTCTATACAGTGGTTTCGGGTTTAGGGTGTTGTAGAAAGGATTTTCCAGGGTCTTGATAGGTGTAGAGTTTTGCAGTGGTTGTGGCTCAGCCAGTTGAGTAATTAGGTCCGCCACAGCATTGATTCCACAACACATTGGTTACACACTCCTTGTGTTTATGTCATGTGGCCTTTTTGGCCAATATTCATTTGTATCCAGGATGCAAGACTTTATATACACCCTATTATAAACGCAAAAGAACTAAACCGACGGCTCATTGCTGTAGAGATTTGCATCGGCGACCTTACGTGATGGGTGTTTTAGGTCCATGGTCTTGTGAGACCGAGTAGTAGGGGAATGCAAGGGTACCCTTAGATCACGATGGGCTTCTGGGGGGTTGTCGGCATGTCAACTGCTGATCGTCATGCCATGGGGGGGCAAGTTGCAGAGAATCTCTACTTAGAGGATCATGGGACTTAGGAACTAGCGTTGCCTGGTAGTAGAGTAGGTAACCTTTAACCTTTTTGGGGTAGTATAGCCCCTTTACAATCCGTATATAACCAAAAAGGTTAACCTTTAGTTCCCCATGATACCCCACAAGTAGGGTTATAGGTAAGGAACCATACTTATAGTGCCAATTAAGGTACTTATAAGCTCACTTACTAAGTCCCACTTCCTATCTCTGATGCTTGGGGCCTTCGGGCCGGGAACCTCGAGCCCCAAGTTAAGGCTCAACGGTTTAGGGCTTGGGGTTTAGGGTTTAGGGTTTAGGGCTTAGGGTTTAGGGTTTAGGGTTTAGGGTTTAGGGTCAAGGTTAAGAGAAGTTTGACGTCCCAACAGCCCACTCAAGACATTCTTAAACTCCAATCGTTGTCCCTGCCGGCTTTTCCTTTGAGGATTTAGAGGAGGGGGTCGCCCCCAACAACCCATAGGCTTCGGGTTGAAGGATCTCCTTGCTGTTTAGTGAACCCCAGAAACTTGGACCATGGGTTTAGGATGATTAGTGTTAGGGTTCCCTCTACTTTACCTTAAGGGCATGAGGATAATGATTCCAACTTTCTGGCTTCTGCTACAGGTGAGGGGAGTGTGTTTTTGGCTAGGCCTGGCTGCTCTGTTTCAAAGAAAGGGTTGATAAGGTCGCAACACTGTTCTTGGACTTTCATACCTCTCACTGCACTATCATTCACACCCGAAAACCGTGAAGGTCTATGAGCTCCGAAGCTCAAAAAAATGGAAATTTCCGAAAATTAGGGGCACCTTATTTTGGGTTCCTTATAATAAGGATCCTACTATTTAGGGTATTACATTAGGGTCCCCTATTCTGGGAAACTCCCAATTGGAGAGGCCCGAGGCCTTAAATGCACACTAAACCCTAAGCACCATCGCTCTAAAGACCTTGAAGTTGGCGTCACGTTTCGCGAAACTCTCTCTTCCGTCTCTTATAGTATCCTTAAGGGAGGGGGCTCCAAGGGGGGTATATAGCCTAGTGATCCCTAACTCTCCCTAGTACTCCCTAAGGTTCCCCTAAGGATTCCTTGTACCCTCGCCCCTTGAACCACCCCCCTTAAGGATCCTATAAGTCTCTTCCGTGGAAGTATGGAGCCTGATGCTGATTCGTGAGCCAAAGATCCCCAACCTTTAGGGACCCAAAAAGCACATAAGCATAAGCATTTTGCAGGGATATCCCTACCTTATTGGGCTTCATTATAAGGGGGTTTATATGGGATATCCCTATCCGATTCTTTGCTTATGTGGTTTTTTGGGTCCCCAAACCTGTAGTTTTTCTAAGCTTGATCGCTGGAAATGGGAGTTTCCGAAAATAGGGGACCCTAGTACAGTACCCTAAATAGTAGGATCCTTAATATGAGGACCCCAAAGTAAGGTACCCCTAATTTTCGGAAACTCCCAAAAGGCTTTTTGAATTCTGCAGACAGCGAGCACGGCACCATAACCTCGCCAGACCTTTGAGCCCAACACCCCCCTTCATTCCGAAGAATCCTTCAAACATTCGGGTGGTTGTCAAAATTAGGGTTCCTCTTTGGGGTACCCTAAATAGTAGGTGCCGTACTATAATGGGGACCCAAAAAGGGACCATAATCTTGACAACCACTCATTTGTGAGTGAAGGCAAGCTCCTGAATCAACAGGCATTGAAGGATTGGAGTTGAGGTTTTAGGGCTTAGGTGTACGGTTTAGGGTTCGGTTTCACAAGGGTTTGGGTTTAATAAGGGGGATCTTAGATTTTTGGGTTCTTGTAGTTTAGTAGGAATCGCAAAGTTTACCGTCGGTTTTTCTATGGCTTATTGTGGTAGTAAGGGATTGAAGGGTATCGGGCCGTCTGGGCCTGTCGCCAGGGGCTGGATGCTACGCTGCTTGCTGAGTTGAAGAGCTGAGTGGAAGGTAGCCTCTCGGTTGGGTATGGGAATACAATAGGAATATAATAGGGCCCGAATATAATCCTTATAGTCACTATTACAGGGTGGGGGCCGCTTCTAAGGTATGGTTTACAGGGAGGTTTCAGAGTTTGAGGTTTGGTCAAAGCAGGGTTTAGGGACCTTCCACTCAGCCCTAAACCCTAAACCCTAAACCCTAAGGCTTTCAGGAGGTATCGGTGCTGCACGTCGGCCTCGGTCAAGATGATTGTGGGTCGTAGACTGGCTAGACTTGAGTCCAGTGGCAAAAAGGAGTCCTTGGGGCTTGCGGTTAAGTAATTTGGGCTTAGGGTTTTGGGTTTTGGGTTTAGGGTTTAGGGTTTAGGGTTTAGGGTTTGGGGTTTAGGGTTTAGGGTTTAGGGTTTAGGGTTTAGGGTTTGGGGTTTAGGGTTTGGGGTTTAGGGTTTAGGGGGTAGAAGTCTTGTTTGGGATTTGGGTGACTGTGGACCTGAAGATGCCACTCCACAAGCTAGCTTGCGAGTTCTTGTGCTGATCGTGTGGTTTGTCCTATACTCTAACCCTCCATCACTAAACCCCAAGGCATAAATCCTTACCCCCCGATTCGATAAGCCTTCAACACCCCATCACTAAACCCGAAACCAGACACCCTAAAGTGCGTCGCCGTACCTGGAACCCCACCAGGCTTGTCCCAGTTGACAGTGCTGAATCTATAAACCCTGAACCCCTAATCCCTCAACCGCTCAACCCTATAGACACTAAACCCTCGGCTCAAGCCATTTTGGCTCCAGGCCTGGGTGCGTGTTTGTGCCTGCCTCGTGGATAGTCCCCTGTGTCTCTGTGGGGGTTTTTGAGCGGCGGTTGGCCACGAGTGCTTTACGGCCGTGCACTTCCACCGGGGGCCCCACGGCTTGATCAGTCCTGCAGGCCCTGGTCGTCTCCCATTACCCGATCCTCCGCGAGAGCTACGTAAAGTCTGGGTGGACCTGTGTCTGGGCGCGGAGCTCGCTGGTACAACATGGCGAACAAGTTCGTGGCGGGGCTGCCGGGGATGCGGTTAGAGGATGACCCGGAACTTGATACCCCCAAGCAGGGGGGCGGGAGCAAGAATCGGGGTGCCTCCCGAGCCGAGAGCCCTGCCAAGCGAAGCAAGGCTGAGGTCCCAGGGGCCATGGCGGTGACTTGCTGCTTGCCCAGCAAAGTGCTGGACTCTTGGAGGCTCAGACCGCGAACATCAAGGAGGCCCTTAAGGAGCACGAGGCCCACCAGGATGAGAAGCTCAACAGGTTGGACGCCAAAGTTGAGGCCTCTCTCGCCAAATCCAATGCAATGGAAGACCAGCTCCGATCAGCCCTTGACCGCATCAAGGCACTGGAAGAGAGAGGGAGTACCGGGGGAGGAACCTCCGGCGGTGACCACAAGCGTACCAGCCTGGTGTTTGGAGGATGGGCCGAAAACACTCGGTGACATGTTATTCTTCACCAGCTCTCCGAGTCGCTCTCGCACTTGAAGCTCACCCATCTTCTGGACAGTGATCCCTTCACCACTGGCCCCCGCCGCGCGGTGGCGCTATGCAACTTCACGGCCCGAGCGACGGAATCCCCTCCAGATCTTCGCCGGCGTATGCTTGAGCTGGTCCAGGAAGTCAACAAGGCTGAGTTGGCCCTGCAAGGCGGTCGGAGGAGTCTTTGGTGTTCCTTCAGTCGCTCCCCGGCGGAACGCGGCCGCGCTAGTGTTGCGGGTTGTATCAAGAAGGTGGTTGCTCACCACCGCTCCTCCCACCTTTCGGAGCTCGACGTGGACTACGCGGCAGGAGCGGCCTGGATGGGTGACATGCAACTTGCTGGAATGGGTTCGCCTCCGCTTCCTAACTCAACACCGGTCGAGACGAGGGCGGGACCTGCTTGGATTGATGAGGTTGGCCTGTCCAAGATCCTCAAGGTCTCCAGGCAGACGATTGAAGATGAGGTGAAGCAGCACAGGTTCTGACACGACACAGACCCTGCCAAGTGCATCATCCGTGCGCGGGGGTGGAACGTTGGGGGGGCTGCCTTGGATGACTTCCCACGAAAGGCGGCTGAGGCAGTAGACGGTTACCTTCAAGAGGACGACATTCTACTTTTGCAGGAGCTCCCTCGTTCGGCCCCTGGCTGGCAACAAGTCGATCTCGCTCCATGGAAAATAATAGGTCACAGATGCCCCGACCAATGGAGAGGCACCGGTATCATGTTTCAGACCTCCGCGTGGACAGTCATGCGCCGCTTGCAGGCGCCCAAGGGGACGTGGTTCAGGCTCCGGCACCTTCGCTTTGGTGCAGAAGTGTGGGTCGGCACCGTGTACTTGCGTCCTGACCTGAGTCAGGATGAGCATGCAGTATCCCTACAAGAGTTTCTGCAGAAGCTTCCGCCGACTCAGCTACCTGTCCTTGTTTCTGGAGATTCCAATTCGGAAATTTCGTGGGCGGTTGGGGATCAGGGTGAGTACACCCCGATTGGGAGGAATGGTAAGACTGTGAGCCTGCTGCATTGGCTGGCCTCCAGGGGCCTTCGTGCTGTACCGCCAGGCCCAGACCAGCTGAACTGTCCGACCACCCAGCCTCGTCAGCAGGACCGGTGTGGACGCCAGATTGATTTCCTCGCAGTGGCTAGGATGGGGACCGATCGTGTTCTCATCGTTCCGGATAGCAACCAGGTAATCGGTACTGATCATGACATACTTTCGCTTGCGGCCTGCCTCAAACGGGTTGCCCGAAGGCCTCGCACTGACACACGACCGAGGCAGGTGCTGAAACCGATTCCTCCAATTGAGGACCTCTCCCAGGCAAAGTTGGTGGACCTGGCCCGGTCCCACACGGGGCCCAAGCAGGGGCGCGGCTACAAGGACCCGGAGGATGTGAAGGCTCTGTTTCGCATGGCGAGGTTCAGCCGGGAGAGTTGTGACTGGAAAATCGCGTTCCAAGCCAGGCGCAAGGCAAGAGGTCGATGGGAGAAAAGCCAGCTGGAAGCCGCGGTTCAGGGAGACTGGGGGGCCTTCAAGAAGATCCGTAAGCAGACTAAGAACGACTGGGAGCTTGGCTTTGCGGACGCTCAGAGTGACCCACACAAAGCCATACACGAGCACCTTCAGAACATTTACAAATCCGAGGAGAGAGTGAACATTTGCTCCCCAAGTGGTGCCTTCACACCCATCACATTGGATGAATTGAAGTCTGCAGTGCACAAAGGCAAGAGAGGCGTGAGTGTGAGTCAGGATGGGACCTCCCAGGAGCTCCTCCTAGGAATTATGAGCGCTGAGGGCGGAGCGGTTGCGCTGCGGGATTGGTTTAACCACCTGCTCTACACAGGGGAGCTCCCCGATGACTGGTACAAGGGCCTGATGGTGGTGTTGCCCAAGAGAGCCTCCCCCACTCTCCCCCGGGAACTCCGGCCGATTTGCATGAGCTCTGCTATCAGCAAAACCTTCTGCCGGATACTGCTTGAACGTGCCAAGCAAAAGGTGACCTCGATCGGCCCGTGTCAGCTCGCGGGTCCTCACAAGCAAACATGTGACTATGTGTTCTGCGCTCACCGACTTATGACCCTTGATCATGAGTGGGGCGCAGGCCTCGCCTACTTGAAGGTCGACATCGAAAAGGCGTTTGATTGTGTCAATCGGGTGGCCCTTTGCGACTATCTCGAGTCTAAGATCGGTAGGTCGTTTGAGCTTCGGATTTGGCAGCTTCTCTTGTCACGCACCTTGCTGTCGCTTGAAACTACTTGGGGCGCCAGCGAGATTGAGGCCCAGCGTGGAATACGCCAGGGCTCGGTTGAGTCGCCACTGTTTTTCTCGTGCCTTGCAGAGCTTACTCTTGAGTCGGCCGCTTCCGAGCACCGGTGGCCGAGGGAGGACCTGGCTCTCCACGGCTTACGGCTGAGTGAGATGATGTTCGTCGACGACGCGGTGTTGTGGAATAGTCAGGTTGCGACCCTTGGTCAGCGGGTTGCGCAGTGGGCTGAGCACCTGGCTAGGTGCGGATTGCGGATCAGCTTGCGCAAGTGTGAGCTCTACATCAGCCCTCACAACCATGGGCCGCGCGAGATTACCGTCAATGGAGAAAAGCTGGTTGCGAAGGACACCCTTACCATCATGGGCCTTCCCATGAAAGTTAAGGCGACCACATGCGAACTTCTTGCCGGCTTGCTAGCCAAAGCCCGTGACGTCTTCTGGTCTATGAAAAAGCTGCTGTGCTCTCCTACCCCACTGCATGCCAGGATTAGGCTGATGGACAAAGTGGTTGCGGGTTGCGGACTCTGGTGTATTTCCTCGTTCTTTCCAGAAGACTCGGCGATGCACATGGTGAACACGTTCCAGCTTCAGCTGATCATAAGTATGATGAACTTGAAACGGGGAGCAGACTGTGGTTGGTTGGAATTCCGCAAACATGCCTACAGGTCGGCAAGGGCGGCTCTTTGGAAGGGCCACCACAAGAGGTGGTCCACGGTCTGGGCGGAGAGACATTGGTCCTACCTGGGCCATCTTGCTCGTAGCCTGTTACATCCCGTGCCTTCTGCTGTGGCGCTCTTGTGCTCATACCGTACTCTCGAGTGGTGGACCAAAGAAAAAACCAAGAAAGACAATGAGAGAGTCAAACACCCCAAGGCTTTCTTTGCAAGACTTATGCTGTCCGAGTCGAAGCTTGACTCTGCAGCTGGAGGACCCTGGCGAATTCTGGCACAAGACCGAGTTCAATGGGCAGGCCGTCTGCCTGCATGGGTCGAGCTTATCGATGTTCAGTGGGCGTCTGGTCGTCAGCTTGCACTCAACTAGGGACTGACATGCGCGGCTTGTGACGGTCGGACAACCTGATTGCCGTGCTTTTCCTCTCTAGCTTTGTTGCGGGCCCCCTGCTGCCCCTTTTTCGCACTGAACACCATGACCTACGTTCACGTTCTTCGCCTTCTACATGTGCCGGCCCTTCTCACCGTGACGGTGGTCTGGCTGCTACACCCCCTGGTGGCACACCCTGATGGGACGGCCACTGGGAACTTCATGAACTCCGATGAGCCTAGCAGGCCTTTTTCTCTTTGGCTTCGGCCCCTGAACCACACGTGCACCACGAACCTCCTGACCGATGTGATGATCCAGCGCCTCCACCGAGCACTACGGCGTCCAGCTCTACGAGCCCTACGGCATCTTCCACGGCGCTCTCTTCTACCTCCCTTGGCCCACCAAGCAGCTACCAGGCCCCAGCACCGGGGAACATCTCCTTCACCGAGGACCCCGTCACAGGCTTTCGTGTTTGGCATGATGCAAGGGCCGACAATTGGCCTAAGATGAGGGACCAAGCCACAGACATCATTGAATGCAACCTCCGCCACATGGTCCGCGATGGGGACTGCACCACAGCTGGCGAGATTGCTCATCAACTATGGGAGATGTTTGAGGCCCCCCGCGGCAACTCTATGGTGGATGGGTGCTATGCCCAAGCGGCGAGGCCGGCCAGGGATGTTTGTGCCCGGTATGCCCTGCGACACAGACCTCGAAACGGGGTTGACCTGGATGAGAGTGAAGCGGACCTCCTTCATCGACTCGGGAGAGGAGTCTACGAAGCCGCCGTCTCCAATGCTAGGGCTATCAGGAGGATGCAGGAGTACTTCCGTGCTCGCCGTGCCCTCTCTGCGGACTCGGACAACCCAGGACCCTCCCGAAACACTCGGCCTCGCCTCAGTCGGCCTGAACTCGAAGAGCCCGCTGATGGCGAAGGGGATGCCCACTCCTTGGTTGGCACTTCTCACCGCACCTCGAGAAACACGAGACCTCCGAGACCGACGAGATCCAATCGACCTACCCGGCCGCGATCCCGAACACCAACAGTGACTGAAGTCACGGAATGGACGGTCTGGCTCACTTCTAGGGGAGCCCTTCATGAGGACCCTGCGGCTCCGTCCGGTAGCTCCGGGCCTACCGACACAACTGAGGCGGTGGCTGAGTGGCTACAGCTGCTGGGCTTTGCAGACCTTGCTCCTCCACTACCGTCCTCGACCAGACCCAGGCCTTCGGCTCGACCCAGCTCTGCACCGACTCGCTCTTCTACCCCTGCGGCATCCTCCTCATCGAGACCTCCGCCACCGACAATACCTGATGACGACATGGTTGAAGTGGTGGCCGAGATGGGGGACTCTGAGGACGAGCTCCTCATGCAGATGAGTATGGCTCTGGTGCCCGACCCCGCCAACTCTCCCAGAAGCGGAACAGATGCATATCGCATGGCCTCGGAGGATGGAGAGACTGAGGTGGCCTCCATGATGCAGCAGCCGCCCGCCGAAACAGAGGACGATGAGGCGACCAACCGTCGCCTACCCCACCAAGGCGAATCGGCGAGTCGCTCACCTTCTAGGGTACCACCTTCAGCCACGGTCCCGCTCGCGATCCCGCTCTGCTACGTCTTCCAACGGCGAGGGGGCAGAGCTACCAACAGAGTCACTGAGATGGATTGAGGGTGCCCGACTCCGTCTGGATCTTCTCCGGGAATGCGGAGGAGGGAACGGAGGACTTGTACGCGCCTTTCGAGGCCTGGTTGATCACCGTGATCTGCCATCCTACACCGCTTATGCTCGACCCTTCGTACGGTGGCTCAGTCGGAGTATGAACAACCCATACGGGGAAGACCATGAGGGCGATGTGGTGTGGGCCTCCTGGGTTGAGAACCTTCTGTGGCTTGACTGGGTTGCCCTACGCACCCCGCCTCCTGGGACACCGAGGGGCCGCTTTGGTATTTTCGAGGCGGTGGAAGGCGTCCGCGCCGGGGAGGACACCTATCGTGTACTTCGGGAGACTCGCCTGACTGAGGCCATCGTAGTACCAGAACCGGCCGACTCCGACGAGGCTCCTAGCTCTGGTGAAAACGATGCCTTTGGCCGGCCGTTACCAAGGAACACGAGGAGTCGCCCGGCCCGATCCTCAGCTTCCTCTTCGGCCTCCTCCTCCTGCCCGACGACGCCCCGCACCGATGTGCCTACCACGACTACGGCCACAGAGATTCCGGGCTTTGACGGTGATGAAACTGGACTTATGGAAACCACTGGTGCCTCTTGGCGGCCTCTCTGCCGTTCTCCAAGCCTTGGACTTCCGCCGAGCCCAGACTGAACCACAAGCTCGTGTACGACGATCCCTGACTCTGCTGCACAGGCTGCGGCGCTACTACGATGGGACTGGCGGACGATGTGGACTGCCATCCGATGCGGAGGGCACCGAGGCCCTCTTGGCTACACACGCCCTCACAGAGGACGACGGGGACACGGTCACGGAGCCCTTGAACTCCGACACGCAGTTTGTTGACCTCTGGTGGCAGCAGCTACGTCCTCTCCTTCCGGCGCCTGCCTTTCCGGCTGCTGCGGCGGCCATCGCGGCCCTTGAGACGGCGGAGCAACCGGAGTACGTTGACTCGCTGGAAGCTGGTGACCACCCGGGGCCCTCCGAGAGTCAGCTTGCCTACGAGGCAAGTGAGATGCTGGCTTGGCAAGCGGACGCCAAAAGCATGATGGACTTTTGGGACGATGAAGACCGGCGGCGAGAGGCAGAACAAGTCCATGCCCAAGAAGCCCAGGCCAACACAGACCGTCGACGGAAGGAGGACCAAGAACAAGCCCGAGCCCGACAGGCGAGAGAATGGGATGACTGGGCGATGTACCATGAGCTGATGGCTACGGTGCCGGTCAAGCGCCGCCGCATGCTGGTGCGGCTACTGAACTCGACTGGGCAGGCTATGAGCTCACATGAGTTTCCGCTCCCCTCGGTTGGCGCCTTGCACCTGGAGCTCAAGCTGGATGAAATCATTGGGGAGGACCTCGCGGGCCCGGCGACCGACAGTGAGGCCCCCACAGTGCAGGTGGCGTCTGATCTGGGGGCTGGAATGGGATCGACCTCCTCGTTGGCGCCTGTGACCTCCCCTGCAGAAACACCGACACACAACACTTCGTGGGCCGCTGGGTTACTTCGAGGACGTGGGGCGGATACAGTTCTTGACCTACCCGATTCTGTAGAAAGTCATGGGCATGAATGTGTGGCGCCGGTAGAACCACCAAGTACGGAAAGGGGTGAGGTTGAGCCGGTGAACGCAGCGGAGTGTGCGAACACGGAGGGAGGTGCATCTGATGGTGAACCGGAAAGTCAGGAAGACTTGCAGTAGTGGTGTCAGGGACGGATGCAGGGCCTGTAAGTGCCTGTAAGTCACGCCCAGCGGAAAAACCGCTTCTCGGATCTCTGCGAGACGAAAAAGGGCCGTTAAAAAAAAAAAAAAACCTAAACCCGTAAACGGGGGAGGGACGGCCCAGTATTGTAGGTGTACTCCTTAGGGTGCCTGTTTAGATGCCCTCTGATCCTCTCAGTAGCATGTCACACATCATCAGCAGGCCTCGAACCATATGCCTCGCCTGGATTGCCAGGGTGTGACGGCCGAAACCCCCTGAACCGCTAAACCCTAAACTCAAGGCTTAGGCCGCCCACCTCCATGGGTGGGCGGTGCTTAAGCCCCACGACCTCGATGGCGCAGAGCGAGTCAATGCGCTTGCCCGCCTTTCCGCAGCCATAAGAACCGCAGCACCCACGAAACTCTGAGACTTCACCCTTAGGCCACCATGGGAATCACGGCACAAGGGGGGATTGTTTGTCCATCAACAGCATGCAGCAGACGCGTGAAGATCGCTGCCGTCATACCAACAGAGCCACAGCGTTTCGGGTTTAGGGTTTCATGGAGGCCTAAACCCTAAGCCTTAAAAGGGCTTCATTGCATCATCCAGCAAGATCTCCTTCAGTGCTCCTGAGGCGGTAATGTTGCAACGTGATCAAGAAATCTTGGGCCTGTTTTCGGGTTCCTTGTATGAATCCTACTATTTTGGGGTTTCCTACATTGTCACAAGCGGTTTTGCAATTGGTTTCGGATTCAGGGGTGAGGGGTTCGTTTAGAGTCTAGGGGTCAACCGTACCCAACAGTAGAAGTTGGTGTTGTCCAAGTCAAGTTTCTGGGGAAGATCTGAGTGCTCTCCTGGGGTTTCTGAGCTTCGCTAGATCGGCGAGGACCCCTGGAACAGCAGAAGCGCCAAGCGGCAGACAGCAACAGACACGGCGGTTGCATGGGGAATAAACGCAATATCCGAAGTATCTGTAACATGTGGGTGGTTGTCAAAATTATGGTCTCTTTTTGGGTACCCTAAATATGAGGTGCCGTACTATATTAGGGATCCAAAAAGGAACCATAATTTTGACAACCACCCATGTGTGGCTGCATGCTTGCAATCCAATGGTAACCACCGTACAGACACGCACCCTGAACGAAATAAACCCATTGAATAACCCCAACAGCGGAATGGCTGTCGTCGGGCTCACATGAACGGATGCCAGAAAAGCTCAAAGAGCTGTAGATGCAGGCATTGAACAAAAGATTCTGATTCGCTTAAGATAAGCGCATGCAGTAGGATATTCGGGTTTGGGGAGCGCATGAAAGTCCAGATCTGCTGCAACGCAGGCCAAATGCGTTTGGCAGGCCTCGGGAAATGCATTTGGGCTCGCTCTGAAGCTTGGGGAGCTGAATTCCAGCCCGGGAGTGGGACAAAGAGGGGCATTACCAAGGCTGAGAAAGCTGTAAAATGCGTTTTTGAAGGCTTGAAAAATGTGTTTGGGGCTGTTGCAGACCTAAGCAAAGCGCGTACAGCAGGATTTTCGGGTCTAGGGACGGCATTCAGGTCCAGATCTGCTGCAACGCAGGCCAAATGCGTTTACTAAGCCTCGGAAAATGCATTTTGGCTCGGTCTGAAGCTTCGGAGCTGAATTACAGCCCGGAACTAGGACCAGGAGGGGCATCAGCAAGGCTAAGAAAGCTGTAAAACGCTCTTTTGAAGGCTTGAAAATGCGTAGCGTGTGCAGCAGGATTTTCGGGATTAGCACTGCTGCAACGCAGGCTGACGCAGGCCAATTGCGTTTACCAGGCCTCGAGAAATGCATTTGGGCTCGGTTTGAAGCTTTCGGAGGTGAATTACAGCCGGGACTGGGACCAGGAGGGGCATTAGCAAGGCTAAGAAAGCTGTAAAATCCGGTTTTCAAGGCTTGGACAATGCATTTGGGACCGTTGGATACCAAAGTAAAGCGTGTGCAGCAGGATCTTCAGGATTAGCGACGGCATGGAGGTTGAGCACTGCTGCAACGCAGGCCAAATGCGTTTAGCAAGCCTCGGGAAATGCATTTGGGCTCGGTCTGAAGCTTCGGAGCTGAATTACAGCCCGGGACTGGGAGCAGGAGGGGCATCAGCCAGGCTGAGAAAGCTGCAAAATGCGCTTGTCAAGGCTTGGACAATGCTTTTGGGGCCGTTGGAGACCGAAGCAAAGCGTGTGCAGCAGGATTTTCGGGTTTAGCGACGGCATCGAGGTTAAGCACTGCATGCTGCAACGCAGGCCAAATGCGTTACCAGGCTTCGGGAAATGCACTTGGGCTCGGTGTGAAGCTTCCGGAGCTGAATTACAGCCCGGGACTGGGACCAGGGGGGCATTAGCAAGGCTAAGAAAGCTGCAAAATGCGCTTGTCAAGGCCTGGACAATGCATTTTGGGGCCGTTGGAGGCCGAAGCAAAGCGTGTGCAGCAGGGGCACTGAGGTTGAGCACTGCTGCAACGCAGGCCAAATGCGTTTACCAGGCCTCGGGAAATGCATTTGGGCTCGGTTTGAAGCTTTCAGAGGTGAATTACAGCCCGGGACTGGGACCAGGAGAGGCATTAGCAAGGCTAAGAAGTTTTCAAGTCTTGGACAATGCATTTGGGGCCGTTGGATACCAAAGTAAAGCGTGTGCAGCAGGATTTTCGGGATTAGCGACGGCATGGAGGTTTAGCACTGCTGCAACGCAGGCCAAATGCGTTTAGCAAGCCTCGGGAAATGCATTTGGGCTCGGTCTGAAGCTTCGGAGCTGAATTACAGCCCGGGACTGGGAGCAGGAGGGGCATCAGCCAGGCTGAGAAAGCTGTAAAATGCGGTTTTCAAGGCTTGGACAATGCATTTGGGGCTGTTGGAGACCAAAGTAAAGCGTGTGCAGCAGGAATTTCGGGATTAGCGACGGCATGGAGGTTGAGCACTGCTGCAACGCAGGCCAAATGCGTTTAGCAAGCCTCGGGAAATGCATTTGAGCTCGGTCTGAAGCTTCGGAGCTGAAGTACAGCCCGGGACGGGACCAGGAGGGGCATTAGCAAGGCTGAGAAAGCTGTAAAATGCGGTTTTCAAGGTTTGGTCAATGCATTTGTTGCTGTTGGAGACCAAAGTAAAGCGTGTGCAGCAGCAGGATTTTCGGGTTTAGCGACGGCATTCAGGTCCAGATCTGCTGCAACGCAGGCCAAATGCGTTTACTAAGCCTCGGAAAATGCATTTGGGCTCGGTCTGAAGCTTCAGAGCTGAATTACAGCCCGGAACTATAGGACCAGGAGGGGCATTAGCAAGGCTAAGAAAGCGGACAATGCATTTGGGGCCGTTGGATACCAAAGTAAAGCGTGTGCAGCATTATTGTCGGGTTTAGCGACGGCACGGAGGCTGAGAACTGCTGCAACGCAGGCCAAATGCGTTTAGTAAGCTTCGGGAAATGCATTTGAGCTCGGTCTGAAGCTTCGGAGCTGAACTACAGCCCGGACTGGGAGCAGGAGGGGCATTAGCAAGGCTGAGAAAGCTGCAAAATGCGCTTGTCAAGGCTTGGACAATGCTTTTGGGGCCGTTGGAGACCGAAGCAAAGCGTGTGCAGCAGGATTTTCGGGTTTAGCGACGGCATCGAGGTTAAGCACTGCATGCTGCAACGCAGGCCAAATGCGTTACCAGGCTTCGGGAAATGCATTTGGGCTCGATTTGAAGCTTCCGGAGGTGAATTACAGGCCGGGCCAGGAGGGGCATTAGCAAGGCTGAGAAAGTTGTAAAATGTGGTGTCCAAGGCTTGGACAATGCGTTTGGGGCTGTTGGAAACCAAAGTAAAGCGTGCTCAATAGGATTTTCAGATCTGCTGCAACGCAGGTCAAATGCGTTTACCGGGCATCGGGAAATGAATTTGGGCTCGGTTTGAAGCTTCGGGCGCTGAGTTACAGCCCGGGACTGGGGCCAGGAAGGGCATTAGCAAGGCTAAGAAAGCTGCAAATTGTAAAATGCGGTTTTCAAGGCTTGGACAATGCATTTGGGGCTGCTGGATACCAAAGTAAAGCGTGTGCAGCATTATTTTCGGATTTAGCGACGGCATGGAGGTTGAGCACTGCTGCAACGCAGGCCAAGTGCGTTTAGCAGGCCTGGTGAAATTCATTTGGGCTCGGTCGCAGGCTTCGGAGCTGAATTACAGCCCGGGAGTGGGAGCAGGAGGGGCATTAGCAAGGCTGAGAAAGCTGTAAAATGCGGTTTTCAAATCTCGGGCAATGTATTGGGGCTGTTGGAGCCGAAGCAAAGCATGTGCAGCAGGATTTTCGGTACCGCTCCGGAACCTGCCGGAAGGTCTGCCGGAACTTGCCCCCCCGGAACTTGCCCCACAACATCACCAGAACTTGCTTCGGAACCTCGCCGGAACCTCACCGGAACCTGCCGGAACCTGCCTCGCCGGAACCTGCCCCGGAACTTGCCCCGCAACATCACCGGAACCTGCTTCGGAACCTCACCGAAACCTGCCGCAACCTGCCCCGTATGCCCTGGAACCGCTCCGGAACCTGCCGGAAGCTGTACCGGAACTTGCCCCGCAACATCACCGGAACCTGCTTCGGAACCTCACCAAAACCTGCCGGAACCGCTCCGGCACCTGCCGGAACTTGCCCCGACCTTCCCCTGCAACATCACCGGAACTTGCTTCGGAACCTCGCCAGAACCTGCCAGGAACCTCTCCGGAACCTGCCGGAACCTGCCCCGGAACTTGCCCCGCAACATCACCGGAACCTGCTTCGGAACCTCGCCGGAACCTGCCCGGAACCTCCCGGAACCTGCCCCGGAACTTGCCCCGCAACATCACCGGAACCTGCTTCGGAACCTCGCCGGAACCTGCCCGGAACCTGCCGGAACTGCCCCGGAAGTTGCCCCAGCCCTCGCCCCAATCTGCCCCAAACCTTATTTCGGCTAAAGACCCCAGAACTTAAACTGTTGGGGAAAAACTACTCTTGGCCCTGATCCTCACAGCAGGGGTGTCGCTGTATCGCGGCATCCGCAAGACAGCAAGAATGTTCTACATCTGACCTTCGCTGGGTAGGTCTCTAATTCTAATGATTGCGAATAACAACTAATGGTGATGTCTTATTAGGTTCTTGTTCGTCGTTCTCGTCGTAGTAGTCGTCGTAGTCACAGTGGTTTGCATGTCGAGTCAGTGTGTTCCATGCAAGGTCCTGCTTAATTCGGCAATTCCCGTTGTGTGACAGCGGAGTCGACGCTGACATATGCAGGTGTCGTATGCAAACAAGTGTACTTATACCACAGGGCGAATTGATTGTGATCTTTGTACATGTTCATACCGACATGTGCCCGAAATAGCGGAAAAGTAGATTCTTTAGGGTCTGCATAGTTGGAAGTGTATTGCCAATGGTCCCGCTAATAATTATAGAGGAGCAGCTAATTCTCGGAGAGAAGAAGCACCCGGCATGACGGTAGCCGGAAGGCAGTTCTTGGGATCGCGTGACTGGTTTGCGTCGTTTCGAATTCACTGGCAGATTGGCTGCATGATTTGTTGGTTCAGACAGATTTCCACCACTCGCAGCGCTACTGTCGGGGTTGGTAGTACACCTGACAGCCAAGACATGGGGCATGTTTTGTCAGCCTGGAAGAGGCAGTGCAAACTTAGATCCACAATACCCAACCATAAAACTTTCTGGGTTCTTGTAGTTGACGAGAAATCGGAAAGTTTAACGTTTCAATTCTGTGGCTTATTGGGGTAGTAAGCAAAGCAAGCCTTCGATGCAACTCCGCGAAGCTTTCCTTACAGCACGAGTTTTAGGGTTTGGTGCAGCCCGGCTTGACGTTTCGAATGCCTGGTAGAGAGAGAGAGGACATTTGAATTCTGAAAGCAGCAAGTGCCGTCCTTGGCTGTCGCAGTGCAGCGACCATGGATCGTTATGACCCTGATCGAAGCAGCAGCAGAGCAAGCAGTGTCTCCGGAAGGTCCCAGTCTGCTAGAAGCTGGAATTCCTTGCCACCAGATGAGAGAGAGCTGGCTAAAGAACTGGAATCGCAGCACCTCCGGCTAGAGTCGCGGGGAAGCACCAGCAACAGTAGCAACGCGTCACAACCTCGAGACAGACTCCAAGCTGCGGAAGCAGCTGAGCGAGACATCGAAGTCCGGCATAGCCAAAGCAAATCGTTGCAGCAGCCACGGTCCGGCACCGTGTCTCCAGCAGTCGCGCGATCTGCTGCTGACTCCGGAAGGGAGCGACAATCGAATGCACGCAGCGGCTCTGGCAGCAGTGGCAACAGGCAAGTTCGCACCAGTGAGGCGGGAATCTCCGAAAATTAGGGGTAAGTACCTTTTTGGGGATCCTTATAGTAATTAATAAGGATCCTACTACCTAGACCCCCAACTACCCTCTACTATATCTCAAATACCTTCCATTTAGGGCCATAAGGGCTCTATTAGAGGGTACTTTCGGGGTCCTGGTATTTAGGGTATCCTAAACTCTAAACGCTGAACGAATAGGGTCCCCTATTTTCGGAAACTCCCAGGTGGCTTTGGGTTCAGACAGCTCAGCCTCCGGTGCGTCGAAGGAAGCCCAGCAACTAGGTTCTGAGTAGTAGCCTTAAAGGGCTCTGCAAAGGGATCTTCAAAGGGGTCCTTAAAGGGATCTATAGGGGTATCGTGTCTGTTATGTTCCTGAGTCGTAGCCTTTTGCCCTTTCTCTTTTAGGCTCTCCTTCTTCAAAAACGGGTACCCTTATTTTCAAGGGGTTACTCAGAAACCTAAACACCATAAGCCCCCAAAACCTAATCCCTAAACACTAAACCCCTAAGCCCCCAAACCCCGAAGCCCCCAAACCCTAATCCCTAAACCCTAAACTTTAGTAACAGGGCCCACAAAAAAAGACTAGGCAAGTGATGGAGCTGCAAGCCAAGAATCAAGCGCTGGAAGCAGCCCTTCGGTCAAGAGATGCTCAGGCGACGCAGATACTAGCCCAATTGGGGCCCCTTCTAGGGTACTTATAAGTTTACTTACTACCTATTTACTAAGTCCCCCGATCCTCCAAGTAAAGACTAGGATGCTAGGATGCCCAGGCTTAGGGTTTAGGGGTTAGCGGTTAGGGGTTTAGGGGTTTAGGGGTTAGGGGTTTAGGGGTTTAGGGGTTTAGGGGTTTAGGGTTTAGGGGTTTAGTGGTTTAGGGGTTTAGGGTTTAGGGTTTAGGGTAGGATGCCCCGTAGTACCCTTATTCCCTTTTTGTAGTCCTAGGTTCCTTATAAAGTTACCCAATGATACCAAAAATGGAGCCCATTTTATTCCTAGGTTACTGGGCATCCTAGGATAATAGCGGACTGCACGGACATCGACAACAAGAGCCAAGAGCAAATGGCGGCGATCCAGTCGGAGCTTGCAGATGCAGTCAAGGCTCGGAAGAAGGCGGAAGACGAGCGTGATGCCGTGGAAGTGAAGGCCGCGGGCGACAAGGCCAAATCCGCATCGTCTCTAGCTGCCGCGAACGCAGACCGACTGGAGCTACAGGACCGGGACCGGAAGACTGAGGCAAATGCCGCTGAAGCGCAAACCGAACTCGAGGCAGCTCGATGGGGCCTAAGCCAGTCAAAGCAGCGGGAACTCGTACAGAGCCAGCATCAGGAAGAAGCCAAGGAGCTAAGCGACTGCCGGATTGAGGAGCTGGAGGGCTTGTTGAACCTGGGCTTTGGAGTACCATACTTTAATACTTTTTTGGCACCTGTTAACTTAATTAAAGGGAACCAATTATGACAAAAAAATCTATACTTTTTTCTCCCTGCTTACTTCAAAGCCCAGGAACAGTGCAAACCGGGAGCTTGCACAGCTCAGACGAGAGTCTCCCAGTCTCGGGAGCACCGCAAGCGCGCGTGAGACGAGCCTTCAGGATCAGATTGATCTTCTCATCGAGGAGTCGTCGGGGTCATGAAGTTTAGGGTTTAGGCTTAGGGTTTAGTCACCTTTGTGGGACGCCAGCATCTCATGTATGTTTAATTACTTTTTTATAGGGGCCTTAATAGTTACCTGCAAAATTCTAGGGGGTGCTCCTTATGAAAATTAGAGTATAATGGGCCCGAAAACCTTATTCTAATTATTAAGGCCCTGATATTTAGCGGATCCCAGAAGGCACCTTACTTCACCCCACACGACTTGACAAGTCAGGAGAGGACGCGAAATCGGAAGGACATGAGCGAAGCTCGCTTGGAACTGCTCGGACTAAAGAAAAAGCAAGCGATGCAAGCCATCGACCAAGCAAAGTCTCCTGCGGAGTCGCGTCAAGCAAATCAAGCAGCAGGGGGGGGAGGAGGAAGGTCGCGAGGCCGGGGACGAGGGCGTGGAGCAGGAAGGGGCCTCCTAGAGATAATAGAGGAGGAGGATGAAGAAGGTTCTATTGGACTGCCGGCACGCGCAGCAGAGTCCGTGGCAAGTGAGTGTGACAGCAGTGACTGTGGAGATCTGGACGACCTTACGAACCTGGGCCGCGATATCGTATGTGTTCACTCTATAGGGGCCGAAATGATTAACAATACTGTATAGTATAGTATACCCCAAACCCGTATTCTAATAATTGCAGAAGTTTCCTCCTCGCTTACTGATGCGAAACGTCTTTTGCCTGAACCCTAAACTCTTAACCCCAAGTTCTAAGCGCTACGCAATAAAATGCCTATAGTCTCCATTGTAGGTCCGTTTACTTGGTTTCACCACTGTGGCATTTCGAGCCATAAAGTAGCGCCAAAAAAGGAACTACAATGGAGACTATAGGCTAGGACCCAGAGTAGGCCCTTATTCCCTTTTTTAGGGTTTAGGTTCCCTTATAACCCCCTTTAACCCAAAAAGGGCATCCTTTTTATCCCTAGGTTACTCTTGGGTCTAGTAGGTAAACTCAGGATTCCCGATCAATCTGCTCAGAACGACCTATTGAAGAAGCTGTTGGCAGAGCTGACCGTTGAGCGGAAGGCAAAGCAAGACATGATTCTCGCTGCTTATAGCTTTTTCCTGAAACCCTATAAACTCTAAACCCTAAACTCTAAACCCTAAACTCTAAACCCTAAATCGAAAACTCCCAACCCTAATCCCTAGTTCATGGTCGCAAACAGAAGTATGTGTCCCTTGGGCTCCTTAAGCAGCCGAAACTAGGTACTTATGTTTTAGAATTATACGGTTTATTTCATTGGATCATATTTCATTTGTTACTATGTCAAATGTATAGACTTCAGACCCCAAAGCGTGCGGTACTGTTTGTATGCTTGGAGCCCTAGGGCATCCTAGAAAAGCTTCATGAAGATCAGAACCCAGGCGTGATAACCACGCTGGTCAGTATGCCGAGCATGCGGAAGAGATCGCTCAATTGCAGAGGCAGCTCGCAGCGGCAGGAGTCTGGGTTCTTGTTAGGAAAGCTAATTTTAATCAACTAATTTTAATCAACCCTAACCTCTAAACCCTAAACCCTAAACCTACCATATACTAAGGAAACGCATATTAGGGTCTATGGGCCCTTACTACGATGGCTTAAAGCAAGAGCCTTACACGATAGATCCCTACTATGGCAACTTAGAATGAGATCCTTAATGCCATAGATCCCCATTATTGTAATGTAGGAACCTGATTAAGAAATCCTGGGCCTGTAACCCCCAAATAGTAGGATCCATATGAAAAACTCAATAAAGGTCCAAGCTTTCTCAATCAGGTTCCACATTAACTTCAATAAAGGTCCAAGCTTTCTTAATCAGGTTCCACATTAACTTAAAGTAGGCTCCTTAACAAGAACTCAGGAGTCCTTCAGGAAACAACTTCAGCAGAGAATGTCCGCTTGCAGAGCGTTGGGAAACAGGACAAGATCAAGCAGCTGCAGCAAGTGGATGACCTGCAAGTCAAAGTGAGAGAGCTAGAGGAGACAGTATTCGTGGAAATGAGGATGCAGACGGACAAAGAGCAGCAGCAAGAAATCACGAATGCTGCATTGCAGGAGAAAGTTCAGCTGCAAGCCGAGTCGCTTCGAATCTCAAACTTGCGCTTGCAAGATGCAGCGTGGCTTCTGAGTAGGTTTTTTGATTAATCAGGTTGGGTTTAGGGATTTAGGGTTGCAGTGGTTGGCCTGCAGATCCTGACTGAAGGAATAGAGTAATTACACATCATGGTCTTCATGCTCCCAGTAGAGTCAGCAAGGCATTGCAGCAGCAGCAGACAGAAGCAGTTCGCCAGCTTCGGGAAATGAACTCATTGCGACTACAGCTCGCAGTGGAACGCAGGCGAAATGCTGGAGATGAGACGCACGGCGCCAAAGACGACTCACCAGAGGAATCCCTCCACATGCAGATAAAGGAGTTGGAAGAAGAGCGACTCGCCAGGCCTTTGGGAGATTTTCAGATTTCGGATTCTGGGGCTGAAGAGGATCTTAATTACAATTGCGAGCTTCTTTCAGAAGCTCTAGAAGCACCAACCTAGGAGAAACCTTCTGCTCAGCAAGATAGAGGTTCAGGAGGTGCAGCACCAGGTTCAGCTGGAAGACGCGTGCCGTGATCATGCTTCCGGATTGCAAGAGCAGCCTCAAACCCCAGAGCCCTGTTTACTGTTTAGGGTTTAGGGTTTAGGGGTTTAGGGTTTAGGGTTTAGGGTTTTATGAGATAATCTTATCCCGTATGAACTCAGCAACGAAGGCTTCCAGATTGCAGGAGCAGCGAGTGAAGTTTGAAGAACAGATCGCAGAGGTCCGCTCCCGATATGAGCAGTTACTCAGGCAGAGGCCTGTTCAGGGCCATTCAGAGGATTCTTAGTAGCTGAGTGAGTACACTTTACACTTTTCGGGGCAGTATCATCCCCTTAGAACTGAACGTTTGCGGTTTTTGGGCTATGCAACGCGCAAGCAAGGATCTGCTTCTGGGCCTTGGCTTGGGGAGCAACTTATCCAGCTTGAGCGCGGAGGCATCATACCAGGCAAAAGATGCTTTTCGTCAAGCAGCTGGCTTTTGTTAAGGACCTTGCTTGAGTTCAGGGTTTAGGGTTTACCATGACCTGTAGCATTAACGATCTCATTGTAAGTTACCATAGTAATAGTAGGGATCTATAGTAAGAAGGACCTTAAGTTATCATAGCAGGGATCTGTCATGGATCAGTAGCAATTAGCTTGGCAGGCTTCCTCACATTCTTGGCAAGCTAAATTAAGTTTAAGAAGAGCCCAGGCAGACGGCGCAAACAGTGCGGTTGGTGTTTCAAGCGAGGCTAGCACCCCAGCGTCGCAGAGCACAGGTGGGTGGTTGTCAAAATTAGGGTCCCTCTTTGAGTCCACATTATATTACGGCGCCTAATATTTAGGGTACCCAACAAGGGATCCTAATTTTGACAACCACCTAGGTGGCACCGCAGGCACTTCATTCTCAGATCAGATTCGCAGCATGATTTGGGCAGTGCTGGGCCTCGTTCCGAACGCAGTTGCCGTGCAGTGCGCTTTTGATGACCTGGTCATCCAGAAGGCCACCGCTAGAGCAGGTGCTATTTTCAGTGGGATGGATTTGATTGGCATGTCTTTCTTTTCCTTGCTCCGAGACAAGAGCAATTCAAGCGTGATCAGAAGAATGATGCTGGTCAACCAATCCATGGCCGATAGCAGTCGCTGGGTCAGCGTTAAGGTGTTTAGGGTTAAGGCGGCTTGGGATCCTTTTTACTTGTTGTGGTTTTGTCCTTAACACCCTAAAACGCTTCCTAACCCGCAAACGATTCTCCAAATTTTAAACCTGAACAGGATCCCTAACTAGGTTCCTGAGTAGTGCCCTTTTCTTCTTTTGCTCTGTTGGGTTCCCTGATGAAAACTAAGTAATAGGAAGAAGGGTACCCTTGTTATTAAGGGGCCGCTCAGGAGCCTACTACAGGGGCTTAAACAATTACCTAGACCATTCTGGGGGTTGCTTATTATAGTAGTGGGATAATCAGCCCCAAACCTCCAGGCATTCCCGATTCCCGAACTCGAAAATAGATCCTCAAGCTTAATTCCGAGACGGTTTAGGGTGTAGGGTTTAGGGTTTAGGGGCCCTAAACCCGAAGAGGAACGCCAACCCTCCACCCGAAGAAGGATCCAAAGACTGTAACCCCTTAAACCAGGAAGCCCTAATCCTTAAATCGTAGCAAGGATCCCCAGGACCTAAATTTCCAAAAGATACAGAGAACCCGAACGGCATCTCGTAACCATAGCCACTGCAAAAGGGGTCGGACAAGTGTTGAACCCTTGCCGCCCCTTCTCACGATCCTCGAAGCGAACCTCTGCTAGATAGAACCCCTTAAGGGTTCCCAGTCGAAGCATCAAGGCCCCTACATGGGTAGTTCTCTAAACTAAGCTGCCTTTGTCACAAAAGTTATACGGCACTGTTTTTAATGCCGACCCTAGAAGGGACCCAGAACTACCCACATGATACCGAGCCTAAACCCTGGACCCTACATGATACCGACTAGTTTGAGGCCCAGGAGACTTTGTAAGTAGGATTATGTAGAGTTATATGGACAATAAATGGAGTTACCCCGACTATATCCCTACTTATAATCGACTTCCTAAGTCCCCTAGGCCTCCAAGCAGATACCCTAAACCCCAAACCGTATGCCCTTAACCGTAAACCCTAAGACTTGCAGAGGTCAGTCTGAAATCCCATCCTTCGTTGCTGCCACCTTGGGCAGATTCGGTCTTCAGGGAATAGCTGGGCAAGTGATTGATGGAGCCACTCGGTCTGTAATGTATAGGTCTTAATTATTAGAATCTGGTTTAGGGGGTATATTAATCATGAAGGCATATTGGAGTCTTTGATTCACGAGTTCCTCAAAGGGTTCGAAAGGAGTCCACTGTGCTTCCAACAAGGGTTTAGAAAGTTTAGGATTTAGGGTTTCAGGGTTTAGGGTTTGGCGCAAATCCTAAACCCAAAAACCCTAAACCCCGTAAGCCCTAAGCCCTAAAGGGTTTGGGGTTGGGCTAGAAGGGCTTCTTCCAACAGGAGCGCTATCGGGTTTTTTACATGTTTGGCTTCCCAGTAGTATCCTTTCACCTTCGCTAATGGTTCTATAGGTTTCTGTAGTCTGGTTTTCCGGTTTCAGGGTACCCCTTGTAGTACCTTCCTTGCCCTTGTTTACTTTACTTGTGCATTTCGGGGCCTCCTGATTCCTGACAAAAGTCGACTATAGTCGGAAAAGGCATCCGTATGGTTACTAAGCGGGTACTGGAGAACCCAGGTTCTTTCTATGGCTCACCTACCTGCTGACTCTCCAAGTGCTTCCGGGCCTGACGGTCGCCACATCGTCCTGGTGATCTCTGAGCAGCAGCAGCAGCAGCAGAAGCGCGTGGGGGAAGTCTCTGTGGCTAGCAGCGATATCTGCCCTAGTGATAGTGTCAGTGTCTGGGCTTTGGAGTACCATACTTTTATGCTTTCTTTGGGACGTGTTACTTAAAGGGAGCCATTATGAAATAAAGGTCTATGCTTTTTTCCAAGGCTACTTCAAAAGCCCAGGTGTGGGCAAGCGTCGGCCTCAATTCATGACTTCCGAGATGCAAAGGTCAAAACTCAGGGCATCCTTCTTCGAGGCAGATTCGAGGATGTCCGCCGTCTCCGGCGGACACTCCTCCCCGCGCAACTCACTGGCTTGAGAGGATCAGTAATTATTCTTCTTGGGTTTTGCTTGCGGATTTAGGAATCCGAGGTTTCACAGATGTTGTCAGTTTCCCGCCGTTCCACGTCGTACAAGTTGTGATCCAAAGAGCTGTCAAGCCCAGAGAGCCCAATACCCGTTAATTAAGGAATATAGCTTAAATCATAATATGAAGCCCTATATAATTTAAGCCATATTCCTTAATTAAGGGGTATTGGGCTCTCTGGGAGGCTTCATGGTCTCACTCGTGCGGCTCGCAGAATACGTTTCACGTTGACTCGCCGCGAGGGGCCAATACTATGCCATCCGGACAGTCAAAGGTCAGAGCTTGGCAGCTGTCAACGGGGTCCAAGGGTTTTTAGGGCCTACGTTTGGGGGTATAGGGGCGACATCCTGGCAGAAGTACGGGTATAGGAGGGAGGGCGGTCAGGGTCAGGGTAGTGGCAGATATGAAGCTTTGGGGAAACTGACTATTGGAACCTAAATTGTAATTACTACGGTTGATGATATAAATGCTGCATGGCCGATAATAAGGAATATACCATAATTCCCATAGTTTAGGGTCATTATGGTAATGCAGGATTTGTATCATCAACCGAAGGTACTATTCCCCAGCCCAGGGTTTCGAATTGCGGCTATCATCATGGCTATCATCGAATACTTGGACGGTCGAGGGACTTAGTAACTGCTTATTTTAGGGACTAATAAGTACCATCACCCCAATTAGGGCCCCTTTTCGGGTACTTATAAGCCTACTTACTACCTACTTACTAAGTCCCCCGACCCTCCAAGTAATGTATCCCAAAACCCTGTTGGACATATAAAGGCCCTGTTTTCAAGCTTCTCAATTCCTGCAGCTTAACAACCGGCGATTCCAAGAACCATCTCCGCAATTTGGCTTCGGGGGAGGTAAGGAGTGAGAAAGAGGTTCAGTTGGGGATTCAGGGTCTCTTAGTTTTTAGGCTTGAACATGACTTCCCACACGAGCGAAAAATGAGCAGTGATATGCTATCATAGTCCATAGTCCCCAGAAAGTTACGCTGCAGTATCCTCCTCAAGCCGTGTTTCAGTTATCAATACCCATACCTTATGACCCTTACAAGCCCTTATGACGCCCGTCCATTCGCTATAGTTTCCTTAGGAATCATTTCTGTTTGATGTTCTGTTTTTGTTCTTGTAAAACCCAAGAGAACATTAATCCTTGTCTGTATTCTGGTTCTAAGGGGGTGTATAGGACAGAGTTGCTGGTAAGGACTTTAACTTCTTGGGTTTCTATATGGACTCTAATTAATAAGGAGGCTAAAAGTTTAACTTTTAGGAGGGGTCCAGAAGCCTGCCAAGTATTGAAGGGTCTATGGTGATTTTTTGGGCTTGCGGCTCGGTCTCGAGGATATTCGGCACATCCCAAACCCTGGACTGCAGTACTTACTATAGGTTTAGGGTTTAGGGTTTATTGCTCATTATAGTCCCACTGGGATGTTTTAATACACAATTTTGTTCACAAGAACCCAAGAGAATCTTAAAGATGATATTTTCATTTTGGTTATAATTGTAAGGGGCGTATACGCACAGTCGAAGAAAGGGCTCTACATTCTCAGCTATATTGCTCTTTACAAGGCTCCCCCGTTATGTTTGGATTTCAATACCTATAGGGTCATACCTTACTATTTTTACGGTACCTACTTTCCTATATAAGATAACCTAACCATAAAACTAGGTACCCTACAACAGGGGTAGGGTATGACGCTCTACAATTTCAATGTACCCCAAAACCCTTTTCTAATTGCCCAGGCCCCTATACTATCTTATTTGTCCGGAAAGTTACTGCAACCGCAAGCCTTTAAGCCTAAGCTCTCGCCTTCCACCGGAACTAAGGTTTAATCGGCCCTAAACCCCTAAACCGTAAACCCTGAACCATCTGCTTCCGGGCAAAAAAGAGTGTAGACAAACACCAACCACAAAGGAGAGTATAGGTAGGTTCAGGGTTAGAGGCTGACGCATGGGCACGTTGGGCTTCAGGGGTTGTCACTTCTAAGCAGTCGTAGGGCTCAGCAGGGGGAGGCGTGATGCAGTCTTCTGATGGACAAAATATCTTTGTGGTTTAGTGTGTACGGCACCCTCACCCCACAAGTCATGCCAAGTAGCGGTGTGTGTTCTTGGCTTCGCAGTTTGAGTTGAGTTATTCGTTGCTGTTCATGTCACCGTTGCTAAACCGTGAACCCTGGACCCTAGCCCGAAGTGCCGTGGGAAGTCCAGGCAGGGTTGTCGTAAACCGGACAAACCGAAGCCGCAAACCTAAATAGGGGTCTTAAGAATTGGAATGGGGTTTTGCGGACTACCATACTATAATTGTAAGAAGGAGCCCCACAAGACAAATCTAGGTAAGCATTAAGGCCCTTGTATCATCGTACCCTTATATTTAACCTTTATAGGTCACCGGTCCCCTTGTAAAAGAATCCTGTTCTAAGTATTAAGGCCCCTATATCCAAAACCCCCAGAATACCCCTTATAATAATCCTTGTAGACCCCCTTTAATAGGAACCCCTTGGTAATTATTAAGGCCCCTATATTTAATCCTTATCATAGCCCTGAGAGTAAACCTTATAGACCCCCTTAAAGGAACCTTATTCTAATTATTAAGGCCCCTATGTGCAGAAAGGTCGTGCATTTACAGCGCGGACGAGGACGACTTACATGTAAGGGTGTTTTTGGGGGTTCAGGGTTTAGGGTTTGGGTTTAGGGGTTTAGGGTTTAGGAGTTTAGGCTAGCCCCAAGCCCAGTAGCAAAAAGGGGTTTAGGATTTAAGGCTTTAAATTTTAGGGCTACATTGAAGGGTGTATAGGCGTTCCGGGTTTTTAGGGTTTGGGACTATTATAGTGCAGCATGGTTCCAAGTCCTGTTTCAATTATTCTCGTCTCTGTTTAGTTGTGGTACAGCAGTCTTCCAGATCCTATTCAAATTCCTCTAGTTGCAAAGGAACTTATGCTCCAGATCCTTATGGATGTCTGACAAAGCCTGTAGACGCACCTTATACCAACTTTCCAAACCCTAAAACCCTAAATATTCTACATGGGTGGTTGTCAAAATGATGGTGCCTTTTTGGATCCTTAATATCATACGGCACCAAATGTTTAAGGTACCCAAAAAGGGACTTTAATTTTGACAACCACCCACATGATTTAGACTGTAGGAGCTCGAGCCGCTTTGGGCGTCGCAAGTCGCAAGGGCCTCGCTCCCACCCTGGATCTACTTAAAGGATCATGGGACTTAGTAAGTAGGGATATAAGTACATTTGGGGTAGTTATAAGTTATAAGTATAGTCACGCTAATTATAACATCTTATAACCCTAGTTACGAAGCCCCATGATCCTTTAAGTAGGGCTTCAGGCTTGAAGGTTTAGGGTTAGGGCTTCGGCTTTTGAGTCTTTTCAGTGTTTCCCAACAGCCCCACACCTTCCGAGAAACTCTGCAAAGCCCTATGTTCAAAACCTCACGAACCGGCATAAACACACCCACGGAAGGAGCGTATCTTCGTCAGAGACCACCTAGGCCAGGAATCTGCATCGTTAGGAGTCTTAAGGACGCGTGTCGGGCTAAACACACAACTAAGAACTATATGTATACATATATATATATATGTATGCACACACCTGTGTTTTCTGTAGAGGGTGATATATATATATATATATACATAAGATGTAAATGTGCTGGCACTCATCAAGTCCATGTATAAGATTATGTACAGGGTCCAGCATTCTAGGCGGTTTCCGGCTCCAGGGTTTACTGCTGCTGCTACTACTACTACTACTACTACTACTACTTCTACTACTACTACTACTACTACTACTACTACTACTAGTCTAGACCGATGACGGCAGGAGAAGTACACCGCTGCCATGTCTTGTCTTTCTACTTGTACTACCACGGATGCTTCATTGACGCGTCCCACTAGCACTAGGACGACAGCTTACCACTCTTGCCGCTCCTTTTCACCCCCTATACAGACCTCAGGCGACCATGATGCGACGACTGGGTCACGGGGGAACAGACCCAAAACTCCCTTTACCTCATATGCTAAGGCCTTTACTCCCATAAACCCTAGGCCCTAAACTCTTGAGCCATGCCACGGTTCGAGTCCGTCAGTGCATTGGTCTCTTCCTCCCTGTGATCATAAGGTAACAGCCAGAAAGTTGGAATATGATTAACCTCACCCTTCTATGGTAAATTATAGGGTATCCTACCATGAAGCCATATTTCAACTTTCTGGAGTTCCCTTTAAGTATCAGGGGGGGCTTTGAATGTCATTGTCATGTTTTGTCCAACGAGCTTGCGGTAGTGGCCCTTGATGGCCCGGGTTTTGTCATTTGGTGCTTGTTTGGTGGCCTGAGAGAGAGCCAACGTTAGCCAAGGACACTGGGGATCGCCAGCGGTAGGAAAAAACAACCCTCGGATTGTGTAGTGAACACCATGAGATGGGCGATGCGTGTTGGTTTAAGTTTTGGACTTTTTTAGCCTGGGACCCCTAAACCCTAAACATAAACCCTGACCCTGAGCCGGTTTCTATGTGGCTGGAAGGCCCCGCACTGCGACAAGCGGGTTTAGCCGATGCCCGGGACTTGGCACTGAAGGTTAAACATGCATTGGGGCAGTGGCAAGAGCCGCGACCCGAGTAGCAATCTCTGCATGTGGCTTGGCTTCGGGTTTTGAGGGTTGTCGGGGTGTTTAGGGTTTCTGGCAGGTTTTTTGAATTCAGGCTTCAGATATTCGGATTCGGGTAGCTTTCTATTCTAACTGTTTCTCTCTCTCGCTCTCTCCTCTCTTGCTCTTACTCGCGACCTCAGCCCCTCCCTCCCTCCCTCCCTCCCTCCCTCCCCCCGCCCCTCCTTCCCGCACGCACGCACTGACTCACTTCACGCACTCGCTCGCTCGCTCGCTCGCGCTCGCTCTCTCTTTGTCCCTCTCTCTCTCTCTCTCTCTCTCTCTCTCTCTTTTTTTCATACCTAGACAGGTAATTACATAGATACATAAGTACATATGTACACATTTATCTCTACGTAAAAATTGGTATTTACATCTTTTACACAGATAGATATGCACGTACATGCATACAGACCGACAGACGGACGTACAGTCAGACATACATACTCAGACACACGTACATAGGCACATGCCTGCGTACATACATACACACAGGTGTATGCATGCCTGCATATATGGCACGTGCACAATCATCTCTGTCGGTATGCTTTCCAATGCTTGTCCACCCCAGTCTCTGCAAGCGCGGTAAGCATGCGTGCGCTTGTAGAATTCCTTCGGTGTGCAGACACCTAGGCTTAAGCCTACCTGAAGCACAACGACATTTCCTCAGGTCAAAAGCCGAACCCAGACAAGTCCGTGAACTGAGATTAGTATTAGGATTCTGAGGGCATGCCTGACAGAAGACAGCGCAGCAAGATGAAGCGGAACCTAAACTGCATGAGATCCTGTTATCTATAGCTACGCCAACCTGCAACTTGCTTCCTCAGTCCCTTGATTCCTAAGCCTTACATCCCAAACCCATCTACGGCCCTAAGCCGTAAATCTTTCAACCCGACAAGAAAGCTCCCGGTCTTGACGCTGCAATGGACGAAGCGTGAACCCTAATCCTTTACAACCCCAAAATCAGTGGACGCTTCATGGATGCATTGCCTGCCTTTTGCGAGCACAAGAGTCGAAAGCCAAAAACCTTCATCTTCGAACCCAACATCGGGAACCCTAAACCCTACCTATAGTTTCTATCTTAGCTCCTTCTTGGGGTTAACCTCTACAGCCCTAAATTCCTGTTAGTATCAATCTGGTTAAAGCCAAAAATGCTCTAGAGCAGTGGCCCCTAAACCCTAAACCCTACACCCTATACCCTAAACGCTACACCCTAAGCTCTGAACCCTATAGCCTATACCAGCAACCCTAAGGATGCCCTAAAACCTAAATCCCGGCAGGTGAAGATCCTAATCTGGGATCATAATCGCGACGGCATGTTGGAGCGAGCATCCGTTGCGAAGCCGCATTCTTTCGCCGGAGTTGTCGGGCGTTTTGGTTTTTGGCTTCCAGGGTGTTGGTTTCAGCGCACACATGGCTTCTTTCCGTAAGCTAGAACTTCAATCAAGGTTGGCTCGGCATTTTCTGGCAGATTCCTTACACGCCAGTACAAGCCTCCTCGAAGACCTAAAGAGTTTCAGTGACATTCCGTACTTACCTGGTATTGGGCTAGACTGGCGATGGACGTCGACATGCAGCTAGACTGTGTCGCAGGTGCCATGAGTGCTGTAGGATACTTCGGTTGATGATAATAAGTCCTGCATTACTTTAAGTACCCTAAACTATGGGAAGTATGGTATACTCCTTATCATCGGTCATGCAGGATTTATATCATCAACCGTTACAGCTCGGATTTCTATGAGAGGGCCCAACCGAAGTCGGCGAACCCTACAATCGAAGGAAGCCGAACCTAGGCCCCAAAAGCATCAGCCGAAACTCGTCAATTAAACCCTAAACCCTAAACCGTTGCGGGATTCCTCCGATCTGAGGCAATCTACGATGACCCTGTTGCGTCAGAGTTTGTTTGGGGCATGGCCTATCACTGGTACGGTGTCTCGGACAATCAAGTGCTCACTTGTCGCTCAGGCGGTTTAGAGTTTACCTTAAACTACCAAAACCTGCCCCTATAAGCTTCATGTTTGGGTTAGACCTGGCACTTGAACAAGCAAGTGCACTGCTTGTACTTGGAGGGCTGTGGGACTTAGTAGGTAAGCTATCAGGAGTTATAAGTATAGCTTCTGCACTTATCACCCTTGTGACTGAGTCCCATGATCCTCCGAGTAGTGATTGGCACAATAAAGTTCCAAAGCAGCCTCGAGTACGCCGGGTAACGTGGGCTTTGCTCACGTCATCCTTAAATCAAGTTATCAAAGTCTCCAGCATGCTGCTTCAAAGAATTTTGAAGGCGATGCCTCCCCATCTTGTGGAGCTTACATATGGGTGGTTGTCAAAATCAGGGTCCCTTTTTGGGTCCCTAATAGAGTACGGCACCTAATATTTAGGGTACCCAAAAAGGGACTCTAATTTTGACAACCACCCATATGTAGCGACAGTCATCGACGGCATCATTTCCGTTTTCTCCCTTGTTCTGTGAAAAGTACTAGGGTTTAGGGTTTAGGCGTCTTCCATCTGTCCCATTGTTGCTGCTAGCAAGAGGAACGACGAAGCTAATGTTGTTGCTCCCATTCCACTTCTATGTATGCGTGTTGCTATTACTGCTGGTATTGTCATTGTTATTATGCTCTGCATGTGCATCGTGAGAAATTTGCGTCTCCTGCAACCTTTTGCCTTCAGTAGTGCAAGCCCATCAGGGCCTCAGCAGAAGGACAGCAATGCAAGTTGATCCTTCTGAAAAGGGAAGAGGGTTTATACAGGTTTCCACAAGAGGAAGGCTTCCTTCAGAGGCAAGGTCATATTCCGACTTTCTGGATGCTGCTTGAAATCCCGAACCCTAAACCCTAAACCCCTAGACCCTAAACCCCGAAACCCTCAACCCCTAAACCCTAAACCCCTAAACCCTCAACCCCTAAACCCTAAACCAGAAACCCAGCTAAATTCCCTGCAGTCGGTGCCCGTGCCGTAGTCCAGGCGATGCCCGCTTTGAGACGTGGCCACCTCGCGTGGAGGCACCCGTCTAACTTGGGGCCTACCTAGAGGGCCCATAATAGTTCCTTTTTGGGATTCTTATATAGAACCCTATAAGGTAATCCCACAAAGGAACTACTATGGAGCCTATGGGTAACGACAGGTTTGGGTTTAAGTTTGGGTTTCGGGGTTCATGCAGTTACGAGTATGTAGAAAAGCACGTGAAAGACTTCCCTGCATGCCGCTCATTCACAGGGTTTTTCTCTAGGAGCATCTGGTGCGTACATGCCCAAACCCAAAACATCCCAAAACCCTAAGCCTGGATTTCCCAAAACCGTAAACCCTGAACCCTAAACCCTAAATCAAAGGGGAAAAGGAGGGACCCTTAATAAGGACCCCTAGGTTTATACCCTTAATATAGCCATTATATACCCATTATATAGCCGATTATAGGGTAGGGGTCCCCGTTAAGGGTCCCCCCTTTTCCCCTTTGACTAAATGAACCCTACAAGCCCTGGGCCCTAAACTCTACGCCCTAACCCTCAACTCTATGAGCCCTAAGTCCTTTGAGCGCTATGCCCTAACCCCTATAAGCCGTAAACCCTAAACTCCTAAATCTCAACCACCTCGGGTGGGACGGAGTCTCGCAATTCCGCAAAGCCGGCCCGAAAGCGCGGAGCATTTCAGTAAAACCCCTTGACCACATAACATTCACAGCCTAAGGGTGTTAGGGTAGGGTTTGGGGTTTAGGGATGCGATGGATGAGCATAGCAGTAGTGGTGAGTGTCATAAGCCTTGATACCTTGAAGGGTCAGGGACTCTAGTAGCAGGTAAGTAAGCCCAAACGTACACCAACCTGATTGGAGGACTTGTAACCCTACATATATCAGGTCCCTTGGTCCTAAACTCCGTCCAACCCCTTGCCGAAGTGAAGCAATATGGATCCCTTCTTAAAGCCTTACAAAACCCCATAGCACCTTGCAGTCGCAGAATCCTTTGTTGTATCACCTGCTTTTGTTTTTGCAGGTGCCCTTCCAAGACCGACAGCAGGAAGGTGCTACCAATTGAAATCGTGTTTGGGGGTATATTGTACTACGGTTGATGATATAATTCCTGCATTACCTTAATGACCCTAGACTATGGGAATTATGGTATATTCCTTGTTATGGATCATGCAGGATTTATATCATCAACCGTATAGGGGCTGGGATGGTATATTGTGGTTTGACCGTCGAGGCCCAAGGTTTTGGGGCCTTTAGCCCGTAAAGCCCCAAACAGCTAAACTCTCCCTAGACCCTGAACCCGCTCTAAACCCATTTGCTACTAACCCTAATGTGGCGGTTTGAATAAGCCCCCCCCGACCAAGAGTTCCGTGCTGGAATAGTCAGGGTGTGGGCGGCTTTGAGAAAGTTAGAAGGGAAATGGGGGGCCCCAGGGTTTGGGCGCTGGCTCAGGGTCGGTGATTAGGGAGAAAAGGGAGGGGGGTTTTGTTCAGGAGTTGTCGAGGGTTTAGGGTTCAGGGGGGTTGAGATTAGGTTCAGGGGGGATTTAGGGTTTACCTATAGTATCTATTGTAGTTCATTTTTGGGGTTACCTTTAGGATCCTTAATATAAAATTGGTTAAACCAAAAAAAGGAACTACAATGGAGACTCGGGCTGGAGGGCCAGGGTTTGAGGGCATGGATTGGGGGTTTAGGGTCGTGGGTGCTTTAGGATTGGCCATTTGCAGACGGGAGCACCCCAGCAAAAGAAATCACCCAACCCAAAAAACGCATCAATTGGGCCACCTTCTCTTGGCACTGGTTCGAATAAGCACCGGAAAGATGCACTAACTAGGTACACGATATGAAACGCCACCACATTAAACCCTAAACTCTAAACCCTTGCACAGGAGCAGCAGTTAGGAAAAAGGAGTCCCAAAAAAAAAAACCCTTGCACAGGGTAGCCCAGTAGTCGAGAGGGTAACCTTTAGCCTTCTTTGGGTAGTATAGTCCCTATATAATCCTTATATATCTAAAAAGGTTAACCTTTAGTTCCCCATGATACCTGACAAGTAGGGTAGATTCCCCAGAAGGCGCTGTGGTGAAGGAGCTCAAAGCCTGCGCCGGCTTCGAGAACGTGAGGCCTCCCGGATGCAGGGGTTTACCTGTTTAAGCCTTAAAGGGAACTCCAGAAAGTTGGAATATGGTTTCAGGGTAGGATACCCTATAATTTACCATAAAGCGTTTAGGATAATCATATTCCAACTTTCTGGCTTTTACTGTAGGGGTTGAGGGCATCCAGGCGGGCATATACAAGTTTGTGCAAAAAGGGGTTGAGGGCCAGTTTCGGGTTCAGGGGTATAGAACGTGTTCAGGGGTTTTGGGTTTACCTGGACCCCAAACCTAGGAAGAACGACAGGCTCTTGGAGTTGGTTGTGCCATTGTTTTACCTGTTTCTTGGGGAGGGGTCAGGTAGGGAATAAAGTTTAGGGACACCAAAAGTAGGGATATCACTACCTTAGTGGGCTTCAATATATGGGGGGTCTATATGGGATATCCCTCTCCTAATTCTTGCTCATGTGCCTGTTTGGGGGCCCCAAGAGTGTGTTTGGACTTTGCGATCCGAGGATGCTAGGGTGTAGGGTTTAGGGTTCCGTAAGGGTTCTGTAAGGGATCTATAGGGTTTAGCGTACCGTAAGGGTTCTATAAGGGATCTATAGGGTTTACTATACGGTTCCCTAAGGGTTCTATAAGGGATCTATAGGGTTTAGGGGTCCCTAAGGGTTCTGTCAGGGATCTATAGGGTTCCATAAGGGTTCTGTAAGGGATCTATGGTGCCGCGTCGCCGCGTCGCAGGCCCTCCCCCCCCCCCCCCATGGTATGCCCCCCCAAGCCAGGCAGGCTCTCGTCCCAGCAATAAGGCACACGTCATCCGCGTAACTCCCCCCCCAAGCCAGGCCTTGGCAAAAGGAGGGGGCGGGAGGGATAACCCACAACCATGGAAACCACAAGAAAGGGAGCCACAGGGGCGGGGTGGGGAAGGATAAGCCCTTCCCCTTCACCTCCCCTCGACATACAAATGAGAATGATGGGGATGATGTTGCGCACAATGATGTTGATGTGCTATGATGTTGATGTGCTATGCCCAGTGTGACTGTTGGCGGCACCTTTGCTCTTATGTTGCTCTGGGCTTCGGCAACCCATGTTCATTTGCTTGGCTTGTGATGTTCTTGCGAAAACTGTATCGATCTTCGTCATTGCAAGCCCAGTCTCGGTTGGGTTCGCTAAAAGTAAGCTTGAGCACGTTTTGGAATGATTCTCATTCGGGACTCTTGAGCAAGGGACGGATCATGACCACCATCTTCGTCATCATCATTACCATCATATTCATCACTATCATTGGCTTTGGAGCTCAAGGCAGGTCGGAGTTCAGTGGAACTGTATCACATCCTAAGGTCCAAACTCTTAGCAACCGGACACCCAACCAGCAATGGCCATGGAAGGGGGAACGCAACCACAGGGGGGAGGGGCAGCGGGGAACCCACACCGCAGGGAACCACAGGGGGGGAGGGAGGATACCATGGGGTGGGGGGGGGAGGGGGGGCCTAGCAGCGCTGCACCATCTATAGGGTTTAGGGGTCCCTAAGGGTTCTGTAAGGGATCGGTTCAAAGCCTGAACTTGACCGCTGCGTTTGGGCTTCAAACAAAAGGGTCGATGATGTACCATGTCCTCCATGCTAACACGGTGTCTCTTGAGCACATGCACATGGGATGGAACACGTATGTGTATGCATCCTAAACTTCCTGCGAGAAGTGCGCGCAAAACATGGCACTGTGGACAAAAGAGAATAGTCTGTAGAATACCTTACAGAATACCCTTTCTAAAAACCTAAAAAGGAGTTCATACAACATACGGTACGACCTTCTAGAATAACCCCCTACATACCTTGTATAAAGCTGTTTGAACACCCTCTAAACTAGACAACACCTGTTAGAACACGGTTTAGAACAACACCTAGATATACCTTCTAGGCTAGCGGAATCTAGGATCCGTGAACAAACCGAAGCCTAAGGGATACACATAGAGAACAGAATACCTGATAACATCTCCCTTTACATACCCTATAGAATACCTTCTACAACACATTGTGGAATAACCTATCCAATAGCTTTTGGACTACCTTATGCAATACTTTACACAATTCCCCCGATGTAGCCTACATATACCTTCTAGAACCCCCGTCTGGAATACCCTGTAGAATACCTTCTATGAGACCGCCTATACCCCTTGCATAATTAATATATATATATATATATATATATACACACACACCATATAGCATGCCTGTATTCTCTGCAGAGTACACTGAAGGTAGGGACTTGAAATATGCAAAACCATTCGGAGCCCAAGATCTGAGAAGCCCCCATTTCAATTCTAGCTTATTGGGCAAAGGATTACTATGAAGAGAATCCAGAACCAAGAAGAGTAGCAAGATATTTACCTTACAGAATACCCCATCCATATATACCTTACAAGGACTTTACCACAACTTCATATAAAATGCCCATATTTTATGGCATTCCGGTTTCCTTATGAAATACCGGTTTAAAGCGGAAATCTATCTGCTGCGTTTTTGCTGTTTTACGGCTTGCAGAACATCAACACAGCGGATACTGATTAGAGTTAGTAGATAATTTGAGCGGTTTCGTTAGTGGTATTACTCAAAATAAATAGTCTTAACACTAGTATAACTATTGTTATTGTCATTAGTAGTAGTATTAGCAATTTATAGAGATGAGTGTGATAGAGGTAAGTTCTAGTCCAGTTCAGTGAGCCCGAAGGATGAAGGAGGTTCAGCGTTCTTGTGCAGTGGAAGAGAACCAAAATCACAAAAACCAAAAAAACAAAACCAAAAAAAACAAAAAAACAAAACCAAAAAATACAAAAAACACAATTTTCAGAAAGTCTTCTGTAAGTAGCATTATCCCGAACTCTTGATCAAGACAAGACTGTCTGATTTTTTTTTTGTTTTTTTGTTTTTTTGGTTTTGTTTTTTTTGGTTTTGGTTCTCTTCCACTGCGCAAGACAACCCAAACCTTTTCCCCAAACCCTAAAACCCTTCCGCCCTTGAAGACGATGCGATACGCGTCGTCGTAGTGTGTTGCTTCGGTTTTCGTGAACGAAGTTGAACAGCAAAAACGCAGCGGTCAAGTTCAGGCCTCGAGCCAAGGGATCTATAGGGTTTAGGGTTCCATAAGGGTTCTGTGAGGGATCTATAGGGTTTAGGGGTCCCTAAAGGTTCTGTAAGGGATCTATAGGGTTTGGGGTTCCATGGGTCTTGGTGTTTGGGGTCGTAGGGATTAGAGTTCGGTTGAGGGTTTATTTGGATTTTAGTGTCCCGGGTTGTTAAGGTTTGGGGTTTTCTCACTCACCAGAGAGCCCAGTATACAGACCCTCAGCCCTAAGCCTAAACTTTGCGTGAGTTGCGATATTCTCCTTAGTGGAGGGGCATTGAGCTCTCTGGGCGAGAGCCTCTGGCAGAGTTTCGGGGTTTCTAGAATTCTACAAGGTTCCATAGATTTTGGGGGGTTTTTGGCGGTTCAGGGTGGAGAGCATTCGGGGTGTATTTGGGCTCGGGGTTTAAGGTTTGCGGGGCTGGTTGAGATTTAGGGTTTTGGTTGAGGGTTTCCCTAGGGTGGGGCCTTGTTGTAGTGGTAGGGTTTGGGGGTTTAGGGTTTCGTGCTTAAGGTTTTGTGCATTAGAGATCAGAGTGCTCAGTTACACCAACAGGACCTGAAAAAGGCCATAAGCATAAGCAGTTTACCATGGAGCTTCATTATGGGGGTGGGGCGGGGGTGCTAAAACCCGAAACCCTAAACCCCTAAACCTTAAACCGTGGTATATATAGGATATCCCTATCCTAATATTTGCTTAGGCGGCTTTTTTCGGTCCGCAGGAGAGTTGCCGACCTGCGGCCAGACAAGCATCTCCTTTTCACCGAAGGTGGGGCTTAGGGTTTTAGCGGTCCTTTAAAGGTTACCTTAGATCCCCAAACTTTTTGGGTCCTTGTAGTTTAGTAGGAATCGGAAAGTTTAACCTTGTAGTTCTGTGGCTTATTGGGGTAGTAAGGTACGATAAGGGCTCCTTTAAGGGACCTGGAGGGTTTAGGGCTTAGGGTATAGGGGTTTAGGGTGGGAGTTTCTGGTTTGAGGCTTAGGGGTTAGGGATTCAAGGCAGGAGGGTCGGATTGGGGGTTCTGGGTAACGGCTGAAAGTTGGAAGTTGAGGGTTTAGGCTTCAGAGTTTAGGCTTCGGTTTGGCGTTGGCTGTAGGAGGTTTAGGTTTCCTATTTGGGTAGTTGTCAAAATTATGGTCCCTTTCTGGGTACCCTAAATATTAGGTGTCGTGGTAAATTAGGGACCCTAATTTTGACAACCACCCGTATCTCCCTAAACCCCTATATAAACCCTTTATAGAACCCTTATAGATCCCCTTAAGGAAACCTTTAAAGGGACCCTACTTGGAGGATCATGGGACTTAGTAAGGAAGGTTATAAGTACCTTAATTGGGGCTATAAGTAGCTATAAGTATAGTTACTTTACTTATAACCCTAGTTACTAAGTCCCATGATCCTTTAAGTAGGGTACCCACCCATTTCTCGCTCTATCTTCGAGCCTCCGAAGGCTGCAGCACTTTGGGCTAAGATTTGTTTAGGGGCCGGAAGACTTACGAAGGCTCCTCTATAGTAGATACTTAAGCCTTAAAGGGTCCCTATGTACGTACTTCAAGGCCTAAGTATATACTATATGGGTAAATCATGGCCTAAGTATATACTATATGGGCACATGGAGCCTTAGGGAGACTTACGAAGCTCACGCAGTGCTTTATTACAGCCATGGTCTCACGTACCCCACAAGTCTATCCAAAGCCCTAGGCCCTAAACCCCACGCCCCTGTACTTCGATCCCCAATACCCAACCTTTAAGCTTTTTGTGTTTTTGTAGTAGAGTAGGAATCGGAAAGTCTAACTTTCTATTTCTGTGGCCTATTGGGGTAGTAAGGTACCGGAGTGCTTGGGGCTTCGGGTTCTTGGATGTGAGGCTCTGGCCTTGGTGGTTCTTATAGGGTTTATTAGGGTTTAGGGTTCGGGGTTTGACCAGTTGATCAGTTTTTGCAATCTGGGGTAGTTGGATTTTCATGCATTCGTGTAGCCAGGCTCCGCGTGCGTGCGTGTGTATGGCAACTTGCATGTGGAGGAGACCAAGAGGGCCCTTTTCGCTGGCCCTCTCCTCCCATCCTATGCTCAGCCCTGAGTGCATCCACTGGTGTGCATCGCTGCGGTCAAACTTCGCTTTGAAAGGATTGGATCCCCGGAACGCCGTCACCGGTGGCACCGGCACCTGTGGCGGCGATGCCAGCGATGAAAGTCGCGGCGACACAGCGACGCCGCAGCCGCATAACCAAAATCCCAAAAATCGACAGAACTTCAATTACAAAATGCCCAACCCCACACAGCTCGCCATGATCCACTTCCCGCAGCGAGTCCACAGCACAGTCGGCGCGTCGGTTCCTGGCATATGCGTAGTCCAAGTGTGAAAGGGTTTAGGGTTTAGGGATTATGCCGTGCTCGCATCAGAGGAAGAGAAAGGGATCAGTACTGACTAAGACTAAGACATGCTGGCGATGAAGGCGGCGATGGTGATTGTGATGACCGCAAGTATGGCGAACAGGATGGCACTCACGAACACCGGCTTTCTTGAGGCCATGACCCTGACAGAACGATCTCAATTGCAGCAGTGCCCGAAAGCAACCTTACTTAGGGGTCTCAATAAAGGAGCCTCCAAGAATTAGTAGTACTATGCTTGACTTGTTGCTGTAACACTCCTTGTATGATGCAGTGAATGCGCTTCCAAAACCCGCTGCATTTCCAACTATCCGGTTTCTTGGACTCCTTGGGTGTCGACCTGTTCTGATGACTTTGGGAGCGAGAGCCATGGATATGTTGTCAGCCGTGGCAACATAGGCACCCGAAGACTTGGCATTCTTCTGGTTGGCTCTTAGGACTTTAACTTTCGGGGTTGCTATATGGATTACAATAAGGGGGCGAAAGGCTTAACTGTTAGGAGGGATTCAGTCAGCCAAGAAGACTGGATGATACTATTTCTTAGTGGCTGAGTGGATACACTTTACACTTTTGGGGGTAATATTACCTACTATAAAACCGAAAGTGTACACTTTGGGGGGCCTATGAATTCAGCAACTAGGATTCCGACTATTCCCTATGGTTGGCTCTTAGAACTGTAGCTTTTTGGGTTTCTAAATGGACTATAATAAGGGGTACTAACAGTTTAACTTGTAGGAGGGGTTCAGAACTCAGCCGAGCTATTTTAAGTTTAATTATTAAGGCCCCTACCCGGACCCCCGGGAGGATCCAAAAAGTAGATCCCGCAATGGGAGTTCCCATAAAGTACCCTTAGTAGTATATGTAGGGCCCCAAATTGGGGGATCTACTTTCTAGATCCTTATTGTTACCCTAAACCCTAAACCCCCAAACCTCTAAACCCTGAACCCTTAGATCCCTTTAAAGGATCTTCCCGGGGTCTGGGTAGAGCAGGCTGCCAAGAGCTCGGCGAGCGGCCCTTGGCATCCGTCCTCGGAGCGGGGGGCCCAATCAGCTCCAGGAGAGACTACGGTTTAGAGTTTAGGGATTATAGGGATTAGGGTCAGGGTTTAGTTTCAGGTGTGGTGGAGTTTTTGGCGGGGAATTACAGGGGGTTCTATCCTCTACGACCTCTTGAAACGTCTCTGCGCTGGGTTCGGGATTGAGTGTTTAGGTTTAAATTCATTCAGGTGATTGCACAAGTCCTGATGCAAAAGGGGGTAACTTTAGGTGTTTGAGTTAGGGGGGATTGACAGGATTGTTCTACAGGAGTTCATTGTGATCTTATCGGGGTTTGGAGGGTTTCGGGAGCTGCAGGCAGGCTTGGGGGCACAGGGTCGTGGAGTTCAGCAGCCTTGAATTATTGGCAAAGGCTCCCTAAACATAAAGCAACATGTTGTTCAAGCCAGCAGTGCTAGAATCCTGCGTCTAGCTAGGGGCCCTAGGTATATCCTTACTTAGCGGATCATGAGACTTAGTAACAGGGTTACAAGCCAGGTAACTATACTTATAATAGCTTATAGCCCCAATTAAGGGACTTATAACCCTACTTACTAAGTCCCAAGATCCTCCAAGAGGGGGCTTTGGGGATTAGGGTTTAGGGTTAACAGGTGTGACACATCCACGCGGGATTCACAGAAGCCGATGCAAAAAGGGTTTGGGGATTACTATCCTAAACCCTCAACCCTAAGCCCTAAGCCCTTACTAAGACCCTCCAAGTAATACTGCGGTTGATGATATAGATCCTGCATGACCCACAATAAGGAATACACCATAATTCCCACAGTTTGGGGTCATTAAGGTAATGCAGGATTTATATCATCAACCGTGAGACCCTCCAAGTAATACTAGTAGACTGCCTAGGAGTCCTTTGGCCTGTCCTTGGGGGGAGGTATATTCCCCGATTATGTAATCCCAAAAGTTCAACCTTTCGTTTCCATAGGGGCCCTACTCACTAACCTATACTTTTTGGAGGGGGTTCGTAGTTGTAATTATAGTAGAATGGTTCCCAAAACCCTATTCTAATCATTAAGGCCCCCATATTGGGATGCTGTTGGGGCTGGTTCCGGTTTGAGATGGAAGTGGGCCCAGGTTTCGAAGGTTTGCGGTTTCGTATTTAAGGGCTAGTGACGAGTGCCAATACTTTACGTAAGCTTTGGGGTTTTAGGGCTAGGCTCGGTGCCGGGGTTTGAGATTTCAAACCCTGTAACCAGAAGCCCTAAGCCAAAGGGTCCTAGGTACTGATATGGGGACTACTTCCCCAAATCATAATAGGAATTCCTAATATAGAAACCTTACCTTCTACCATATCGGTACTTTGGACCCTTTGGGTAAGCCAAGTTTGCTTGGGAAAGGATGCCGGTCACTGACCCGCCTCCAGCGACGAGCCGACCCACAGTACTCTTCGAGCTTCCCTTAAGGGTGTACTCCTATATGGGTGGTTGTTAAAATTAGGGTTCCTCTTTGGGCATCCTAAATATTAGGTGCCGTAATATAGTAGGGACCCCAAAAGAGGACCCTAATTTTGACAACCACCCATATAGTGTATACTTTGGCCCCAAACACATATGTACAGGAACTACTTCTATCGCTACAGCCAACGCAGGCTACGACAACTCCTTGGTTGTTAGCGGGGACTTGGGGAAATGGGTTTCAGGGACGACCATACTTGGAGGGGCAGGGGGCTTAGTAAGTATGGGCATAGGTAGAGTTATAAGTACCCTAAATGGACTAACCCCAATTATGACCCCTACTGATACCCTACTTACTACGTCCCCTGCCCCTCCAAGAAGGGGACCTTCGAAGGGAGACATTTGTCCGCCACACTGCGGCTGTGCGAGTGATGCGCCGGGCCATGTAATATCTCCTCCCTCTAAACCCTAAACCCCTAAAACCTCCAAACCCCCAAAACTTTAAACCCTAAACCCCTCCAACCCCCCCAAATCCAAAAACCCTAAAGCCCTAAAGCCCTAAAACTTCCCCGCAAGCTGCCCCGACATGGCGTGGGGGCGTTCTTAGCCAAAAGCGGTTGCAGTTGGTTGCGGAGCCTGTGCAGGTGGAGACCTTGAGCCCTCACGTTGGGTGATGGTCCCTTTTGGGATCCCTAAGAAATGGGTGGGTGCCCTAGGGTTCCTTTAAAGGGTTCCTTAAGGGGATCTATAAGGGTTCTATGAAGGGTTTAGGGTTTAGGGAGATATGGGTGATGGTCAAAATTATGGTCCTTTTTTGGGGCCCTGTTATAATAAGGCACCTAATATTTATGATGCCCAAAAAAAGACCATAATTTTGACAACCACCCACCTAGCGAGCACCGCCTTAAAACGAATTCGGGAGTGATATATGGGAGTTTCCGAAAATAGGGGGTACCTTATTTTGGTGTCCTTATAAAAAAGCTCCTATTATTTAGGGCACTATCTTAGGGTCCCCTGTTTTCGGAAACTCCCTTATATACCGACGCGAATGACTAGCAACACCATGCACGATCCTGCAAGCTGCGCCAGACTGATGTACCCCAGAACCTTGCTCTAATTTCTGCAGGGCCCCATATGGTTTGGCTCTTCCGGATATCCCCGAAGCATACAAGAACCAACCCCACTAAGCCCTGAATCCTAATACACCCCTTTAGATGATCATGAAGAGCCCTGTCCGCCCCTGCAAATCTCCATAAAGCCTCTAAACCATGGAACCCTAAACCCCCTAAACCCCGAGCCCCAAAATCCTACTCCCCTAAGCCCGAATCCCCTAAAGCCTAAACCCTGCTAAACCCTAAACCCCTAACCCTCAAGCCTAAACCCCTGAAGCTCAGACAGAGCACTTGAGCCCAGGATTGGAAAATTGCGGAGCGCTATGCGATGAACATCATTGCAGACATGAACTCTGGATGCCTTGCGCCGAGGATCAGAGACTAAAAAGCTCTTATGAAACACGAAATAAATAGGAGCGTATATGATATGGTGTTGCAGGGGTTTTGTTTTGGGGCCGAAAATCTAAACTCTAAACCCTAAGTACCTGATAACCTTCATTCTTGGGTGTGTTGCTTGAGTCAGGGTTTCGCGAGTCTCTGGGGTTCTCCATACCTCTGGGAATCTCGAGATTAGGTACACGGGCGGGGCCCAGGGTTGAGATTGTTTACGGTCTAGACTAGGATGCCCAGTATATACTACCCTTATTCCCTTTTTGTAGTCCTAGGTTCCTTATAGAGTTACCCAATACCAAAAAAGGAGCCCTTCTTATTCCTAGGTTACTGTGCATCCTAGCAGAGGTTTAGAGCTTACCTAAGTTCAGAATTTGGCACTTGCTTCTTCCACGCTCGAGAACATCTCAGCTAAGAGATCGCCAGATGCCTGCCCGTGCAGACCGCGAGATCAACTGTCCTGAAAGAACGCAAGTCCCCGTAGTCAAACAATCTGCTTTGCAATATGGGTTGATCATTAAGATGTTTTCATGTCTACTGCTTACCTAAGTAATTAGGTCTGGTGTCGCTGGAAACTATATATCCCCGAGACGTACGCCTGGTGAGCAGCAGCATGTTGGAAGTATATCTGTCTGATGCATCAGCAGTAATAATCGCAACAATGATGACAACAGCAACGATATAGTTACTAAGGGGAACAATATCATAGCAATACAAAAAACGACAATAGCAATCATAATCATACTAGCAGGAAAACAAACAAAGGCGCAACAAACCGCACAGCACTGAAACATAATGTCTACTAAAAACATCAATAACAATGAGCACAAACAATAAATGCCAATAAGGTTACCCATCGTATAACCAGGAATAACACTGACAGTTATAGTTTAGTGGAATATAATAATGACTTGACCATCAAACAGAATATACACACTACGAATAACACCACTCAGACTAGACATCTGAATAACTTAACAACAACAGCAGAAACACAAAGCAATGGTGATAACACTGCTGCTTAATCAGCAAAAGGGTAGTAATTATTGCTATTAGTATTAGTAGTAGTGGGAGCAGCAACAGTAATAGTAGTCGTAGTCGTAGTAGTGGTGGTAGTCGTAGTAGCAGTAGTAGTAGTCGTCGTCGTAGTGGTAGCTGTTGTTGTTAGTTCTGGCCCAAAGCCCTAAAGGCCCTAAAGGTTGGGCGTCCGCAGCCCAGGTGAGGGTTGGATTGCCTCGTCCCCAGAGTTCCGGTGACTGCTTTGTTAGGGTTTATAGGGTTTAGGGTTTAGGGGTCTATAAGGCTTAGGGTTTAGGGATTATTCTAGGGTTTCGGGTTTAGGGTCTATAAGGTTTAGGGTTCTGTGGGCCGCTGCTTCCGTGGTTTGGAGTTTAAGGGTTTCCAGCTTTTGGGTGTTTGGGCTTCGGGCTTGTAAGATTTGTGAGTTTAAGGGTTTCTAGCTTTTGGGTGCTTGGGTTTTGGGCTTGCAAGAATTTGGGCTTCAGAGGTTCAGGGTTTCGAGTTTTTGAGGTTTCTGCGTTTCGGGTTTCGGGTTTTGGGGGGCTTTCGGATATCGAGGCCCGCGGAACTCGACTTGGCTTTTCCCACTATATAGACGCTCATCTCCGTATATATATATATATATATGTATGTATATTATATATATATATATATATATTGATTGTACAGACTATAGATACATATAGCTGCAATATCGCTGTATATATATATATATATATACATGTATATATATATATATATATAGAGTGTATAGACACATGTATTTGCACATATCATACATGCCTGTATACTATACATGGCTCGAAACAAGTAGAAACTGTTGTTCAGGCAGTGGTTCATGATTAGCGTCTGACCTGTGTGAAGAGGAACCTGAACATGTAGAACTCGGCTCGGGGTGGCAGTATGCTGTAACCCCTTGTATACGTTTGCTGGGTTTCGGATATCCTACGTAGACGCTGCAATCCCCAGGGTAATCATTCTGCCATTCTGCAGCTGCATAAACTGACTTATGGTGGACAAAATTCTAGCGCTGTTTTCTTCTTTCTAGATTTTGTGTGCGAACCTTCTTATACGATCTGCTGCTCAGGATTGGAACCTTGTGCTGGACCAGGAAGGTGGCCCCAACCACGCGCCACGGTGAAAAGAGCAAAGATCAGGGTGAACGACAAAACCTTGGCATTCTTCTGGTTGGCTCTTAGGACTTTAACTTTTTTTGGGTTTCTATATGAACTCCAATAGGGAGGCTAAAAGTTTAGCTTGTAGGAGGGGTTCAGAAGTCAGCCAAGAAACCCTATCTATGCCTCAGACTCCTAGACCAGATAACCGCGCATCCGGCCCTAAACCCTAAAGCCTCAAGTTTCAACTTGTGGGTGGTTGTCAAAATTAGCCTCCCTTTTGGGTCTTTATTATAGTACGGCACTTAGTGTTTAGGGTACCCAAAAAGGGGCCCTAACTTTGACAACCACCCTTGTGGCTCCAGTTTGTCAAGGCGGTGTGGGGTTTCGGATTCTTGTCAAGTCGGAAGGCCACGAGCAGCCTCAATCCCCTAGCCGAGCTCCGGCTAGAACTGGCATCACGACAACCTTACCTTTGGTTAGTAGGGAATGGAAGAATGGTAGTAATAGTAGTTATACTTGTACCCCGTTCTTCCATTCCCTACTAACCAAAGGTAAGTAAACCCTAAGCCATGCCTCGCCTGGATTATCCGAGTGTGAGCGCCGAAACCATGTTTTTGATTGAGAATTTACTTACGTGGTCACACTGACGGGTTCTCAAGGTACTGGCTTCGGGATGGCAGCAGCAACCAATAGATGAGTAGCATACCACAGTAGCAGAATCTACACCTCTTATCTAGCAGTCCCATGTACTCAAGCAGGGGTCAAAGACATTACCTGGACCCCATAACGCCCGTCGCTTTAATCCCTAAACCCCAGATTGTGGTTCGGTAAGCTAAGCCTTCCGCTGGTAACTGTCTGTATATATATATATATATATATATATACAAACAACTAATTAAAAAGGTAAGTATACATGTATACGTATATATACATATACATATACAACTGTATACACTTTTTTATAGAGGGCTAGATCAACCCTTAACAGGCCAGTAGATATTGATACATGTGTGTATTATACATTATATATATATATATATATATATGTATGTATATATATGTCGATACATGAATATCCAGCTTTAACCGTTTAGCGGTTTATTCATGGTGCAATGCCTGAGCCCTAAACCCCGAGTACCCCAGATGTTTAAGTTTAATCAACATCTCCTTAACCCCACGAACGGAACCTCCAAACTCTAGGCCCCAAGCAACCCTTGAGAGAGCCTCAGTTCTGCGCATCAAACTCTGAACGCTAGCCCCTTGACCCTACACCCGAAACCCCGGACCCTAACCCGTAAACCCTACATTCCAAACCCTAAACCCTAAACTCGAAACCACAAAACCCACCCAAAACCCAAACTCGGAGCGCTCTCGATCTGCCGAGGTTGGCAACAACTGCGTGGCACCCGTCATTTGCGACACATCGAAAGATGCCGTGCCGCCGCTGACAAGTTTACCATCATTATTACTACCATTGACTACCACTCCTACTCCTATTACTACTCCTACTCCTACTACTACTACTACTACTACTACTACTACTACTACTACTCCTACTACTACTACTACCACTACCACTACTACTACTACTACTACTGCTACTACTACCACTACTACTACTACTACTACTACTACTACTACTACTACTCCTACTCCTACTACTACTACTACTACTACCACTACTACCACTACTACCACTACTACTCTAGAGGCCTGAGAAAGGAGTAGTACTGCTCTGTAAGGGTTGCTTATTCTAAGCTGCTAGATACCCCAAGACCCAATTCTAAGTACTAAGACCCCTATATTGCGTTGTTCCTGCCTAGGGCTTAGCGTTCGGAGGATGTGTGTGGTTCGGGGTTGAGGGAAAATGCAGGGGATGATTTAGGGCAAGGGGCTTTACAGTAGGGAGCCTAAATGTCCCGATTATGGTAGTTCAATCTACAGTCTACGTACGTTCCGTAACAAGAGCCCAGCTAAGTGTTTGACATGGGTAGCTATCGAATTTCCATGCCGGGTTGATTTCGGTGCGGTTGATGATTTAAATCCTGCATCACCTTAATGACCGTAGACTATGGGAATTATGGTACATTCCTTATTAAAATTATGGGTCATGCAGGTTTTATATCATCAACCGTCGGACCAATTATTAGTTTAGGGTTGAGGGTTTAGTGTTTTATGCTCGAGTCGAGGCCTTGTGTACCAAGATCTGATTGAGACAAGTATGCACGCGCCATGTATCCCAGATACCATTTAGAAGCCACGAGCGAAGCCCTCGGCACATCTTGGCACCATCATGCCATCAGCCATGAACGGATTTCTAGTCTTTAGGGTTGTGAAGTTTAGGGTTCAGGGTTTCTTCAGGGGCAGCCGCAGTCGCAGTACTCTCACGGCTCACCCCAGTCCGCGCTGAAACGTTGACAGCGCGGCCTTAGTTAAGAGGCTCCGGGCTTCCCTCAGCCTTGAAACACCGAAACGAAACCCTAAACCCCGACCCCTAAACCCTAAACCCCTGAACCCTACACCCCTAAGCCGTAAACCCGGGTAACCCGAGGTCCGGCTTGTCCGAGTTGCGAGAGCAAAAACCCTAGACCCCTCCCCTCACAGAAGGTGCTGTATCAGCCGGCCTTTTGGTATCTGGGGCACACCTGCCGCAATGAGGAGTTTAGGGACGGTGTAGGCTTGAGTTTAGGGTTTAGACTTGAGGGTGTCATTTTAGTTGCCCTCGAACGACGGAGGCTCCAAAAGGCTTTTGAATGCGGAAGTACCTTTGCGCATAGCAGGGTTTCCATAACCCAAGATATGTTTCATTGCTGGGAAGGGGCCCTTTCGGAACTATGCTTGTTCATGTGTGACACTTGTCCATGAACCCCTACACCGTACACCCTAAACAGGTTGGTTATGTAAAAAGCCCGCCAGACGACACCCTAAACCTGCCTATTGTCCATCGTAGTTCCTTTTTTGGTTTAGCCAGTTTTATGTTTTGTGTTCTATAAAGTACTCACCAACGGCACTGCAGTGGAGACGATAGGTAAAAACCCTAAAACCTTAAAGCTCCATAGGCTGAAACCCTAAAATCCACACGATTCCGTGTGAAAACAGTTGCTAGGATTTTGGGCACTCCGTTTTCGGATGAAGTTTGTTGTTGGAGCGAGTTTTTTGGGTTTCGGTCATTAGGGATCAATGGTTGGGCTTCGCTTTTTGGGAGTGAAGATTTCAATATAGGGTCACGAGTTTCGGGTTTACGTGTTCAAGGTCTGCGATTAAGGGCCGGAGGGGTTTGGGCAACAGCATAGGTTAAACAAACAAACAAATGAAGAAATCATCAACTAAATGAAAATGTATGTATATACGCATATGTGTATGTCTGTGTATTTGTCTGCAAATCTGTTTTCAGGTATGTATGTATTGCGCACGTAGGTATGTAAGTATGGGTTTGTAGGTATGATGTAGGTGTATGTGCATGTATGTATGTATGTCTGTAGGTTCGCATAATATGTGTATATATATATATGTATATGTACATGTATATATATACACATATACACACACACATATATATATATATATATAAATATATATATGTACATATGTATGTCTGTCAAAAGTTAGGTTCCAATTTAGCTGGTCTCTTTTGTGTTCGAGCGACCCAGGCATTTCTCGCGATACATCCGGCTCGGAGCTCAGCTGCTCTGGGAGAATCCCGTGGCCGACGAGCAGGGTTCTTACCCAAAGGCTCCAGGTACCCTTATAGGGATCCTTTAAAGGGTTCCTTTGAGGGGCTCTTCTAAGGGTTCTATAAGGGTTTAAGGAAATTTGAAGAATATAAGGCTCCATGTACCCTTACAGAAGATACTTAGGCCTTAAAGTGGTCCCTATGTAGGTACTTTAAGGACTAAGTATCTACTGTAAGGATACATGGAGCCTTAGGGTTAGCAGCTGAGTAGGAAACCTTTAACCTTCTGGAGTTTATGTAGTCCTACCATAGTTGAAAAGGTTAACCCTTGTACTCAGCCCGCAAGCGTTTAGGGTTCCTTGAAGGGTGTTTAGGGTTCCTTTAAGGGGTTTAGCGTTTAGGGGTTTCTAGGCTTTACCTGAACCTCCGAAAGACCTGCTGTGTCAGAAGTGGACAACCGCTTTGAAAGCTGGGCAACCTTCCGAGACACCCTTGCTGCCGGTGCTTCGGTGGCTACCACCGGGTAGACCGCTTCTCAGAGGTTGCAGTCAAGGAAAACGAATCTGTTCCATAGCGATACAGGAGCACCTTCTACAAACTCTTGCGAGAAGTGTGTCCTCGATTTGTGGAGCACTGGTGGGAGTACTTGTATGAGACGTTGATGTGGTTGCTCCCACGCCGTCAGGTTCTACAGCACCTATAGTTGCAGGAACTCACCTTAGATCCCCAATACCCAACCTTTAGACTTGTTAGGTTCTTGTAGTTCTGTAGGAATCGGAAAGTTTAACCTTTCAATTCTGTGGTTTATTGGGGTAGTAAGTCACTGTGGATCAGGAGTTGCCGGCTAGAGCTGGAGCGATTGCAAGAGTGTTTAGGGCTTCTTTAAGGGTGTTTAGGGTTCCTTTAAGGGGGTTTAGTAATTTAGGGCTCCGTTAATAAAGGCCGCTGTAGGGTTCAGCTGCTAGCTTTTAGTGTCAACGCTTCGTTTCTGGGCGATGGCGAATTTGACAAGCCAGATCGCCCAATGGGGTCACAAAGTCACAGGCATCAAGGACGTATGTCGAAACTTATAAGGACCTCTACAAAGGAGGGTTTGACAGGCTTCACGTCCGTGGCCGTTTCTTGGTGGGGTGACGTTCTGCAAAATTTCTCGGCTGGTACTGCTTGGGGTCTAGGGCTTAGTCAGGTCGGATTAGAGGTCGGGGCTAAAATTTGTTGGTGGTTTAAGCGCTATAGGTTTTATTGAGTAGAAGCAAGATGGACTGGGAACAAGATCGATCCCGCGGGCAGCTTGCAAAGGCCTAAACCCAAGATCTTGAGCCCCATTCTGGCCTTAAACTCTAAATCCCAGGCTGATGACGATGTAAATTCGCCACGACTTTTGTTCGCAGCATGTTTGTGGTGCGTGAGGATCCCTTGGCTGAATGCGCGGCACCACCACTGCCGCAACAACAACAACTGCTGCTGCCGCTACCACTGCCACTACCACTACCACTACTACTGCAACTGCTACCACACCAGCAAACTACAACAACAACTGCCACCACTGCTGTTGCTGCTGCTACTACTACGACGGCGACGACGACTACCACTACTACTACTACTACTACTACTACTACTACTACTACTACTACTACTACTACTACTACTACTACTACTACTACTACTACTACTACTACTACTCCGCCTCATCAGCCAAGCTTCACAAAGCCTAGCGAGTAATTACTTTAAGTACAACCTCAAGGCCCGGAGCGCAGCGGCTGCTTTGCAGCACGACTCGTGATGCATTGGAGGCCGCCGGAACGGTTTAGGGTTTAGGGCCTTGGGTCTAATTTGGAAAAAGGGTCTAACTTCGGTTCGCCGGTCTGTTTGTAATAGGGTTGAGGATGACAAAACAGCTTGTTGTCTTTCCGAAGTTTCAGGATGTAGAGGGCTTAGGGTGGCAATACAGCCTGTTTTCTCTTCGAAGCTCCAGGATGTAGCCGTCAGCAGATGTGCTTTTGTGGCCCAGCGTTTTGTGTGAGCACCCGGAGGGGGCAGAGGCGGGTTCTCAAACCCGAAACCCTGCGTGTGCCCTGAACAGAAAAGGGTCTGAACAGTTCCTCATACTAATTAGTCTATTCCTCAGGGTTCCTATGTTTACCACAGCCAAAAGCCTTGCAAGTACGAAGGCTTCAATAGTAAACCGAAGACCTTAATTTCGGGTCCAAAAAAATACCTATGCTATTTTGGTGGTTCCTTATTATAACTATAACTATAGTATAAGAAATCCCCAAAATCCTGTTCTAATGATTAAGGCCCCTATATCCAACAACCTTTATAGCTCCCCTACAGTAACCCTTATAGTACCCTTTTAAAGGAACCCGTTAAAGGAACCCTATTCTAACTATAAAGGCCCCCCTAGTAACACACCCCAAGCTTCCAAATGGAAGTCGGGGTCATTAGTAACAGGTTTAGGGGAAAGGGGCCCTGACAGCCCTTGCTGCACGTGCCGTATGGAAAAACCCGTAAAATATTGTTCAAATTGTGAAGACTCCACTAATCAATCAAGGCTGCGGGGGATGTTTTACAGCATAGAAATCTCCTTCTCCTGGGACTAGAAGGGGGAGTCCCGTCACTGATTATGCGTGTAGCGGAGGAGGTCGAGGTCACGCTGTTGTCTCGGGATTTCGGACATTGAGATCATTCCGGCACGCGACGAGTTGTTTGGGTTTGAGGGTTTTATTGCTAAGCCACCTTGGACACCAGCTTGGCGACCTAGGACGGGTTAATTAGGATCGCCAATATGTGCCTAGGCTCGAGTGTGGACCAGATGATTCTTTCTTCGGGTCTGATGTTGACCGCTGCTGCGTCTGCAAAGTGCATGCAGGTTACTGCCTACAAGAATGTCAACGGCGCGATCGCGGTCGTAGCTGCTGGGCCTTGAACCCCCAACCCTGTTTCGAAGCAACTTGCATCTCTGACGTATGCTCCGCCCGTTGAAGAACCTTGCTGTTTAGTTTGGGTTCGTATAAGTAGGAAAAGCTTTAGCGGCTTTAGTGTCCAGGGTTCACATGTGTCGTCATCTACCGACCTGTCCATCTCCGCTATGCTTAGGTTCATTTGTTCGAGTTAATTACTCTCAGCGGTGAGAACTTCCCGTTCTATACACCTGTCTAAACATATGGTTGGGACCAATCTGTTTCTGGGCTGTTGCTTGATTCTGTGCATCTATGTAAACAGCTGTAAGCATGTATCTGTACTATTGTACCTGAAATATACTGCTTTGACACATGTCGTATCCAACCCGCAAGGTAGGTTCCGCCGAGTTCAGGGAATGTGGCGTGCTAAGACCCTCAAACTGCCCCGTCTTGTAACCCAAACTATCAACACCCCTAAACCCTTAAACCCTATTGTAAACCCCCAAACCCCTAAACCCCTAAGCCTCAAAAACTTACATCCCCATTACCCAACCTTTAAACTTTTGGGGTTCTTTTAGTTCTGTAGGAATCAAAGTTTAACCTTTCAATTCTGTGGCTTATTGGGGTAGTAAGATAAACCCCCATGCCCCGAACCCATGGACACTCCAGGAGTAAGCAGCCGAGAGAGGCTCCTGAGCAAGGTTTGGGTCAACACCAAAATAGCCAAGCTATTCAGGGACTCATACGGGTGGTTGTCAAAATTATGGTGACCCTTTTGGGGTGCTCGAAATATTAGGTGCCGTACTACATTAGGGATCCCAAAAAGGGACCCTAATTTTGACAACCGCCCATATAAGGAAGTCCTAAAGATGCAGGTTGTATCGGCTTAAGCTTAGCTCCCCAATACCCAACCTTTAAGCTTGTTGGGTTAACTTGTAGTATAGTAGGAATTGGAAAGTTTAACCTTTAATTTCTGGGGCTTATTATTGGGGTAGTAAGTATAAGTGCTTAAGGTAGGGTTTCGGGGTTCAGGCGACAGCTTGTCTGGATGTACTTTAGGAACCAGGCGTAACATGGCACGCTGGATTGTGTGAACTAAGGTTTTTACTGTAATACTGCTGATGGGCAAAATCCTGCATTACCCATTAGAAGGAATATACCATAGTTCCCATAGTTTAGAGTCCTTAGGGTCATGCAGGATTTTGTCCATCAGCAGTATGAGACAGAACCTTCGATTTATAATTACAGGCACTCAGTTCAAGCTTGAATATGGGGGTTTCCGAAAATTAGGGGTACCTCATTTTTGGGGGGCCTTATAGTAATAACGATCCTACTATTTAGGGTGCTAGATGAGGGTCCCCTATTTTCGGAAACTTCCATATTAGCTCATCAACCCAGGGGCTCCGATCGTACAAACCGTACCTACTTCTAAACCCTAAACCTTGGGTACCGCCCCCACTCAGTAATAGTTGAATCATATTCATAATATAGATATGTTAGGACCTTATTAGTAGCCCTATTATAGACTCTCACTGTAAGGGGGCAGTACCTAACCTAAACCCTATGTTTACCTACTTTGGCCTACTGGGGAGAGCCAGGGCAAGAGTCTACGGTTTAAAAGTCCTAAATGCTAAACACCTAGCCGAATTTTAGCGGATGTCGGGGTGTTGGAATGAAGATTATGAATCCCATTCTGATCTTAGGCTTATTCCTTTCTGTTATGGAATGAAAATTATGAACCCCCGTATAATTTACGGTAAATTCCTTAGTTCAGGGGATCCTTAAAGTGAGGTGCTGAACCAAAGCGAGGAGCCTATTTCTTTCTGGCTGAAGGCATCTGGACTGCGGTTCCGGTTGTTTTCATATGGGAGTTTCCGAAAATAGGGGACCCTGATATAGTACCCTAAATGGAAGGATCCTTTTTGTAAGGACCCCCAAATAAGGTACCCCTGATTTTCGGAAACTCCCATATTGGTCCGCGTTTTTAATTGAAATCAGGGACCAGGGAGAAGACTGCGTTCCATACTCTTAGATCCCCTCTACCCAACCTTTCAACTTTTTGGGTTCTTGTAGTTTTGTAGGAATCGGAAAGTTTAACCTTTTATTTCTGTGGCTTCTTGGGGTAGTAAGTTGGTCCACGTTTTAATTGAAATCAGGGACCAGGGAGTAGACTGCTTTCCATACTGTTGGCCGACAGCCGCGAAGCCGATCAGAGCCTGGGATACGGTTGATGATATAAATTAGAAGCTGCCCCCACCCTGTAATAGTGGTATAACAGGAATATAATAGGGCCCTAATCTAATCCTATATAACCCTTATGGTCACTATTACAGGGTGGGGGCCCCTTCTAAGATATAAATCCTAGGGTTCCCTTTACAGGGATCTATAAGGATATCTTTGAGGGGTTCCTTTATAGGGGGTTTAGGGTTTAGGATATAAGTCCTGCATTACCCTAAGGACCTTGAACTATGGGAATTATGGTATATTTCTTATTCTGGGTAGTGCAGGATTTATATCATCAACCGTACTTCCTCAACAACGAAACCATTGTAGATACCGATACAAACCTTGCTTCCAAAATCTTTGACGACAGCCGTTGCGGCCGTTGCGCGGCAAGACGAAGGGACTAAACGTGGTCTTGGGGTTCAGGGTTGGTGGCTTAGCACTTCCGGTAGGAAGGTTTACAACTATAAAGCTTCTGGGTTTCATGGAAAAAGGTTCGGTTCATGGTCCAGTTGTTCCAGCTGACATCAAGAGTCTGGGTTCAAAACTGGGGTTTAGGGTGCTAGAGGCTGCTATAGAGGTCTCATTGCGGATGAAGGCTTCGCCTTGGAGGTGATCCAGGGACCGGGTGGTGGATGTGTGTCTGGGGGCCGGAAGTTGTAGATCTCTGAAAGCCTGAATAACTTGCCAACGTTATTCCTTGGGGTTGCTCATTTTAGTTCTTCTCAGAGGGTCCTTGAGAATTTTATGACTGCTGTTTTTGTGGGGATATGTTAACGCAGGAAAAACGATGCTGGTGACCACCATCAGCCATGTGACGGCCCTGAGCACTTACTCATGCCTTAAACCCTTTAACTTAACACCAAAGTCTAATCCTTGAAGCCTTGACGGAAAAACCCTAAACCCTACGACTTGAAACTTCTGGAAATTGCAAAACATTAAACCCCACGCACCTAACAGTACGGCTTGAAGCTTCTTCTTCAGGTTAAGGAGGGCATTGAGCAGCGCGCAACGGCACTTCTGGCGCCGGCGTGCCCCGAACGATGTCTGTGATCTTGATCTCCTGGCCTAAACCTCGATTTTTATGGTTTAGAGTTCAGGGTACTGCCATAGACCCTAAGTTATTACCAGGCGTATAACGTTTACGGAGCCATGGTCGGCTGTTGTGCGTGCAGCCCCATGTGGAACCTACGTGCTCACTCCCGACAGAAAGATCTAACAATCCGTCTGCCGGATCAGTGCGGTGATTCCTGTTCTAGCACTTGTTGTAGTCGTCCGCGCAATCACCACCATTGTCAGAGCCACAGCCGTGTCTGCCACCATCTTCTTGATCTTAGGTTGCAGTCATCATCATCATCATCATCATCGTCATGATCATGTGATCTGCCCTGAGGGTCCATGTATCCAAATAATGAAGAATAATAATTATAATGTATACTTTGGCCGTACCTATACAGAAACTGCATTGGGGTCAAAGTATCTACTGTTTGTGTTTTTGTGGACATGGACGCTAAGGCTGTGCTTTCTCAGTGGCGACACATGTGCTTGTACTGCGGCTTCAGAAGGATGCCCTCCGCTCACTGCCCCCCCTTGCAAGCAAAGCAGGGTAAGTCCGAAGAGAAGTGGGTTTAGGGTTGATGGAAGTTTAGGTTTTAGGCTTTAGGGGTTTAGGGTTGGGGGAAGTCTCGGGTCGATAGCTGTCCCCGGCAAGCGCGACCATGGATCGCGCAGACCTTGATCGCAGCAGCAGCCGGGCCAGCAGCGTGTCTGGAAGGTCTGTCCATTCTGCCCGGAGCTGGAACTCCCTATCACCGGAAGAGAGGGAGTTGGCCAGTGGCCTGCAGTCAAGGAAGGTCCTCCTCGAGTCGCATGCGAACTCTTACGCAGGAAGTTCCAACGACAGTAGCAGCGGCAAGTCGCAGCCCCGTGACAGGCTGCAAGATGCGGAGGCAGCAGAGAGACTTGGCATTCTTCTGGTTGGCTCTGAGGACTTTTTAACTTTTTGGGGTTCTACATGGACAATAATAAGGAGGCTAAAAGTTTAAGTTTTCAGACGAGGTCCAGAAGTCAGCCAAGGAGTTAGGGACCCAAAAAGCACATAAGCATAAGCATATTATGGGCATATCCCTACCTTATTGGGCTTCATTATAAGGGGGGGTTTATATGGGATATCCCCATCCTTATTTTTGCTTCATTGGGGTCCTAAGGAGAGATATCGCATCTCGCCAGAGCCGGGCCTCCTCACAGGATGGCCCCCATTCCGGCATCAAGTCCCCAGCAGCCGCACGATCTACAGCCGACTCCGGAAGGTCCTGGCCTGGGATGATGAGGGAGATCCCTTAAAGGGTACCCCTTCGGAACCCTACTTCTGGCTCTCTTAAAAGGGACCTTATTCAGAGGGTCTATATCCCCGAGGTTCCCCCTAATCCTAACTCCCAGGTCCGGAAGAGAGAGACGGAGTGGCTCTCCCGGTAGCAGTGGCAACAGACAAGCTCCGGAGATGCTAATCCGAAGCCTCACGGATAGCTCAAGTTCTTTCCATTCGGACGAATCTTCGTCATCGTTGGGTAACCTGTTACATTTTCTTGGGTATTTAAACCCAATTAGGAACGAAAATGTGGATTTTTGTCCTATCCCAACCATGCACCAGGAATCACACCGGGTCAAGGAGCTGCAAGCCAAGAATCAAGCGCTTGAGGCAGCCTTGCGGTCACGGGATGCACAGGCAACGCAGACGATAGCGGACTGCACGGACATCGACAACCGGAATCAAGATCCTTAGATAGTGAACGGGGGAACTTTAAACTTTTTGGCATTATATGTTAGCTCTATCTTAGAAAGTTTGAACGTTTTCGGGCTCGGTTGTTGAAGAAGAGAGGAGCGCATGGTGGAGATCGAGTCGCAACTTGCAGATGCAGTCAAGGCCAGGAAGAAGGCGGAAGACGAGCGTGATGCCGTGGAAGTGAAGGCTGCCGGCGACAAGGCCAAATCTGCGTCGTCTCTAGCAGCCGCGAACGCAGACCGGCTGGAGCTCAAAGACAGGGACCGGAACAGTGAGGCCAAGACTGCTGAGGCACTCGTCGAACTCGAGACAGCTCGCTTTGATCTCAAGCAGTCTGAGCAGCGGGAACTCGAACAGACCCAGCATCAGGAAAAGGCCAAGGAGCTCAGCGACTATCGGATTGAGGAGTTAGAGAGTTTGCTGAACAGTGCAAACAGCCAGCTCGCGCTGATAAGACGTGACACCTCAGGCCTTGGAAGCACAGCGACCGATCGGGAGACGAGCCTGCAGAATCAGATTGACGAGCTCGTGGAGGAGAGGACGCAGAATCGGAAAGACATGAGCGAAGCTCGCTTGGAACTTCTCGGGCTAAAGAGAAAACAAGCGATGCAAGCCATCGACCAAGCAAAGTCTCCTTCTGAGTCGCGTCAGGCAAGTCAGGGAGCAGCAGGTGCGGGAGGAAGGTCGCGAGGCCGGGGGCGAGGGCGTGGAGCAGGCAGGGGAATGCTGGAGATTATCGAGGAGGAGGACGACGAAGAAGGCTCTGTTGGGCTGCCAGCACGTGCAGCAGAGTCCTTGGCCAGCGAGTGTAGCAGCGACTGCGGAGATCTGGACAACCTCACGAATCCGGATCGATCTGCACAGAACGAGCCTAGGTGGCACTTTGGGAAGCTTGCTAACTTCCTGTTATGGTTCCTAGAGAGGTACCTATTCAGAAGCATCTTTTCAGGGCCTCAGAACTACAACGAAGGACCTCTTGAACAAGCTCCTGTCCGAATTGTCCGTTGAGCGGAAGGCGAAGCAGGATCTGCGGGATGACCATGCTGGTCAGAATGCAGAGCAAAAGGAAGAGACTGGGTGCACTTGAACAGCTTTATACCTTGATCGCTTCCACTAGGCTATAGAGGTACCTATTTATGACGACTCTTGGGGGTCCCCAAAAAACCCTAAAGCCAAAACTCCAAAAGGCCTCAGAGGCCCTAAACTCTAATCCTTAAATCCTAAATCCTAAACCCCAAAACCTTAAACCCTAAACCCTAAACCCTCTCGAAACCCTAAACCCCTACTCCCCAAAGACATAACCCAGGAGATAGCTCAGCTGCAGAGGCAGCTCGCCGAAGCGGGAGTTCTGCAGCTTGGTTCTTGTTCATGAGCTTAGATCCGCAATACCGGGATCCTTTAAGGGCTCCGTTAAGGATCCCTGGGTTTAGGCTTTTTGGGTTTAGGGTTTGGGGTCCCTTGAACTTAGATCCCCAATACCCAAGCTTTAAACTCTTTGGGGTTCTTGTAGTTTAGTAGGAATCGGAAAGTTTAACCTTTCAATTCAGTGGCTTACTGGGGGTGTAAGTGAATTTAGGGTTTAGGTTTAAGTTACCATCCACAATAGGGATCTATAGCAACTAATATGGTTTCCTTATTAGGGTAACATAAAGTAACTCCCTGTAAACCCTAGATCCCTAAGCCCCTCAACCCCTAAACCCTACACCCTCAATTCCTTAGCCGCCTCGAGCCTTTGGTGCCTTTGGATGCAGCTTGCCTCTTAGTTCTGTTTCATTGCAATGCTTAACCCCTAAAGCCTACCTTAACCTTGAATAACCTACCTTTGTTGGGTTCCTTGTTATGAATTCCTTATATACGCCCTTGAAAAAGTAGGTTATTCCGGGTTGAGGTAAACCCTAAATCCTTAAACCCTACACTCTCAATCCCTCAACCCCTAAAGCCTAAACCCTAAACTAAACCCCTACCTGCCTTGTGCCAGTGTGTGTGAGCCGAAACCCTAAATCCCTAAACGAGAACCCAGGCAGGCAGCGTCTTCAGCGGAGAATATCCGCTTGCGGGACCTCGGCAATCAGGACAGGACTTGCGACCAGGGGCCTTAATAATTACTTGTAGTCTCCATTGTAGTTCCTTTTTTGGGTTTAACCAAATATATAACTCGGATCCTATAAGGTAACCCCCAAAAGGAACTACAATGGAGACTACAGGTAGAGTAGGGTTCCTTTGAAGAGGTCTATAAGGGCTACTATACGATGAGGACTTAGTATAGGGGTTTTAATCAATCATCATCAATATTTTTCTTGGGGTTCCTTATCATTTATGGTCATACCACAAAGGGGCCCAAAAACCTGTTCGAATTCATGCGCCCTCTGACTTACCTGGGAGTTTCCGAAAGTTAGGGGTACCTTGGGGTTCTTGAAAAGGGTTATTATAAAATATAAGGGTTCCTTCAAAGGGCTCTATAAGGGTTTAGAGTTTCAGCAGATTAGGGATGCCTCATTTTTAGGGTTATAGGATCCTACTATTTAGGGCAGTACATTAGGGTCCTCTATTTTCGGAAACTCACACCTGGACCCTTAAGAATCTACCTTTCCAGGGCTCCCCGTTATGATGTCGCTGCAAAATGTAGGTTAGTCAAGGTCCATGTAAGGTTGAGGGTCGATTAATCGGGTTTATGGTCTGCTGTTGAGGAGTAATCGCCGGCACTCAACCCAAGCCCATGTTGAAAAGGGTTAGGGTTGGGAAGCAGGACAGGATCAAGAAGCTGCATCAGGTGGATGGCTTGCAGGTCAAAGTGAGAGAGCTGGAGGAGACACTTAGTAGATGAGTTAGTATGCTTGACCATTTTCTGTAGAACACTAAAAATTACCCGATTACACCCTACATAAACCTGAAAGTTTTGCTTTTTGATTAACATCAATACCCCCTACAGTTTTCTGACAGTTTAAGCTTGTATGGGCTCATGAACTCGGCGACTAAGGACGTTATTCGTTGAGATGAAGCAGCAGACCGACAAAGAGGAGCGCCAGGAAGTGACGAACGTCGAGTTGCAGGAGGGGGCCTGGAAAGGTGGGATGAAGTTGATATAGGGGCCAACTCTGATGCCCAGTAGTACCCTTATTACCTTTTTGTAGTCCTAGGTTCCTTATAAAGTTACCCAATACCTTAGATCCCCAATACCCAGCCTTTAAACTTTTTGGGTTCTTGTGGTTTAGTAGGAATCGGAAAGTTTAACCTTTTATTTCTGTGGCTTATTGGGGTAGTAAGTATAGGGGCCTTGAGAATGAGACTAGGGTTTCGGGACCCATTATACTGTAATTATAATAAGGAATCTCCAAAATAGTGTTGGTAATCGTTTCGGCCCGTATAGTATCTAGGATCAAGGACCCCTTATAATATAAAAGGACTCTTATTTGGGACTACTCCTATCCCCTAAACTCCAGACCATGCCTCTATGCCCAGTAGTACCCCTTATTCCCTTTTGTAGTCCTAGGTTCCCCAATACCAAAAAGGAGCCCTGTTTATTCCTAGGTTCCGGGCATCCTAGTCCAATATACCCCAAGTACCCACTACTAAGGGCCATAAGGAGTCCATTAGAGGGCCCTTGGGGGTTCCGGGTTAACCCTAAACGCCCAGACTCCAGACCCTACGTTCATCCCAGCTCGGGAGCCCTTTCCAGGAGAAAGTTCAGCTGCAGGCCGAGTCGCTGCGGATCTCCAACCTGCGCTTGCAAGATGCAACTTGGGGTGCTGAGTAAGGGTCTAGGGCTTAGGGTTTGGGGTTTAGGGTTTGGGGTTTAGGGCTTTGTGTTTAGGGTTTAGGGTCTGCCTGATCCCCAAGAGGGAGCTCATACTAAGGAGCCTAAAAAGGTAGGGTTTATACGGTTAAGCGAGTGTTCACTGCTTGTTTGTAGGGTCCACGAAGATTCTTGTTTTCATATATAGGTTCGAAGAAGAACCCACAAAAAGTATGTCATGGTAGCTTCACGTAGTAAATTTAGCCTTGTCAAAGTCCAGCCCTTTGCGCCAGCCCCGTTAAGACACCCATCCAGGCATTGCAGCAGCGTCACACAGAGGCAATACGCCAGTTTCGAGGTGGCACTTGAATAAACTTGTTTGTTCCCGTTATATGGCAGAGATTAGCGGACCTTAACTTTTTTGGGCGTCCTTATAAACTTCTTAGGGTTATTATAGCAGGGTCGCGCTTTTTCCGAACGCCCGTATGTATGGTTCTACTGAAATACTCTGCATTACCCTCAACACTGAAACTGACAAGCCCTGAGTCCTAAGCCTGAAAATGCCACCCAGGTTACAGGAAGTCAATTCCTTAAAGCTTCAGCTGGCGATGGAATGCAAGCGAAGCGGTCGCAGTGTCTTAGCTGTGTCTGGTGTTTCATTCGTACCTGTCCATCTATCCTTCTGTGCGTCCATCTGCTATCGATGTATCTGTCCATGTATCTACTTACCTATCTACCTACCTGTCTGTGCATAACGAATTGTACGTATATACATATATATATATATGCCGATAATTGCAAAAGATGTATGTATGTATATATGTATGTATATATATATATATATATATGTAGAGAGAGAGAGAGAGAGAGAGAGAGAGAGAGAGAGAGAGAGGCGCGCACACACAGACATATACACACGCATATACATACACATGTAACATGTACATATGCATGTACATAACAATATACATTTATTACATTTACATATATGTGTGGTGGGGCCGCTTACCCCGTTGTGATTCTCAACGGGCGTAAGTTACTTGAACAAGGTTCAGATGAGGCATGGACTGCTGACGTAGAAGATGGCGACCCAGAGGTGGCTCTGTGCCAGCGTGTGAAGGAGCTCGGTGCTCTTATTTACTGAATCCCGCAAGGTGGGTTTAGGGTTGGGGTCTAGGGAAGGGCATTCGGGGGGTGAGGAGAGGGGGGGGGGGGGGTGGCTCAAGTCTCGGCTCAAGCTCCCTCTGGAGCGCGTAGGCAGTGCAGCTGTGTAGAACAGGCCTGGGTACTAACAACGTACTAAGAGGCTCCAACAGGTCAATCCCAGCTTTCCACACTTTGCCATTGCGCCCATACCCGGAGGTGTAAGGCGCAGTCAGGGTTCGAGCTCCTCGCCCTGCAGCAGCTAGCTAAGAGCCCGGCTTCGGCTCCACTTCACGGTGAGTTTCTCCCGTGACGAACACTTCGAGATGCAAAGTGTGTCCAGTACCGCCATGATCACTTTGACTTGCTATGTGTTTGCTTGGAGACACGAAGGCCGTCGTGAAGGCCTCTTTCTTGAGGCCACTTCCTTGCAAAGGTGTCACTTTGTTCGCAGAACGAGACGCGGTTACATCCGTTGGGGTTCCCACGGCACGTGGAGTCTTACCATGGAGCAAGGGCGGCCTGTGCTCCGTCTAGTGGGGTTTAGGTGCTGCGCAGATGCTACCATCCGGTACATTAATTTCACGGTCGATCCCCGCAACGAGAGATTCCTGAGTGACTCGCAAGGTAGGACTATCAGGTACCTTGGACAGCTGCGCATGCTAATCCATGCAGGCCCTCTAAGGGCCTTGGCATTGCCCGACTCGGAAGAGTGGGTTGTTTTGTAGCACTATAGCTGCGGTACCTGGCCCTCATAGGCAATGAGGGAAGTCGGAATTGCCCTGCTTAGGGCGAGAGTAGGTGCAGGGTTCAAGTTTTCTTCCAGCACGCAAGCTTTCCCTGCAAGGAATCGGTGAGCTCCTCACCTTTCCTTCTACCTTTTAATTGCGTTACCAGACGGGTAAAGCTTCTTCCCGAGAGGGCGAGCTTCTCCCCTCAATACCCTAAGTGCCCAATAGCCTCAGGTGCAGCTTTCCGTTGCCTGTGTTTGCACCTCAACCGACTGAAAGGGCTTAGGAATAGGTCGTGTTTGGACCGCTGGGACACAGATCCCATAATTAGGCCCTCGAGGTCTCCAGCAAATTTTGTGGTCCCCTAAACTGAAGTACACTGGCAAGAGTGGACCAGTTAGTAAGAGCGAGAACGCTGGTCACTGCTCTGTCCCGTTGAGTAAGAGCGAGATATTCGGGACGAATGGCCTTACCAGTTGCGAAGTAGTTAGGAGCCCAAATGCCGTTGCAGATTCAGCAGCGGTTTTTGCAAAGACTCTTGCTGCAGCTTGCAGGGTAGAGAAACCTCCCCTGCTTGCTTTGAAGGTGCCTTTGGGCTAAGGTTCCTCTTGAGGGAGTGTGCAGGGGACTCCCTATCTGTAGTCTGGGGACGACGCGAGCCATACTCCGGTAGAGCCCTGCTCCCGTAGAATGGGACGACGGAATACCCAGGACTTCAGGTAGTGAGCCCTTGCGCTCTTCTCAGTGTCAGGAATACCAGGGCTGCTGCAGCCCAGCCTCTGTTCCAGGACTTCGCTTGGAACTTTGTGTAGTCACCTTTTGCGTATTGGTGACGCCCAGGCTTTGACTCGAGCTTTGTCGGTGGGCTCTTTTGTTTGTTTGGCGCTTGCGGGGGTTGGGATTAGTGTTCTCTGCTTGGGCCCATCGCTGCACTAGCGCGCGACGGAAAACGCAAGAACCGATCACGTTTTTGTGAGTATCTCCTCTTACGATGATGTGCTGTGTGGTTGGGATTGGGTCGTGCAGGGGGCGCTGGTTCCGGCTTCGCCTCTGTGTTGGTCTTTTCGCCTGGGTTAATCTAGCTTTGCCTGCTCACCTGTGCCAGTTGCAAGCTTGGCATTTGTGGTGTCAGTTACAGTCCTTGGGGCTCGTTTGCAGGTGAGTTTCTCCCTGCAGAGCCCTCACGGCCCCTTTTCTCTTTGCTGGTCTGTTGGGTGGCCAAAGGCAACGCAGGCTTTGTGTTCGTGCAGGACTGGGCTTCTGGACCCTTCCTGTTTTCCTGTGAGCTTCTCGCAGATGAAAGGCATCTACCCTTAACCGTGAATTGGGAAGTTTCTTCCCTCTGGTAAGGGTGAGCTCCTCCCCTTATCTACAATAGGGACGTAGGCAGCAATGAGCTTTGGAGCTGGCAGCTTTTAGCTAAGGTGAGTTCCTCCTTTAGCGCTGCTCACAGCTCCAGGTGCTCGGCTAGGAGTGAGAGCCTCCTCACGGCCTTCACCTGCCCTTTCCGTTTCACCCCGACCCCCCCGTAGAGCTCTGCTCCGGAAGGCCCAACTGTGGCGCGTGACTCTGTCCGCTCGGCTGGAGAGGGGGGGGGGGGGTAGGGGAAACGAACTTGTAAGGCGTTCTGGGGGAATGACAGGGAAACACAGAGCAAAACATAGGATCGTGATTCAAAATCTATAGGGGGGAGGGGTATTGTCTCAGAGCTGCCCTAAAATCCAAGCCCGAAGCCCAAACCCTAAACTCTCGAAGCTTTGAGTCCCTAAACCCTGGAACTTCTGAGTTCCTAAACTCAAAGGGGAAAAGGAGGGACCCTTAATGGGGACCCCTACCCTATAATGGGCTATATAATGGGTACATAATAGCTATATTAAGGGTTTTTACCTAAGGGTCCTTATTAAGGGTCCCTCCTTTTACCCTTGGATAAACCCTTAAACCGAAGGAGCTTGAGGAGGAGCGAAATCTTCTGCTCAGCAAGCTTGAAGTTCAGGAGGTCCAGCACCAGGTGCAGCTGGAAGACGCATACCGTGATCATGCTTCCAGGATTTAGATCAGAAGGTTTAGGGTTCAGGATTTAGGCTTGATCATGCTTCCAGGAATTAGATAATAAGGTTCAGGGTTTAGGCTTTAGGGTTGATCATGCTTCCAGGAATTAGGTAATGAGGTTTAGGGTTTAGGGGTTTTTCATGCTTCCAGATGGCACCTTCAACCCTGAACCCCTAGACCCTGCTGCGATCATGCTTCTTCGCAGCTGAATGGCTAGACCGTTTACTTCTTGGGACAGTCTTATCCCCTAGGACCCAGAGTAGGCCCTTATTCCCTTTTTTAGGGTTCTGGTTCCCTTATAAGCCCCTTTAAACCAAAAAGGGCATCCTTTTTATGCCTGGGTTACTCTTGGGTCTTATCCCCTATGAACACAACCACCAAGGCTTCCAGATTGCAGGAGCAACGAATGAAGTTTGAAGAACAGATCGCAGAGATTCGATCCAGATATGAGCAGCTGCTGAGGCAGAAGCCCATACCAGGTCAGGAGGAGCCTAGGTTTGATTTTGGGACATCTTTTTCCTTATTCGGGTTTATAAGGGACCCTATATATAAATATATATTTCAGGGTGTTTAAAGGCCGACCCAGGAGCAGCCTATCCTGCCAGAGCAAGTGGACTTGTGGAGTAGTGCACCCAGCTTGGGTGGAGACGATTCAACCAGGGATGGTGATCGACCAGGAAACTCAGCGCAGAGTGCCATTGGCGTGGGTAGTGATGTCAGCACCCCTGCATCGCAGAGCACGGGTGGTACTATTGGCACTTCTATTTCAGAGAACCTTGGCAGCTAAGTAGGTAACCTTTAACCTTTTGGGGCGCATATCATCCTACCAGAATTGAAATTCTGAAAAGCTTAACCGTTTTGGTCTGGATATTCCCCTAAACCCTCAACCCTAAACCCCGTAAGGAATCTGCGCAGCATGATCTGGGCAGTCATGGGCTTGATACCCAACGCAGTTGCGGCGCAGTGCACCTTCGAAGACCTGGTCATCGAGAAAGCTACTGCTACTTAGATGCACCAGACCCAACCTTCCCCATATACCCTTATAGTAGATACTTAAGCCTTAAAGGGGTCCCTATATAGGTACTTTAAGGCCTAAGTCCTAAGTATATACTATAAGGGTACATGGAGCCTTAGGGTTCAGGGCTTAGTGGTGCTTTAGGGTTTAGGGGTTTTTGAGCTTTTTGGGTTCTTGTAGTTTGGTGGGAATTGGAAAGTTTAACCTGATATTTCTGTGGCTTATTGGGGTAGTAAGTTTGTGGTCCTCAAACCTGTCGTTTCTGGGATTCGTAGGGTTTTGGAATGGGAGTTTCCGAAAATAGGGGAACCTACGTAATGTACTTCCCTAAAAAGTAGGATCCTATAACCCTAAAAATAAGGCATCCCTAATCTGCAGAAACTCTAAACCCTTATAGAGCCCTTCGAAGGAACCCTTATAGTAACCCTATATATAGTACCCTAGACAGTAGAAACCCTAAACCCTATAGATCCCATATAGGAACCCTGTAAAGGAACTCTTATGAAGTACTGTTGATGATATAAATCCCGCATTACCCTAAGGACCCTAAACTATGGGAATTATGGTATATTCCTTATTATGAGTAATGCAGGATTTATACCCCTAAACCCTAAACCCCCTATAGATCCCTTAAAGGAGCCCCTTAAAGGTACCCTTATAGATCCCTTTTAAAGGAACCCCCAGGATTTATATCATCAACCGTAGGATCCTTCTTAAGGCGCGGGCCGGTGCTATTTTCAGCGGACTGGACCTGATCGGAATGTCCTTCTTTTCCCTGCTCCAAGAAAAGTGTAGCTTGGCGTTCTTCGTTTTAGGGTTTAGGGTGTAGGGGTTTAGGGTTTAGGGTTTAGGGAAATGTAGCTTGGCGTTCTTCGTTTTGGGGCTTAGGGGTTTAGGATTCTCGTGTAGGGGTTTACGGTTTGGAGTTTCAGGATTCCAAGAAGGGGTTCCTTACTTGGCATTCTTCTGGTTGGCTCTTAGGACTTTAACTTGTTGGGTTTCTATGTGGATTCCACTAAGGGGGCTGAAAGTTTAACGTTAGGAGGGGTTCAGAAGTCAGCCAAGGTAATGCAGCCGTGATCAGAAGAATGATGCTGGTGAACCAGTCGATGGCCGACAGCAGTGGCTGGGTCAGTGTTCGATTCCCTTTTACACCTTAGGGGTACTTAGAAATACATGTTAATTTTTGGTTGTTATAATCCCTAAGAAACAGCTAAAATTATAGTTTTTGCTAGGGTTCTAAGTTCAGTATAGTTAGAGGATCATTGGACTTAGTAACGAGGGTTATAAGCCAGGTAACTATATACAAAACTACTTATAACCCCAATTAAGGTACTTATAACCGTACTAAGTCCCATGATCCTCCGAGTGTAGTCCCGGTTGGCCTTCGGGACATTTTACATTTTCCCTTGCTTGGCACAAGTAGGGTTTAGGTAGAGCTACGGATATGTGTCACAGGCTTCAACCAGCCAGCATACTTGTGAAGTACAACTACACAGATCCCATAATCCCGATTCCAAGAATCAAGGCTTTTAGGGTTTAGGGTTTAGGGCCCAGCTTGCACCGGGCTAAGGCCAATCTGATATCCCGTCCTTCGTCGCCAAGACGCTTGGCAGATTTTCAGTGCTTGGCGTTGCTGGACAAGCGCTGGACCTTGTCCTATCAATGGCTCACTTGCCAGCTGACTCACCAAGTGCTTCCGGACCAGACGGTCGCCACATCATCCTGGTGACTTAGTAGCCAAATTAGTGCACTTTGCACTTTTTTGTTAACGCTTCATTTCTTGGGGGCTGATGACCTCCGCAACTAAGCACCCAAAAAGCTCGAAAACTCCACTACTTACATCTAAAACCCCCAAATCCCCAAACCCTAAAACCCAACCCAGCTTTATAAACCCTACACCTTAAACCGGAACCCAGGTGATGTCTGAGCAGCAGCAGCAGCAAAAGAGGGGAGGCGGCATTTCCGTGGCCAGCAGCGATATCTGCCCCAGTGACAGCGTCAGTGTGGGCAAGCGTCGGCCGCACTTCATGAGCGACTTAGTACCAGAGTTAGTGTACCGGGGTTCAGGGTTTAGGGTGCCACACGGGCCCACAGCACAGTCGGCCCCTCAGTTCCTGGCATATGCGTAGTCCAGGTGTAAAAAGGGTGGCTTGATACAAGAGTCAGTATACTTTACCCAACTTCTTGGGATATTTCTATCCCTGACAGAACTGAAGCTTGCATCATTTTGGACCTGTTCCTTAAATGAGCGATGATGAAGAAGCAGGTCTACACTACTTCTCCATGGTTATTTCAAAGCCAAGGCAACGATCTGCAGAGGACCAAGCTTAGAGCGTCGTTCTTCGAGGCAGATTCACGGATGTCCGCTGTCTCCGGTGGACATTCTTCCCCACGTAATTCGCTGGCTTAATACAATTCGGAAGCGTTTGAAGCCAAATTTAGTCTTTCTAATGTTTCACCGAATTCTGTCAGAATCATTCACGTAACAGGATTCCCGTCAAGGTTCGCTCCTAGACCCTGATTTCCAGTATCTCGTTTTGGTCACCTACTTTCTTGCTACAAGTTACTAGACCAAGCAAAGAGACTATAGTCCAGGGTCTAGGTAGGGCTCTGAGGGACAATACACAACATGAGACCAAGTTCCGAGAAATTAACGTACGGGAGGTTCTTTGCTAAACTGGGCTCCCGTGTGCTATCGATAGCAATCCCTCATGGGAGTAAGCAGTTGTTCTGAGAAGGACTGCGGATGACTGCGGTGGATCTTATATCGATTGTTTTAACTACAATTTCCATCATTAACATCTATACTTGTTCCATATACTTATCCAATTCTTCTCTAATGTTTCATATCTCTTTAGTTTCTATATTCTATATATATATATATACACATAGCTTAAAGAACCTCCCGCAGGGGCCTGGAGCTGCAGGCTGCCCAACTTCATCTTCACTGTTTAGCGTTTAGGGTTTTGGATTTAGGGTTTAGGGTTTAGTGTTCAGGGGTTAGGGTTTAGTGTGACACGGTTTAGGACGTTGTTTTTTCAGGCTGGTTGTGGGTGTCTGTGAAACTTCGCGCCAACAGCTGCGGAGAAGCCGATGAAGTATCCGGCTCCGAAAAGGAGCAAGAATTTGATACTGGTGTCCTGAGACTCCAAAACAACTTTCCACTTTAGGGTTGAGGGTAGACAGTATACCATAAGTGGTTCAATACATTGAGCAATCCTTGCATCGTCATTTGATATGGCTCCCGAATACGTGAAAGGGAACGTATGGAGACTCCGGGCGAGCACTGCTGCTGAAGGTAAGGAAGTGCCAGAACCAGAAGAAACCACTTCAAAGCACAGTGTGCTTGAAGCCTCAACCCCTCGCCGAGCTTCTGTGTTGTAGTCGGGTATGTGACCTTGAGATTTTTGAGCGAGCATAATCCTGGTCCCTGGTAGATTGGGCAAACATGTGTTGATAACAGATGGGAGTTTCCGAAAATAGGGGACCCTAATATAGTACCCTAAATAGTAGGATCCTTATTATAAGGACCCGCAAATAAGGTACCCCTGGTTTTCGGAAAGTCCCAGATGGGAATGGTGTAGGCTTAAGGCTGGAGTTTCGAGTTCTGCAATGTCGCGTGTCATTCGAACCAAAGTGGGGTTGAGGCGACAACATGGAATCTGACAGCACAGACTCAAAGACCTAGATCGCGATTGTGTGAGTATAAGGCCTGCCTTAGCGTGCGCCGTGCCAGGTTTAGGGCTTAGGGTTAGGTGGTTATGATATCGTGTGGCTTTTTGGAGACGTTTTCAGCTCTTTCGCTTGTTTGAGTGAGGGTCTATTGCAGAGAGTATTGTTGTTTAGAAGCTGCCCCCACCCTGTAATAGTGACTATAAGGATTATAATAGGGCCCTATTATATTCCTATTTTACCCCTATTACAGGTTGGGGGCAGCTTCCAAATTGTTGTACTTTGGTTTCAGCTGTAGGCTGCTTACTACGTGTCCAGGTCCTTCAGGGCTGGGCTTTTGTTCCCATGAGGCCTCCGCGGAGTTCTGTACTTGGAGGATCATGGGACTTAGTAAGTAAGGTTATATGTACCTTAATTGGGGTTATAAGTAGTTATAAGTATTGTTACCTTACTTATAACCCTAGTTTACTAAGTCCCATGATCCTCCAAGTAGAGTTGATCAGCTTTCGGACCGCGGACAAGCTTTATAACAGCTACGGTTGATGATATGAGTCCTGCAGTACCCATAAAGAGGAATATGCCATAATTCCCATAGTCCAGGATGATTAAGGTAATGCAGGACTTGTATCATCAACCGTAGTTGTGGAGACACCCTAGAAATTTAGAGTAGGCAGCAAAACCAACTATGATGCCCAGTAGTACCCTTATTCCCTTTTGCTAGTCCTAGGTTCCTTATAAAGTTACCCAATACCTTAGATCCCCAATACCCAACCTTTAAACTTTTTTGGTTGTAGGTTAGTGGGAATCGGAAAGTTTAACCTTTTATTTCTGTGGCTTTTTGGGCTAGTAAGATACCAAAAAGGAAGTCCTTTTCATTTCCTAGGTTACTGGGCACCCTAGCCAAACTCAACGTTGTGATCCTCCAGACCCTCTACCCTTGCTAGTCTCTAGAAGTACGTTGCTCCCAGAGACTCCAATATCTCTTAATTAAGGAATATTCCCTGCATCATATTAGGAAGCCTACTGGAATTTTAAATGTAATCATATCCCTTAATTCAGGCATATTGGAGTTTTTAGGGCTTTGCTAGACTCTAGACGTACGTTGCTCGTAGTTTCTAAGCCCAAGACCAGCGCATAACGCGACTTAAAACCTACTAACAGACACCCGCGATCCAGAACCCTGAGTCCTAAACCCTAAATCCTAAACCCTAAACCCTAAATCCTAAACCCTAAATCCTAAACCCTAAACCCTACATCCTAAACCCTAAATCCTAAACCCTAAATCCTAAAACCTAAACCCAAACTCCCGGGAGGCCCAATAGGCTGCCTCTGGTGCACCGTTGAAGTTTGTCATTGTGTATCGGGCTTAGAGGGCCCTCACCCGAGGGTCCAATGTACCGATATAGTAGAATGTAGGGTTTCCATATTAGGAACTACCAATATGACTTAGGGAAGTATCCCCCATAACATTACGTAGGGCCCTTTGGGTCATTATTCCCTACTCTAAGCCATGCTAGGCGATGCCGCTGAGCGTTCCCGAACCCGAAACCCTCAGCCCGTTAGCAAGAATCCTAAGCCTTTATACTCTAACCCTTCAGCTTCTCCAAACCCCACGCCCCAAAGCATTTAATGTCCCGAAACCCTAAACCCTAAACCCTGAGTCCTAACTTTACATCATGAACTAATTCAACTTGGTGTACGATGATAGATGTAGTATGCAAATATCAGCAAATGTGTAACATACTGGGGGGCCCCTTGTGTAGTAGTTCTGCGCCGGATCATGTGCCCAAGCTCATAGAATACGATGTCATACAAGGTACTATAATACTATAAAATATGTTGTAGCCTAAACCCTATGTTAAAAATCCCGACACCGACCCCCCCCCCAAAAAAAAAAAAAAAAAAAAAAAACGAAAGAAAACTACCGAGGCGCTCTCTGCAGACGGTTCTGCTGGATGATGGCAGCAAGGAGGCATGGCCAAGCCGGAGCCCTGGAGAAGTTTTAGGGGTTTCAGGGGTTTAGGGTTTCAGGGGGTTTTAGGGTTTTCAGGGGTTTAGGGTTTCAGGGGGTTTTAGGGGTTTCAGGGGTTTTAGGGTTTCAGGGGTTTTAGGGTTTTCAGGGCTTCAGGGGTTTAGGGGTTTAGCGCCGGTTTAGGCTTTACAGCTAAAGATCCTCATCTTGATCGAAGTTTGTGTGGGAACCTTGGCTGCTTCGAGTGCGGCGTCTCGCGGTGTCATGAGCACAAAGCTTGACTGCTCAACATAGTAGCTGAGTAGGCAACCTTTAACTTTTTTGCGGTTTATATAAACCTACCATTATTAAACAATCAGAACGGTTTAACCTTTTTTGGGACAGGGTACTCGGCCCCAAAGTCAACAGAGCAGCTTTGGTATCGGTGCTGCATGTCGGCCCCTGTCCCGATCATTGCATGTCGTCGTCTGGCAAGACTTGATAAACCCTAAACCCTGAAACCCTATACCCTAAACCGGGCTTTAGCAGAGTACTCGGTTTAGGGTTTACCTTAACCCTGAATAACCTACCCTTCTAGGGTTCTCTAGTATGATTTCTTTATATAAGACCATAAAATGGTAGGTTATTTCAGGGTTAAGGTAGGCCCTAAACCCTAAACCCTAAACCGTAACTTTAGGGTTTCGGGAGATTCAGGGACTTTGGGATTTGGGTTTTGGGGGGTTTAGGGATCTTTCAGGGTTCAGGGATCAAGGTGTCGGTTTGGATTTGCCTTGAGAGTATGGGTTCTTCGCTGTAGGTGTGCACAGGTCAAAAGACCGGACTTATATGGATGTGAGTAGGGGCACCTCCTTTTCTCTCTTTCTTGCTCTCTCTCTCTCTCTCTCTCTGTCTTTCTCCTGCTTTCTGACAGCCATCGGACGAGTTCGCGACCAAGCCGCGCAAAGGAGCACGTGAGATTGTGCTGCATCTGTCTCGGGGGCTAGCTCGTGGCCCCTGGTAGGGGCACATTCACATGACGCGTGCGTGTCTGCGAAGCATTCAAAGCGTGCACCTCAGATCCATGAGCGTGCAGATCGTTGACAGCAGCGAGTCAAGGCCGCGGCGGGCTGCTGGTGTTGACATTGCCATTGTGCCACGACGACTGCCGCAACAACGACAGTCATAGCCCCGACAAGCGGCACGAGTAGGCGTACCTTACCACGACAGTACTACTAGCAACAGTAATTAGGGATGCTGGTAGTCGACATCCTCATGCAGAGCAGCAGGGGCAGCAGCAGCAGCAGGAGCATCATTCCCGGTCATGTTGCTGTTGCTGGTGAAAGCTGGGATTGCTGATGTCGTCGTTATCGTTGACGACATTCACAGGCTTCGTCGTAGCACAAGCAAAAGAGTGCCATGTGCCATCTTTGATCGAGCAGTGGTCTCGTTCGAAACGCCATTTCTCCTGCACCTCAGATCCTTCCCACTACTTAAAAGATCATGGGAGTTAGTAAGTAAAGTTATATGTACCTTAATTGGGATTATAAGTAGTTAGAAGTATAGTTACCTCACTTATAACTCGAGTTACTAAGTCCCATGATCCTCTAAGTATTCCTGCTGCTGCCATCTCTGTAGTCTTAGTTATTTGTAGAACTGCTTCGGCTGTCACTAACACGGCGTTTTGTCACTTGGTGAGGCTTCTCCATGTCTTGAGTTTCCAGCATGCCTGCAACGGTCCGATCATGGTCCTCGCCATGATCATGGTCCACTTCCCCTCAGCGTCCATG